CAGCCAAACGCGCATCGCGTCAACCGTCTGTCTATAGCCCCTCTGCGGGCCGACTCCCTCCGTTTCTCGCCAGCTCACGCCGACCTGAAGGCGTCGCTTGAAACATGAGCACTCTGATGGGGCGAGAATTTGCGCGATTAACCATAGCTCGGCCGCGAAGAGACGCGGGAAAGGCGGGGGATTCGACGACGTGTTTCTTCCTGAACGCGCTCTTGCGGAGCAGCAGCACGATGCCACATGAACGATTCACAAATTTGCCACGCACATGTCCGCTGCGCGTGGGAAAGCGATGGCGTAGCGTAGTGAACGCCGCGGGATGGTCGGGTGCAGCCTTCTCACGCGTACTTGTAAGTGCGACGATGTCCGCTAACTTGCATTCATCTCTGATATTGCGCAGCCGAGCTTCATCCGCTGCCATGTAATTCCATCGAGTACAAGTAGTCATCCGCTGAACTGTAAGAATATGCGCGGCGAGCTGGCCCAGATGGGCCGCAGGCAAGTCGCCGCGAGTAACAGTGCGCGGGGGCCGCATCATTGCGGGCCCCAGTTCTGCACCTCCCGGCGGGGAGGGCTCGGGGGAGGATGTGGGGGGGGGAAGAGGAGGAGGAGGAGGAGGAGGAGGAGGAGGGGGAGGAGGAGGAGGAGGAGGAGGGAGAAGGAGGAGGAGGGGGAGGAGGAGGAGGGGGAGGAGGGAGGAGGAGGGAGGAGGAGGAGGAGGAGGAGGAGGAGGAGGAGGAGGAGGAGGAGGAGGAGGAGGAGGAGGAGGAGGAGGAGGAGGAGGAGGAGGGAGGAGGAGGAGGAGGAGGAGGAGGAGGAGGAGGAGGAGGCGGGGGGGGGCAGGCGGAGGGGCTCTGAGGGGCTCTGAGGGGCTCTGGTGACGCGGCGGTTATCCCTCGCTCTCGGCGCGCAGGCCGAGGGCGCGGGCCAGTGCCCTGCCGCTTTTGCGAGCGGCGCCCAGCGGCGGGGACCCGCCGCGGGCGGACAACTACCCAGCGGCCCCAAAACGAGGTGGGCCCCCCGACGGACCGACCCCAGAGGCAAGGCATATCCCGCCGCGGCGAAGCAGCGCCGCAGCCGACGGCCGACCCAGGCGCCCATCGCCAGGCGATAGCCCTCCGCATTCAGCAACTCCTTCAAGTCTGCGGCGGTGAACCGCTCATTGACCAGGGTGGGGGGTCCAGCGCGTCGAAACTCCCGCCGAAGGCCCCGCCGGTGCTCTTATTGCATTTGCTGATGCCCGTGCGCTGGACTTGCGCTGGGGCTTCGACGACACCTCCAGGGCGCCGGGCCGCTCCAGGCTGAGGCCGTTCAGCAGCAGGCTAAGGCAGTGCAGAACTTTGGATGCGGATTGTGTCCTCCTCAAGCGCTCAACGAACTCGCTGTCGGCATTGTCCCCGGCATTGGGGCCGACTTTGGAGCCCAGCCGTGAACCAATTCGTCGGGGTAGGCGGCCGATGGGGCAGGAGGTACGGCGAAAACAACGCTGTGATTAATATGCCAGCATGCTGCATGTCAAGATCGACCTGGGTCGTGGGAGCTTCGATGATGCCGTACTTCGTGTCGGCGGCATTCGTCTGGGATACCTTCTAATAGTTCTGTTGGCTCTCTGTCATTGCGCCGCCTGGTCATGGCCGCCAGGACCGTTACGATGTCATTGGCCGTGAGTGGCAGCGCCCTCCGCGCGGTACACGCCAGCCGGTGCATATCTGCCACCTGGGGCTGACCATGACTTTTTTTTCCGCAAGGCAAGCAAGGCGAGGAAAAGGAGGAATCCGCTGCCCCTCAAGGGAGCTATCCTCAACACCCACCGCGAGAGAGGCCGACCGCGAGAGAGGCCCACCTGGGGCTGGCCATGTCGTCGATCTCTACGACCTCCCTGATCGTCTGTCGGCCTCGGCGTGGCACTCGTGAGTTCGTGGGCGTCCCCTTGGCCGCCCTGTGTGGCCAAAGGCGGGCTCGGGCGCTCGCGCCTGCTGCTGCTGCTGCTGTTCCTCCTCCCTCCCTCCCTCTCTCCCTCCTCCTCCCTCCTCACCTCCTCCTCCCTCCTCTCTCCCTCTCTCCCTTCTCCTCCCTCCCTCCCTCTCTCCCTCCTCACCTTTCTTCCTCGTCTCCGTCCTCCCCTCCTTCTCCTTCTCCACCCTCCGCTTCCCCCTGCTCCGTTTCCTTCTCCTCCCCCTTCCCCGTTCTTCCTTCCCCCAAGGTTGGCGACGACCGTTTTGCTCGTGACAGTGTGTCTTTACATGATGCCTGCCAGGGACGTGGCTCGACTACGACGCGGGACGGGAAGGAAAGGGAGGAAGGGAATCCCCTTTAACTATCACCCCCTGGCGTAGCACGTACGGCGTCAGGGTGATAGGGGGAGGCTCGCACACCCACCTTTCCACGACGTGTAGGGGGGGAGGGCGCGGGCGTATCTACTTATCCTCGGGCCCAAGTCGGGTGAATGTTAACTGGGGGGGCAACATGTGGCGGGCGATCGAGGGTTGCTGGAAACTTGCCTCGACGTGGCCTTAGACTGCCGCCCCGCGCCCAAGAGGTGGCAGAAAGGCGCGCCCTCCTTAACCCCCCGCTCAGCTCCCCCATTTGAAGGGGCCCTGGGACACACAAATAAATTCACACAAATAACAGGAGTCCCCATATTTTCGTATATTTTCTGGGTTTTTGTATTCCCCCCCACTTCCCATATTTTCCGATATTTTCTGGGAAATCGAGGATTAATTGTGTCTGTGTGTTTCTTTCCCTCCTGACCATTGCCAATCGCCAGGCAGAGATCGGCCCCAGTGTGCTTCAGCGGCTGGCTCCAAACCTCCTCCAGCCATGGGCTTCTTTCGAGCCGCCCGCCCCAAGAACTCTCGGCCGCTCCGTTCTCTGACGGCCGGCGTCGGTACACCTCGACCCTCGGACCTGGGTCCTGGCCGCCCTCGAGCGAGGCCCACCCCCGGATTGCGGAGGCCCTCGGTTGCGCGCGGACAGCCGCCGGATGTGCTCCAGGCTGGGACCGGGGAGATCTCCAGCGGTCTTGCACTCAGTTTGCCACCCACTACCATGAGGACCGCGACGTGCGTCATGAATTTGCGTTTCCTGGCCACGGCGAACCTCGGCAACGAGAGCAGGTGCCCCGACCCAGATCTGCGGGGCGGCCCGACCCCACCGCAGCCCTTCCCAGAACCCGAGCTGGTCCTCATCTCGGTTTCCTGGCAAGACCATCCCATGCCTCGGACGCGGAAGGCCCTGGGCGGGCCTCCGGCACAAGCAGCCCTGGGTGCCCAGGCCGCCCCTGACTGCCGCTGGCGGCTTCTGGAGGCCAGCCAGGGCCGCAGCAGAATGATAGCCACGAGGCCGTGGGTCGAGAACGCGAGCCCCCTCGCCGAAGGCCAAAGGCTGCATCGACGTGCCCCGAACGGGAAGCATTCCAGGGCGGAGAGCGCAACATCACAGAGGGTTATTCTTCACCCTCACGCCAGCTGTACTTACCAGCCTCGAACGTACCCCTATCCCTAAGATTGACACGCCAAAAGGCGATGACAATCTTAGGGATTCGCCCTCAAAACATAAGGAAATCCCTAAGATTGGCATCGTGATGAGGAGGCGCCCAGCATAGGGATAGGGATATGTTCCAGGCTGGTAATGTACCTCGGGTGGCTGTCTGTGCGCAGCCGCTCGGCAAGCACGCCTGCTGCAGGACCGGCCTTGCCTTCTCCTCCCTTCCAGGACAGAACCTCGAAGGAAGCAAGACCGGGAACGATGCTGTGGTGAGAAACATCGTACAAACACTTCTAAATGCGAAAGATGTCGAAACCACGGTCTAAAACCTGGAGCCTCGATTACATTCATGGCGAACTTGGCCTCCCCTCGCGATCCTGCCGCTGGAAAGAAGAAGGCGTCAAATCCCCAGATGTCCCCATCCCTCCCCAGGACGTTTGTTCAGCCTGCATATTTGATTGACAATCCTAAAGAGCTCGATCAAGGTCACCAGAACAATTGAATTGTCAAAGACCTCGCGTCGTGTTGTTTTCACGACGCGAGGGCGTCTGGGTTCAGCGGTCCAAAATGGACCCCTGCGCCTGCCCCGGGGTCGCTCTGGCCAAACTTCCGGGGCGGATGCAGCCGTGGCCGCGAGGGCGCCCCAGGAGCTTACAAGAACTGCCCACAGCCCAGCATCAGACCCCTCGATCATCGACGCCTAAAGCCCCCGACTGGGGACTTGGCCCGAAAACCTCACACATGGGGCCTGAGCAGGTACGGTCGGAGGATCGCGCCGCATCGCCGATGCATCGGCGATGCACCAGCGACGTCGGGGCGGAGATAACCGGACTCCGGATGCCGCCGCAACGCCGATGCATCAGCAATGCGGCGCGATCCTCCGACCCTATATGCTCTGACCCCGTTTGTCGCCTTGAAATAATATATTCCCAAGGGCAGCGGGTTCTGGACCCCAGGGTTTTCCCCAGGATTGGCTCTTCATTCTGTGTCGCTTTTTGGCGGTCCTGGGGGAGGAGGAGGAGGAGGAGGAGGAGGAGGAGGAGGAGGAGGAGGAGGAGGAGGAGGAGGAGGAGGAGGAGGAGGAGGAGGCTAGTGGAGGGCCCCAGGGCCCCATGAGGCCCGAGAACGGCGAAACACCTCCAGGAGCCTGCTCCTCCAGGACCCGCTGACTCTGGTAAGCCTGGAAGCCGAGACATCCGACGATGTGATACTTTCCACGCGCGGCCCGAAGGAGTTCCCGACCCGTCCTCCGGAGGGGAGGTTCTCGTCCACGATCCACGTCTGACGATTTTCGCAGAAGAAGAAGAAAACATAAGCATTGCGTAAAAACAAGCTTTTGGCGTTCCGCGCGGATTTCTTGGATCTGCGCTGGATCCCCCTCCCTGGCGCGCGCGCCAGGGGCGGCGCCGGAGGCGCCGCCAGGGGGGCCCAGCGTGGATCCAGGAAATCCGCGCGGAGCGCCAAAAGTTTGTGTTTGTTCCGCTGTTTCTTTCCCGATTTTGATTGCCCTCGAGATCCTGCTGCCGCCAGCAGGGCCCCCCCCGCAGCCGCCGCGGCCGCTGGCGTGGCCGCCGCCCGCTTCGGCCCGGCGGGCGCGCCGCGCGCTGCCCGCGGCGGGGGCGCCGCCTCCCCTTGGCCACGACAAGCCGGCGCAGCCCCGAGGACGCCGTCGGCGACGGCGCTGGCGGAGGAGGATCGAGGAGGGCCCAAGGGAGGAGTTTTCTTTTGTCTGTGGACATCTGTTGGAGGCCTAGAAATTGGCACCAACACCAACACAGGAAGTTGCCTCCACATGAGGGAGATGATCCTAGATTTCGGTGTTGGTGGCAATATTTCGGTCACCTTGGAAGCCATAATATTACCACCATCACCGAGATCGGGATCCTCTTCCCTTGGTGGAGGCACACCGCCGATCTTGGTGTTGGTGTCAACCTCTAGGTCTGCGAATCTGCCCGTCGAACTTCCGGACAGATTGCCGAGCGGGGCTGAAACACGGCTCGCACGAGGCCCGCGTGGAGGTTACAGCCGCTTTTGCACCACGCCCCCGAAGGGACAAAGCAGGTTGGTGTTCAGGGTGCCGGCAACGAAGAAGCCGTTACGACAACATCAGCAAATTTGTCACACCGAGGGTAGACCTTGAATCACAAAAAGTAATACAATTCGACTCTTCGTGCTCAGCGACCTGCTCGACAAGGCGGGTCAACTCGAAAATGTCCAACTCGGAGTTACTCGCCAGGTTCGCGTGCACGGCACGCTCAAATTCGGAGCACCTCCACCAAACAATACGATATCGATGAAGGCTGGGAGGACGAAGAAGAGGCACCGGCATTCCGTTTATCACTCAATAAATCTCCACTGTCACGGTCACGTGTAAAATGCGGAACTTCAAAATCTAGTGACCGTACTCGGCGAAACGGGCTATCATAATGCAGCTCGGAAGCCAACGCGGCCTCCCACAATGTGAGCTCACCATGAAAGCAAGGATGCTCCACTTCACCTGTGTTGGCAATGTCGTAGTACTCCACGGCATCTATACACTTATTCGGCACAAGCTTGCTCGTTGACCACCTCATACGGGTTCGCCGTGTGCCTGTAATTGGATAGTGGATGCAAGATTCTTCGGGGAGGTGACGACGCCATGCGCGGGACCGCTGGCGGCGGTGGCAGCGCAAGAACCGCATCCGCAGGTACCGCCGGGTGCTTCAGGCACGGTTTCTCCGCGTTTGGGGCCTCGGCGGCAGCACCGCGCGGGAAGGTGCCGGCTTCGACGTCACCACGTGCATTTCGCTGCTCGAACCCACGATCTTCTTCCAATTCTTCCTCCTTTTGCGGAACTTCTTGGGCACCTGCTTGTTGACGTGCTTGGCCTTGTCCTTGGTACCGTATTTGCTCTTCCCGTGGCGCTTGCCGGAGGTGAATGGGATCGCAGGGGCGGGTACCGAGGTGTCATGGGTGCCTCAAGCTGAGACAAACGTACTGCAGCGCCTGTGAGGATGTTCGGCGACGGCCCCGTCCATGTAGAGGGAGGTGTCGTGCCCAAAAACCCTGGCGCTGGCGGCAGGGGTGGACGGTCCCTTTATACTGATGCTTGACCACCAACCGGAACTCAACTGTGCATCCAATTGGGGCCCGGCAGGTGAACTCGGCGAAGGAGGCGGCGGCGCCCGAATCATCTTCCCGTTGCATGCGATGTCGAAGGAACTCCTCACCACGGCCTTCCCCTTCCCCTTCGCCCTCGTCGAACGCCGAACAGAACGCTCACTTTTGCACAGAGTTCTGGTTTAACGCCGTGGCGGCATGGCTGCTGGTGGTACGGCCTAAGGGGGGCCGCGCAAGCTAGAGCCCAGCCAGCAACGTGAGCCCAAGGGAGGAGAGGGAGGGAGGAGGGCAAGGTAGGAGTGAGGGGGGGAGAGAGGCAGGAGGGTGAGGGATGAGGGTGAGGGAGGAGGGAGGAGGAAGGATCGAGGAGAGGGAGGAGGTGGAGGAGGAGGACCAGTGTAAAACCAAGAGTCATCAACGATGTAAGAAATAACCCTCCCTCCAAGCTCCCTCCTCATAGCCCCCTACAACGGTTCATTTCCATAGAGGAAACTGCCTTGTTCGAAGACAACCATTCGAAGATCCTGAAACATGCCAAAACATTGCTCTCGGGCTTTCAACGACACGTATCAATCCGACTGCTGCGTTTTGGCGATCCGGAATCGTGCCATAACGTCTTTTTCTTGTTTTCAACACAGCGAATCAACATAATTGTTTCACCCGCATAACCCTGACTCCTTTCAAAACATCATTTTTGGTACGTTGGACATGAGAAGCCATGAAACTCTTGCAAGTGTTTAAACGCATGTACGCGGCGCTAAAACGAGAGCCACGTTTTGAAAAGGAGCCGCCCTCAATCCGTGAAACTCTTGCGAACTGTTACACATACTGTGCGCGGCGCTAAGGTGAGAACCACAATTTGACAACGACCCGCCCTCAATCCGTGAAGGTCTTGCAAAGTTTGAAAACGAATGTGCGCGGCGCTAAGACGAAAGCCACATTTTGAAAACGACCCGCCCTCCATGTGTGAAGCTGTTGTCGCTTCTTACACTTCAGAATCATAAATGGCGAGGAAGTCTCCGGCGGAACGCCCGGCCCGCCCTAAAAACTGGCCTCGGGGTGCGACAGGGAGGAATTATCCGCCGATCCGGCGAGTGAGTTTGAGGAGTCTACGCTGAAACTCTGCTTCAGCATGAGCTGTAGCTCTGCTTGGGAGGGAGGGAGGGAGGGAGGGAGGGAGGGGGGTGGACGTGATTACCTGACGAATTATGTGTTCGGTACCTCCCCCCCCCTGCCGGGGAGGGGGGGGGGGACGTAATTACAGGAGGGGGGGACGTACACACTTGACGAATTATGTCCTCGGCACCTCCCCCCACCCTGCCAGCTCCCAGGAGAGAGGGGGGGGGCGGCAGGAGAGAGGGGGGGGAGGGGGTGGGGACAGAGAGAGGGGGAGGGGGGTTCAGGAGGGGCAGGAGAGAGGGGGGGGGGGAACAGGAGAGAAGGGGGGGGGGAGGGACAGGAGAGAGGGGGGGGGAGAAGGGGGGGGTGGACAGGAGAGAGGGGGGGAAGGGGACAGGAGAGAGGGAGGGGGAAGAGGGGGAGGGTGGACAGGAAAAACAATGGGGGGAAGGGGAGAGGAGAGAGGGGGGGAGGGGGAAAGAAGAGAGGGGGGGGACAGGAGAAGAGGGGGGGGACAGGAGAGAAGGGCGGGGGGGGGGGGCAGGAGGGAGGGGGGAAAAGAGATGGGGGGGGGGACAGGAGAGAAGGGAAGGGGGGACAGGAGAGAGGGGGGGGAGGGGGGAGGGAGAGAGAATGGGGGGGGGGGGACAGGAGAGAGGGGGGGCGGGGATGGGAGAGAGGGGGGGGGGGGACAGGAGAGAGGGGGGGGGACAGGAGTGAGGGGGGGGAGTGGGGGGGGGACCAAAGAAAGGGGGGGTGACAGGAGAGAGGGGGGGGAGGGGAGAGGTGGGGGCGGGGGGGCAGGAGAGAGGGGGGGGACAGGAGAGAGGAGAGAAGGTGAGGGGGGGGGGCCGGGATCATCACCATGTCCATCATCATCACCATCACTATCGTCGCATCACCATCAGTGTCATCATCATCAACATCAACATCAACATCATCATCATCATCATCATCATCATCATCATCATCATCATCATCCGGAGCGCCCCGGATCGGCGGCATTGGCCGGAGGCCACTACAATCTATAAAGGGAAGGAATGGAGGAGGAGGAAGGAGGAGGAAAAAGAGGAGGAACACTAATAATACAGAAACTACTGTTACTCACACTGATAAGCACACGGTTAATAACAACAATACTAATAAGGCTAATCACATTTTAGAAAATAAAGCATATTCGCAATACCAAGAAAACGAAAAAGTGGATGAGCGGAGGAAGAAGAGGAGAAGGGGGAGGAGGAAAAGGAGGAGGAGGAGGAGGAAGAGGAGGATCGGACTGGGCGAAAAGGGGGGGATAGCAAAAAGGGGTTTGATAATCAGCTCACGTAGTTGATTTTCCCGGCGCTGGAGGCGGTTATGTATCCAGGAATGCCTCGGCGGGTTCGAACCCCCATTTCCGTATCCCCCACTTTCGTACGGCCCGAGAGGAGGAGGAGGTGGAGGAGAAGGAGGAGGAGGCGGAGGAGGAGGAAGAGGAGGAAGAGGACGAAGAGGACGAGGAAAAGGAGGAGGAAGAGGAGGAGGAGGAGGGAGGAAGAGGAGGATAACTACGAGGAGGATCAGGAGGATGAGCAGCATGACGACGACGGCGGGGCGGGAAAAACGGCAGCCGAGGGAGAAGAAAGGGAGGAGGCGGAGCGCTGGGCGCGCGAAGAAGCAAAGGCGGCCTGGCGGGGGCAAGGAGAGGAAAGAAGAGGGGCGGCAAAGGGCGGGGGTGGTCGGTTCGACGATGGTAAGGCAGCGGTGGTGGTCGTGGCGCCGTCGTGCTGGCCGTGGTCGTGGTCTTTGCGTTGGTCGGCGGTAGTGGTGGTGGTCGAGTTGCCGGCTACCGCAACAGGTCATGGCCGTCCTGGCCGCTGCGGCCCCGCTGCGGCTGCGCGTGACATGCCCTCGGCGGGGTGTTTCTGGGAGCGCTCTCGCCGCCCCTCGGCTGCTAGGATGGCCTCGGCGCTTCCGAGGTGCTACCGCGTGCCCAATTGTTGCCGGCCGCAACGGATGACCTCCGTCCGCTCCGCAAGGGCCATGCCGTGACCCCGTGAGCGGACGTCCGCCACGGTGGCGTCTCCCGGGCGGCCCCCTGCTCCGAAAACCACAGGGACGAACTGGCCCCCTCGGGCGGGTAGCGCTCCCGCCTCCCGCTTGGCGTCCTCCGCGTTGGTCGCGGCGAGGCCGTCCTTGTTCGAGCGGGCCTGCTGGCGCGGCGCGGTGCCGCTGTGTGCGCAGGTCACGCTCGTCGCATCCAAGAACACTGTCTGTCCGGTCGCCGCGTCGTGGATGGCGACGTCGAGCCGCGACTCTTCCAGGCGCCCCGTCCGCGGATTCACCCTGTCCGAAGCAACGACCCGTTGCTCCGTCTGCGTCGCGTGCCCTGTGGTCCGCTGGTGGTAGCCGGCGGAAAAATCCCAGAGGCTGTTGTGCTTGTTGTTGCGGTAGGGGCCACACGGGCACTTGAGGGCGTGGCGCCCGCGTCGGTCAAGCGCCTCCCCGCACAGCCATCCGTCGGCCTCGTGGAGCTTGCAGGTTGTGCCCGGCGGGCACACGGGCATGCGCAGCTTGTCCTTGAGAGCGACGCGGAAGTGTTCGTCTGGCATTGGCAGACGTCTGTCCCTCCCTCCCTCCCTCCCTCCCTCCCGGAGGAGGAGGAGGAGGAGAGTTAGGAGGAGGAGGAGGAGGAGGAGGAGGAGGAGGAGGAGGAGGAGGGGATGGAGGAAGAGGAGGAGGAGGGGATGGAGGAGGAGGAGGAGGCGGAGGAAGGATGGAGGAGGGAGGAGGGGAGACCATCGAGGACAACGACGTCGACGACGTCTTTCCGGGCCCGTTTCTGATGCTTCTTGGTTTTCACCGCCACGCCCAGACGCGGCTCGCAACACACATGTTCAGGATGGACCCCGAGAGATGGCGCTTGGAACGGACTGTGGCCCAGAGAGGGAGGCGCCGCCCTCGTCGTCCTGCTTATATGCCTCCGCTACGCCTTCTTCCCTCGTCCGGCTCCTCCTTCTTCTCCTTCTCCTCGCCTTCCTTTTTCTCTTCCTCCAACTCCTCCTCCTCACCCTTAGGTGTCTTAACATCATTATTACATATATCATTATTCTTCTGCTGCTAGTCTTTTTTCTTATTCTTCTTCTTATTATTACTATTGTCTTCTTCTCCTTCTTCTTATGATTATTGCTCTTCTTTGTCTTATTCTCATCCTCCTCCAGCGCGTGCGTGCGCCGCCGCGCGCGAGGGGGTGGCAAGGAGTGGAGAGCTCCAGGGGCCCCTGGAGTCCTCCGCTGCAGGAGTGGAGGGTGACCAGGAGCGGGATTGGGGGAGCAGGACAAGAGGAGGGGCTGCGGGCTGACGGAGGAGGAGGAGGAGGAGGAGGAGGAGGAGGAGGAGGAGGAGGAGGAGGAGGAGGAGGGAGGAGGAGGAGGAGGGAGGAGGAGGAGGGGGGGTAAAACGACGAGCAGGTGCAGGAGAGGGGTTGTGTCAAGAGGTAGAGGAGGAGCACCAGCCGCAGCAGCAGGAGGGGGAGCGTGAAGAGGAGGGTGAATATTATGCTGGCGGGCTGGGGATGAGGGGAAGGAGGGGGAACGATAAAGGGAGCAAGAACAAGAGGAATGCCAAGAAGGGGGGGGGGAAACCAGCTGGTAGGAGGAAGCGGAGGAGGACGACAAGGAAGGGCAGGAGGCGGCTCCGAGAATACGGTGAGGACGACGAAGCTGACCCACCCAAACGTCCGGGCGTGCCGAGAACGAGGAAGGAAGGGCAAGAGCAAGCGGACGAAAGACGAGCGCGCGACTCAACCGACAACAAAGCTCACGAGCGAACGAAACGAACGCAGGAAAACTAGCGAACATGTCGCCGTAAGCAAATCTCATCCTGAGAAAGAAGGGGGCGGACCCGAGGAACACCTGTAACCAAAGACTGTGGTTCGATGTTCCCGTCGGCGCAAAAATACCTGTGATGAACACCGCCGTACCTGTGAACCGACCTTTCGGTAGGAAGCCCCCGTCGGCGCAAAAATACCTGTGACGAACACCAAGAGTGGTTAGAGGTCCCAGTCGCCACAAACATACCTGGGATGAACACCACCGTACCTGTGAACCAACATTGCGGTAGGAGGACCAGGTCGGCACAGCAATGCCTGTGACGAGCATCACCGTACCCATGAAACAAAATACCAGCTGAACCCGTCGGCACTGTAACACCTGTGACGAGCCCCACCGCACCTGTCATCCAAGACAGTGGTCCAGCCATATGCTCGGCGGTGGACAAACCTCCCTTTAGTAAACCACCCTTTCGTGAAAACGGCCTGGGACCGACACCGACGGATTTGGACCCGCAGAAAAAACGGCCGTGACGCCCTCTCGCGAACCGAAAACGGCCAATTCACTTATCGACGTGTCAAGGTAAGGGGCCTACCAACCTCCGACCTGCCACCCACAGCAGCAACCGCCGGTCCACTTCTGTCCGTCGCGCTGCGCCCGTCGGCCAACCCAGGCGTCTCTAGGAGAACGTCCCTGGGGCGGGCACGAGGCCGGCCCTGGAACGCCTCTTCTTTGACACCCACGCAACGCGGTCGGTCGTTGGCACAGCACCTGCACACCACGGGCATTCCATCGAAGGGTCGTTCTCTTGGTTTGAAAAGTTGGAGGAGAGAGGGTAGCAGGCAAGCGTACAACAGGAGGGCGACGAACGAGACACTGGACTCACCCCCCTGCCTTCATGATCACCCCTGCCCGTCTCGAGTGGCCTTTGCAGCCGCGGCAACCTTGGCTGTCGAACTGGTTCTGCCAACAGCTGCTGCGTTGGCAACTTTGAGGGCGACCCTCGGGGCAGCGTGCGTCTCCGCAGGCCTCCGCGCGTTGGGAGTGAGGGATTGCTGCAGCAGGCGGAAGCGAATCGCATAAATGGAGAATACCAGGGCGACGGAGAAGGGATGAGCGGCTACGCAGGTACGGAGGGCAGAGGGGGAGGGACACAATGAACAGAGGGGGCGATGGCCGTCGTGCTTCCCCCCCTCCACCTCCCCCGTAAGCCCGAAGACTGGAAACCAAAAGGCCCTGCCTTCCGTTTCCGCTGCGCCTCCCTGCTGTCCTCCTCGCCCTCATTCGCGTCGTCGTCGTCGTCGTCGTCGTCGCCTTCTTCGTGGTCCTCATCTTTCTTCTGCCCTTGCGTAGCCGCTACGCGTCCGAATGCGGGAGCCTGGTCGTGCTCCTATGCAATGCCGCCGCGCTGCACCGCAAAGAGAGAAGAGACTGTCGGCCCAGCGCCGAAGGGACGCGGGCGGAGATGCGTCCACTTTGATCCTCCAGAATCGCAGCAGTAAGGGAACTGCTGGTAAAACAACCGTGGGCTACAATCAAGCTACGACCATACGGAACGCTGAACAAGGAATGGGGCCCCTTTCTGGCCCCAGTGCCTGGGAACAGAAGGAGCGCTAGAGGAACAACCGTGGACGGACCTAAGGAACAGCGAGCCCTTCCGAACCCGAGCTGATCCTTACTCCAGCGCCTCGACTACAACAATTGAAGTGTTTTGCCTATTCATCGCGGAATCAAACGCATGCCTCGTAAGGTTAATCGTGACTTGATTTGTTTAGCTCGTGATCTTCTTGTGCGTCTTGCTCAAGGGAGGCCGTTAGGTCTCGACGGATTGACGACGGACGCGTTGCCATGGCTTATGGTCCGTCAAACAGGACGCGTGCCTATGTGTATACGTATGTGCGAAAGCCCGCCGGCCCAGCCGAAAGGGCGGGGTGATGCGGCGGGCGCGCACTTTTTTGACACGCGTGAAAGGTTGCGTAGAAGTCTTGTTTTTTGTCCTCTCTCTCTCTCTCCGCTGCTCTAGCCCCGCTAACCTCCATGCGGAAGGTAAGCGGCGAGGGTGATTACACTAGCGAGGGGGTCGTTAGCAATGACTCCCCCCGCGGCCTCTCGGCGCGGCACTGCCGTGCGCGGGCGGGCGTCGGCGCATTGGCTACCGTCCCGAGCAACAGAGGCGGGACGAGCCAAGCAGCTTCGGCAGGTCCCGAGAGCCAAGGGCGGACTTCACCCCGAGGGCCAATTTGGGCCCGCCACGGCGCAATCCCCAAATATAAGTTTTGCGGCGCGCGTGGCAGGGGAGGGGGTGCTCCCGCCACGGCTCTATGGGCCTGGCCAATGCCACTCGGCATGCCCCACCCTCTATGAGATGGCGCGCCCGCGCCCGCCTCCCAGCGTTCAGCTCGTCGTGCTGCCGGCATGCTGAATGCTTCGATGCACCAGGCGCGCGCAAGGCACGGCCCCGGAGCGTGCGTGGGGAGATTGGGGCACGGCTCCAGAACTCGCCCCCTGCTCTGTCATCGCACCGCCGCTGTCCACGATCATCGCGCCTCTGATTGTTCCGGCTCTGGCTGCTGTTCCAGCCCTGCCAGCTGCTGGGGCCCCGCGATGAGTTCCACGAGGTCCAGTGGTTGCCTGCGTCAGGGCGCCACGGAAGACGCGGAAATGCCACCTCCGCAGGCTGCCTACAGTCGGCGGTCTGCTGTTGCCAGGGGGGCATGGCGCCTCTCTCTGTGGCGCCTCCACCAACTGGACGCCCCTTGGAAATGAGCAGAGCGGGGTCTTCAGAATTCGCTCCCATGACGTGGGCTGCGACTCGCGCCGACGGAACACTGCCTGTCGGTCTGGCGGCCCCTGGCTCCCTCGGCGCTTCTGAACTCGCCCCGTTCCCTAACTACTGCCTGATGTTCGCGCCGTGATAGGCCGCGAACAAGGCGGAGAAAGGCGGGATTAACTGGGGCGCTAGCGATCCGTTGAGCCTCGCGCGTCGTGCTTTAATGCACTGCTGACACCGTCGGCAAATGCACGGTCCTCACCCCCAGCAGCCCCATAATCGAGATTCTCCCAGGGTCTCCAATGCTCCTCTAGCTCGGCCTCCATCATGTTTTCCTTGGGATCATCGAGCGTTCGGATCGCGTGAGAATCGCTGACCATCGCCCGCCATTGCTCCCAGCCCGCCGACGGTGACTCAGCATGTGCGTCGAAGACGGCTGTGGCCCCAGTCGAAGGGCTCGAAGATCAAGGACTTGCCCCCTGAAGGTATGATCCGCCATGTCAATGCATGGCCACCGCGCGCGCGGTCTTGGTGACGTAGCCAGCGTGCGCCCAGCTTCCGGGCTTTCATCTGCTGCCAAACATCGATCTCTGGCGGCGACTTGTCATGCCTAGACGTTGGGCGCCGTGCTAGGGCAGACATGATGTAGCGCTTGAGTGCTGTCTGGCCCCGCAACGCCCGTGCGCGCCGATGCCGCGCCTCAGAAGGTGAGGGGGGGTCGCGACCGGCGTCGAGCGAGGAGTCGACCTCATCGATCTGTCGCCGTCAGACGAGATCGAGATAGGACCAGCGGCGGTGACCGTTCCATCCGCGACGTCGGACGAGATCTCGCACGATTGCTCAACGCCGGGTGGCAACTGCGGTCCATGGCCGACCAAATCATCGCCCGATATCGCCCGCTCTCGGCGTATTTGGCCGGCCAGGCTCAGGTTCGATGTCGGCGTCGCCAGCAGTCATGGGGACATCGACGCTGATGTTCTGCGCAGAGCGTGGGTCAAGGCCCCTGACGCTGTCAAAGGGCGCGAAAACGATTTTGCTCGCCTCCTTTTACCCGTGGCACTGTTCGGGAATGCCGAACGCATCGTCCATCGCGCCGGGGGGGGCGGTGCCTCCAAGCTTCGCAGAAGAACTGTGGGCTGATAACCCGTGTTTTGCTGGTCCATCGCGCAATTAAGCAAAGGCTTAGTAAGGTGAACCGTATCTGGATGTTCTGGTTCGTGATAGTACTGTGCGTCTTGCTCAAAATAACCCGTAACCTCCCGACGGGTTGATGATAAACTTGTTGCCGTGGCTTCTGGTCCGTTAAGCGGTTAGTGATGATTAACATGCATATAGGAGCGTTAGTAATGACTATTGGTTCGGCCAATCAACTCTTCTGACAGCGCCCGCACAGTTCCAAGTCAAAGGCAGACTGGGCAAGCTACAGTGCGGACGCGGCCGCAAAACACCCTCGCAAAACACCCAGCCCTGAAGACCCGCCGCGAGGTGCGACTTGGGGGCAGCACAACACACCCTGGACGCGGCAATTTCTCTTGCGGGCGCGGGCGGTCGCCGCACGGTGCGCAAACCGAATTAACCTAGGGTGCCCTTACGAAGCGCATGCGGTTTCTTGATGCGCGGCCCCGCTGCACTTGCAGGGAAATCGGCCTGCATGCAAACGAACCCCGACGAACCTCCAGTGCGTGCAGCTTGGGGGGCCTGAGCGGCACTGCCCTTGCGTAGTCAGACAAACAAGCGGCCCCGACATCGAATCGATAAGTCGAGTCGGGTCGTCTCGAACATCGAATCGACAGAAACCGGCAGAAGTCGGCTGCCGGATCGAAGCTCGCAAGAGTCGGCAAGGCCGCATCGGATGGCGTCGGAAACCAAGTGGACGGACGCCGGATCGGCATCGACCAGCCCTGGACAAAGGCTCCCTGTGCTCCTCTTCCGAGCCGGGCGGGGCGCCTGCGCGGAGAGCTCGGGCTGCTCGCCTCCGCCTCCTGGGGCTCGGGCGTTCGCCAGTCCTGGGCGCTGAGGCTCCTTCTCCCTCGAGAGTGAGAGGCCTCGCGCATCTGCATGGCCTGACGCTCCTTCGAATCGGCGACAGGCGAGGGGGGGAAGTGAGACTCGCGCCTTTTTGTGAAGTTTTCAATGTCTTCGGGGAAGGCTTAGAAAACTTCTCAGAAGGCCGGGGGGACTTCCGAGCCGTCTGAGGAGTCCTCTTCCTTCTCGCTTGCCCCCCTCGCTCGCCGCCAATCGAAGGCAAGCTCGTCCCACTCACCCACACGGGCTTTGCCTGGCCGCAGCGTCGGAGTGGCGGGGGAGGGTATCTATCCGGCGGACGGCGGGGAGGGGCACATGCTTCCCCTCCGCCTCTCGCTCCTCGAAGAGCTTCGGCTTGACCCCCTCTTGCGCCGTCGCGACCAGACCTCCCCCGAGGCGTGGGAGAGCCCCGAGGAATGGGTTGGGATCCAGGTCTCAGGACTTTGGTGGTTCTCGTTACTTCTGGGGCTCCGGCAGGCTTCCCGCCGCCACGGCAGGATTCCCTCTGCAACTCCGATCCGCTTCACTCTAGAAGAGCCTCGGGGGCTCGTTGTTGAGGGAGGAGGGAGCAAGGATCTCCCCTGTTCCTCGCCCCCCTCCCCTCTCCCCGCCCCTTTCCCTCCCACCGCCACCCCTCCCTCCTCTCCCGTCCGCTCTCTCGTCTTTCGGCCTCTGGAGGCCGCTTGCAGGATCCAAGACTGTCCCCAAACCGCTCAGGATGAAAAGCTTGTCCGAAGGAAGGGGCCGACCGTCCTTATCCAGAACCCACATTGTGAAATCATCGCGGCGTCAGTGGTCTGGGTCCAATATCGCGTCTCTCTCATTCTCCCCTCTGCTTCTGTTTCCTGATGGCCTGAAAGTTTTCCGAACGTGCTCCCCCCCAAGGCAGGTCGGCCCAAGGGTGTTGATCAAGCCAGTGCCCGGAGAAGAAAAAAAAAAAAGGGCCCTCCCGTCCTCAACTTCACAAGCTCGAAGGAAGTAGAGAAGAGAAAAGTAGCTGTGCGTGGCGGCGGTGGCACCAGGTGGCGGCGAAAACAAATGTTGAAGGCCCCTGGGGCTGTGGTCTTGTAGCCCTGTGGGATAGGTTTATGCCTTCCGTGGCGGTGGCGCGGTTGTCTCGGTCTTGTACCCGTCCAGAGCCAAGGTGATGCCGTAGTCCAGCCACCCTTCTGCTGGTGTGGAAGGCGACCGAAGGTTGCGGCTACTGTGAAAACTTTACGAGACCGCGTTGCCGACAGAAGAACACTCTTCAAAAACATGATGCCGTCCGCCAGCCAACATGAAGAGAATTCGAAGGTACCCTACCTCAGGATGAACCAAAACATCCAACAAGCACGAAGAACATCAGGACGCCATCCTCAAACCGGCCTCGACTTTTATCTTGTTCCGACTGTATGGGTTCACTGGGCAAGTGAAGGCTCGAAACGGGGCGGGGAGGTAGAGAAGCAGCTGAGCTGTCGTGGTGAGCTCGGGGCCGGACATCTGCTGAGTGACATTCGGCTGTGGCTGTTAGCGGCTGCGGTGCCGCCGGCGGCCGCCCTGGCCTTGACCAGGGCGGCCACCGTAGACATCCTTCGCCCGTCCCCTCCCGCCCCATAGCACCCCGCCCATCCCGCCAACACGAAAAGGGAGGTGGTACAAGGTTCGTGTGGGAAGGGGGGGGCCGGTAGGGATTGAAGGCTGATCGAGGCCACCATTTGCGTTGAATGTTTATGTCGTGGGTGAGAAAGCCCCGTGCGGAACCATTGCGCTATACGTCGGACAATGTAGCACGAGTGGGTGAGAGAACCCTTGGGGATCCGCTGCGTAACAAAGCAGTTGTCGGTATTCTCGCCGTGCTGTGATGCGTGGTTGGGCGCGTGGTGCCATGTGCTTCCGTCTCTTACCAGTTGGTGGAGGTGGAGGACGTACGGTGTCTGCGGCCAGCTGGCCTGCGGGCGCCCCCCAGCGCGCGAGTTGGCCAAACTTCGCGCCGCCCCGCGGCGCTCCGTCTGCCGGGCCGGTCTCCGGGCGGCCGCGGAGTTCGTGTTCGGCATCTTGGCGCCGACCTGGCGGCTGGACCCAGCGGCGGTGACGATCATCGCGCCGCTGTGGCAGGTCGCCAAAACCATCCGGAAACGCCGATTCCCCGCCGAGCTCTGGAGGCGAGCCGCTGGCGCCATGGCCGCGGGGCACGGCCGTGGCTTTGGCCCAGTGGACGCGGCGACCCGGAGCATGGCGGAGCTGCAGCTGGGGGCCGACGTCGAGTGCTGGACTGGGGTGGCCACCTCGCTTGGCGGCTGGCGCCCCGCTGACCGCGCCATGCCCGACACGCGCGCGTTACTCCTCCGAGCTTGGGCGGCCCGCAAAGCCCGCGAGGGGGCTGAGCGGCGCGCTGGCTTTCGGCACCTGGGCGCTGGAAGGCTGGAATCGACAGGTGGGCCACCAGGCGGCTCCTCGAAAGCGGGGAGCTGGCGGCCGACGCCGCCGGGGCCCTCCGCGCCGTGCTCGCCAGCAACGTCGTCGCGGAGGCGGTGGCGGCGAAATGGGGACGCCCTGCGGCATGCCCGCATTGCGGCGCGGCGCGCGACGACTTCGAGCACCGCTTCGCTTCTGGGCATGCCCCTGCTGGGAATCCGCGCGCGCCGGCGCACTGGTCCCTGAGGGCCTCACGCGCGCCGCGGCCCGCGCGCGACTGCCAGCCCAGTCGTCGCTCACGGGAGTGTCGCCCCAGCACCCGCAGCTGGCTGCATTGGCGGACCAGGCGCACTGGCCGCTGCCGCGCCCAGTCTTGCCGGCCCCTGCCGCCGAGCCAGCCCGTGCGCGCGCTTGGGCGGACGGCGGCTGCGCGCACCCCATATACCCCCTCCTCGCCAGAGCAGGGTGGGGGGTGGTGCTGGACAGGGCGCGGGCCGTCAGAAGCACCGAGGGCCGGTCGACGGCGCGCAGACCGCGCAGCGTGCCGAGCTCACAACGGCGGTGCATGCCGTCAGCCAGGCTGGCAGGGCCGTCGAGGTAGTGACCGAATCACGCTTCGTCAGCAACGGCGTCGCGGCGATCAGGGCAGGGGCGTCCCCCGAGGACTGGGCCCACGCAGACCTGTGGGAGCTGATCACCCCTCACTGCCGCAGCGGCGCGCTGACCGCGCGATGGGTCAAGGGATGCCTTGACGTTGCGGAGGCGCAGGAGCCGAGCGTGTCGCCAGAGGACCGCTCTGGCAACGCCGCGGCGGACCGCCTCGCGGGGCTGGCTGCCGAGGCCCGGCTGCCTCCGCTGGTGCTGCGCCAGGAACGCGAGCGGCAGCTGGACGCGCTCACGGCCGTACAGCGCGTACTCGCCGCAGCGGAGCTCGCGGCGCTCAAGGCCAACCACGGGCACGGCCCTGGAGGCCCGCGCGTGCGGCGGCGCTGGACGCAGGCGGGGCATCGCCGCCGCCGCGCGCCCCGGGTGGCGGACGACGCTGCGGTGGTGGCCGCGGCGGCCCCGCAGGCAGGGCCGGGGCCAGTGCGCGCGGCGCTGGGCCTTTTCGGGGCGGCCGTCGCGGTGAGGGCGCTTTTCGCCGGCAGCGCCTGGCGGGGGCACGTCGCCTCCCAGGGGCCCGCTGGGGGTGGCCTGCATGGCGTGCGGGTGCTGGGCCCCAGGCCGGGAACGCCCCGCGAGCCGTCCGTGCAGCGCATGGGCGCCGCTCCTGCCCCCGCGGGCGGCCGGCCTGCTGCTCCGGGATGCCCTGCGCGCCGGGGGCCGCGCGGCGGCGTGGCGGGCGGCTGTGCGGCGGCGCCTGCTGGAGCGCCCGGGCGCGCCAGACTAACTACTTGTAATCAGTTGATTCGTTGCTCCGCGCGCTCGCCGGGGCACGCAGCCTTGCCTCCTCGGTCCTCCTCCTCCCCTCCTCCTCTTCCGCCTCTTCCGGCTTCTCTGTGCTCTGTTGTCACCCGTTCTTGCCGCTGGGCTCTTTATGGATGGTTAAAAAAGTGTTCCTCGCCCACGTGTGGAGGCGGGGTGAAGAAAGGGTGGGCTGGTGATGGCGATGCTGATGCTGATGCTGATGCGGATGATGATGCTGATGATGTTGATGCGGATGGTGATGATGATGATGATGATGAGGATGATGATGATGATGGTGATGATGATGCTGGTGATGGTGCTGATAATGATGACTGGTCTTATGCTAATGATTATGGTTATGGGTGCTGGTAGTGGTGATTATGCTTATGATTATGATTATCATGGTGATGCTGCTGCTGCTGATGATGATGATGCTGATGATGATGATGATGATGATGATGATGATGATGATGATGATGATGATGATGATGATGATGATGATGATACTGCTGCTGCTGATGATGATGGTGGTGATTGTGACACCAGTGCCCAGGGCCCAAGCACAGGTGCGACCGCTCGCGCTGCGCCCGCGCGGGCCGTGGGCCGACGGCCTCAGCTGCTGTCCTGTGGGGCCCCCGTCGGCCTGGTAGACTGAGGGCTGCTGCCAGTGCCTCGGCGAGCCAGCCCGCCTCGGGCGTCGCGGGCCTACCTGGCCCCACCCCCACTCGGGGCCCGCTCTTGCGTGCCTCCCCGAGCCCCTCCTGCGGGCCCTCCCTCCTCTTGCCACGCGGGCCCTGCCCTCGCCCGGCAGCGGGGCGGCTCTTCAGGCACGTCTCGCCCAGAAGCGCCGCTCGAGGCCCCCCCCCGCTGCCGGCCCTGCCGCTCGGCAGCCTGCCCCTGCGCCTGCCGAGGCCGGCCCCGCCCGAGTCGGCCTCCGGGCGCTGGCAGCTCCGAAGTGCTGCGGCCGCCCGGCGTGCAGAGCCCCGGGAGCAGCCTGGTCGAGGGCCGAGCTCGCGCCTCTGCTCTGCGCTCCGCCGGCGCGCGCCCCCGCGCTGGCGCTTGCTTGCCGGGGCACACGCTGGGCCTGTCGGTGGGCGCGGCCTCCCCTTCCCCGGGGCGTGCCGCCTGCTGGGCCACGCTCGCTCCGGCTGGGCGGCTGGCTGCCCAAGGCGTGGGCGCTGCGCGCTCATGCTGGGCAGCTGGCTGCCCTTGACCCGACTGGGCGCGGCTCCCTCCTGCTGGTCGGCTGGCTGTCCTGCGCTTTGTCGCCGCTCGCTCATGCTGGGCTGCTGGCGCACTCGTTGGCGCTTCCTCGCCGTTGCTGCCGCTGGTCTGGTCTGGGCTGCCTCGCTCTGGACTCTCAGGGCCGCCTCTGCCTTCTGCTTGCGCCTGGCTGCGTCTGCTGGATCTCTGGTGGCCATGTCTCGCCTCGCTGGGCCACTGTTGTGCCATGCCATGCGGCAGATCTCCTCGGCCACCCTGCGCTGGCTCTGCTGTCTGGTTTGGCCTGGCGAGTTGATGTTGATGCTGATGATACCGATGGTGATGATACTTCTGATGCTGATGACGATGATGATGGTGGTGATGATGATGATGATGATGATGATGATGATGATACTGATGATGATGACGATGATGCGGATGATGAGGATGCTGATGATGTTGAGGATGAAGATGAAGATGATGATGATGCTGATGATGATGATAATGATGATGTTAATGGTGATGATGTTGCTGCTGATGTTGATACCGATGGTGATGATGCTGCTGATGATGTTGACGATGGTGATGGCGATACTTATGCTGCTGCTGATGATGACGATGATGATGGTGCTGCGACTGATGATGGTAATGATGCTGATGCTTCTGATGCCGATGTGGATGCTGATACGGATGATGATGATGATGATGATGATGATGATGATGATGATGATGATGATGATGATGATGATAATGATGCGGATGATGATGATGCTGATACTGATGATCATGATAATGCAGATGGTGATGAATCTGAAGATGATGATGATGATGAGGAGGAGGAGGAGGATGATGATGTTGATGATGATGATGATGATGATGATGTCGATGGTGCTGATGCTGCTGATGCTGATGACGACGATGGTGATTATGGTGGTGAGGATGCCGATGATGATGATGCTGTTGCTGTTGATGCTGCCGATGATGGTGCGAATAATGTTGATGATGGTGATGATTAAGATGATGATAATGTTGTTGATGACGATGATGCTGATGCTGATGCTGATGCTGATGCTGATGACGATGATGATGATGATGATGATGCTGATGATGATGATGATGATGATGATGCTGACCATGCTGATGCTGCTGATGCCGATACGGATGCTGATGCGGATGATGACGATAGCGATGACGATGATAGCGACGATGATGATGCTGCTGATGATACTGATGATGACGGTGGTGGTGATGGTGGTGTTGGCGATGCTGGTGATGCGGATGCTGATGCCAATGCGGATGTCGAAGATGATGACGACGACGATGATGAGGAGGCTGATGCTGATAATGATGCTGATGATAATGATACTAGTGAGGATGATGCTGTTGATGATGATGCTGATGATGATGATGATGAGGATGATGGCTGCGATGACTATGGCGGTAATATTTTTCCACGAATGCCGATGGCAATGATGAGCAATAGTGAAGCCACTATCCACCAGAAGGTGCTTAATAGCACCTGCTCGACGCGAGCTCCGCACTGCGGGTGGAATCACAGCGGTGGCCCAAAGCGCAAATTATGCGAGATCAACTCATCCTTTGCAAGTTAGGCGCACAGTTGGATCGCGTCCCCGATTGCAGGGTGCCTTTGCATTGATAGCCTTAAACGACCCTCGTACATAAGAGCATTGGGCATACCCAAGGAGGCTGTGAGGCGGCAAAACTGCGAGTGAGTGTGGGCAGCACTTTCGTGATCCGTCCCCCCTGAATGGCCCTCGCTTCCCCTTCCCCCCCTGCGGCCGCCCGCTCCGTCCCTCCTCCTCCTCCTCCTCCTCCTCCTCCTCCTCCTCCTCCTCCTCTTGCATACTGGCCAATTCGCCACAGCGGAGCCCCCCCTTTCGTTAGCTTCTTCCGCCAGCGCAGACGACCCCTGCCTGGCCGCCGACGCAAACAAAAAGGCCTGGCTTGGGAGTGACAACGGGCAGACGTCCATATCCCTTTGCAGGGCATGCGGAGGACAGAGGACACTAGACAGGCGAACATCGCTCGGCGGACTTTCCTCATGCGAGCGGCGAGCACGGGAAATCAAACATTCGAGTCGATTGGGAAGGGCAACCAGTTGGCCACCCGACGCGGGATGGTGGTGGCCATGATGCTGTTGATGCTGATGATGAGGAGGAAGAGGAGGAAGAGGAGCAGGGCAGCCGTCGGCATGTTGTTGGTGGTGGCGCAATACCTCGCCTCCCCCAGGAGGCCTCCCAGGTTCTCCGAAGGCCCGAAACTTCCAAAACATCGATCGTCGACCATCGCTCCTCCTGCGCGTCTCCTGCAGAGCCTCGATTGTCGATCCTCCTACTGCCCGACCTCAGTCAGCTCGTCTGGGGTGCTACAAGCGTGTGGTCGATCATCGATCCTCGATCTCCCTCATCGATCTCCTCCTAGATCCTCGACGCCATTGAACCCAATTCTCGATCATCGACCCTCCCCCCCGTTGCCATGAAGGACGATGGTCCCGAGGGAAGCGGGTGTTGGAACCCAAGACAACGTTTCTGAAGGGTCCCCAGGACACACAAATAAATACACACAAATACAAAGATTCCGTATATTTTCCCATATTCTCTGGGTTTCTGTCTCCCCCCCCACTTCCCATATTTTCCAATATTTTCCGGAGAATCGAGGATTAATTGTGTCTGTGTGTTTCTTTTCCTCCTGACATCTCTAGTAGCTGTTGGCGGTCCTGCGGCTTGGGACGGGCCCCAGGCCACCGAGGACTGCGAAGCAGCTCCAAGCAATATCTGCTTCTTGAGGCCCCTCGCTGCGCAACAGAAAGAGCACGAGCCAGCACAAGGAACACACGTCTGACCTCCGCACAGACCTCCGAACATTGTTCTCCGTGCGATGGCGGTCGTCTCGTGTCCCGCCTCGCTCCCCGCCTCGCTCCCCCGTGCCTCCCTCCCTCCTTCCTCGAAGGGGGAGAAGGAGGAAGAGGAGGAGGAGGAGGAAGAGGAGGAGGAGGAGGAAGAGGAGGAGAAGGATCGATCCTCGATCTCTTCGAGCCCCTTCCTCTGCAGGCCGCCCACACGGGCTGACTGTCGTTGAGGTCGGGAGATCGCCCTGCACTGCGGATGTGTCGGCGATGCGTGTGTGGGGGGGAATCGGGCCCTGAAGAACGCCGCATCGCCGATGCATCGGTGATGCGGCACTATTCCAGATCCCTCATTAATCGACCCCCCCAAAAAAAACTCGACCCCCCTCCAAATTCGACCAAATATTCCGGACCCCCTCTTCGACGGGGCGCCTTAGTAAACCAGACCCCTAGGCCCTAAGCTCCAATCCAAAGAAAGCGCCCTAATAAACCGGACCCCCCCAGTTACAAAAACGGCGCCTAAAAAAACCATACCCGGGGGACGATTGATAAGGGGTTTGGAATATCCTCTGGCTCGATCTAATCTGGCCACAGCTTGTTTTCAACGACACGCCCAGCAACCTCCGCGAAACTGCATCACCCATGCAGCCGCCACAAACAGACTCTACCCGTGACGAATATTTCCGGGGTGCCTTGCCAAGGCAGCACGACTCGGTGAACCACAAATGAAACAGCTGAGCGACCGACTGATCTGGCTGCTCACACACATGCGAATTTTGCGGGCGAGCCTAACTGATGGGGGGGAAGAGAGGGAAGCAAGAAGAGGAAATGGAGGGCGGGCCGTCCTCCTCCAGCTCGTCCAGGGGGCTGCACGTCGGTGGCAGCACGACCGCCTCCCCTGCCCTGGCTGGCGGCCCTCCGTCGAGGAGCGGGATTCGGTTCGGTCTGCGTGCCGGTTGCCAGAGTGGCCCCCGTCAGGGGCAGACGGCGCCGTCTTTCGAAGGGAAGAAATCGGTCGGGGAGCGGGAAGGGCGGGGGGGAAGTCCTCCCCATCCTGCTCCTCGTCTTCCTCCTGCTCATCCATCATTCTCCCTGACTCCCTCCATCTTTCCTCATTTTCCTATGCAAGGCTGCACGCGCTCAAAAAGTCTGTCGATGCCAGATCCCCCCTAACAACGCGCCTTTCCCTTACCCTCATTCTCTGTGCAAAGCTACACGCGCTGAACAATTCAGTCGATGCAGACTTGGTGTCCTGGGCTTCTTCTTAGACGTTGTCGAATCGATATGCTCAGAGAGAGCTTTCGTGGTGCGAGACTGCGGCGTTCTATCCCAGAGGCGCTGGCAGCAGTTTGGAACCTGCCAAGGGTGCCCTCTGTCACCATTCCTCTTCATGATTGTCATGGCAATTCTGATGAACGACGCCTACGGCATGCTTGGCGCAAGCGCGGCCGACGCCCGCAGCAACGAGACATTGTATGATGTGTTGCACGCCGCTGACACCCTGCTGGTCGGAAGAAGATAGCGCAGCACGTGCAAGAGCTTGCAAAAGCAGTAGGGAAAGCCGGCCGCGAGTACGGCGCGACGCTCCGCTGGGGGAAGGTCCAGGCGCTCCCGGTTTGCACCAGCCAGATCCTCGAGCAGGACCCTGGCGAGCCCCTGACGCGGGCCGACCCGATGGTGTACCCGGGCGGCCTGGTGAGCAACGGCGGGCGGGTGGCCTCCGAGCTGTCTGTCCCGCGAAGCAGAAATGGAAATTCTTTCGAGCTTTTGTCTGATCGGACCTCCGCTACAGTCATCGGCCTGACCTAAGGAACGATCAATAAGGAACGAAGGCCCTTATTAATCCCCAGGAATAACGCATAAGGAACGATACATAACAAATAACGCGAAAGGAACTGTAAAACACGCACGCAAGCCTAAGGAACGACCGAGCCCCTTCTGAAAAGTAAGTGTTCCTTATTCAAGCCGCTCACTGTACGGCTTATGCACGACGTGGCTGGCCACGGCCCAGCGGCGCAGCTCACTGGGCTTCCATGCGCGCCGCCTGCGCCGCCTTTCTCAATGTGCCACCCGCAGATGTATCGTTTATCTCCAGTGATGGGGGGCACGTGCGAACCCTACCCCTACCCCCCACGATCTCGGAGGGGGAGGGTGGGGTTCACTTCGTTCGGGAGCTCCCGAGCGAAGTGAACCCCGCCCTCGCCCTCCGAGATCGTGGGGGGTAGGGATAGGGCTCGCACGTGGCCCCCCGAATGACGAGATCTTCCGCCGTGCCGGCGTCCGGTCGGTCACCGCTCAATTACTCGACCAACAGGTTGTGTGTGATTGCACCGTGCCGGGCGCTCGCCAGCAGGGAGCCCGTCGCGGCGACATGCCTTCGCTGGTGCATCGGTGCAACCTGTGATCGGCCCATTCATCCGAAGGGCTGGTCGCCCGAGACAAGTCTGGACAACGCAGGTGATGAACGAAGCGGCGAAGAGGTGCCCGGACCCCCGGCGGACGGAGGAGGCAATGATCGATCGATCCGCGGGGTCGGAGCAGCGCTGGGAACACATGAATGGGCATTTCTGTGAGGCCACCGCACAGCAGGAGGCTATGAAGGCAGAGCCTCTCCCCTTCCCCCTCTCCCCCCTTCCTCTTCCCCCCCCATCCCCCCTCCGCCCGTCGACACATGCACATCGTCCGGACGAATTTGATTCTTGAGCTCACGGCGGCGATTTGTCGCCCGCCGCTCGCTCGCACGACGCACGTTTGATCGGTGCGTGCGGGGGCTGGTCAGTCCTGAATCAACGCTCTGTTGCCGATGCGCCGTCCGGGCGCCTGGCTTTTCCGTCTGTCTGTCTGTCCACCTGGCTCGTCCGGACAGCTCTCCGCGCCCATGGTGGCCCAGCTTATTCACCAACGGGCTCAGCACGCTTCTCGAGCCCCTCGGGCCTCTTGAGGATGACGTCAAACACTGGCGAAACACCTTTCCTATTGCCCTGCGGGCTTTTCGGCCCATGCTTCGCGCCGTCGGACACGAACCTCTCGTGAGCCAACTTGGCCGCCTTGACCGTGGCATGAGATGCCTTGGCTCCGCGTGCGCATCGGATCCTCGATGCCAAATGTTCCGTCTCGTGGCACTTGGTGCAAACCCACAACGGCTTCTGTGATCCCAAGAGAACGTCGGCGATACCGTCATCACCCACGAATCTGGCTGGAGGGAGAAAGGTCTATCGCTTTTCGTGAATTCCAATGTCTGCCTGGAGACTACCTGTGGCGCGGCGGATCGGAACTAATGTGGGGACTTCGAGCCGTCCCCGCGGCTACACACCAGCTCCAAGGGCCAGGGAGGAACACGTTTGGAACTTAAGTCAAAATGGCGACGGACTTCCTCTCTCTCCCTCTCTCCTCCCTCCCTCCCTCCCTCCTTCTTCCTGGGACATGTTTGGCTCAAGACCTCTGGCGTCTTGAAACACGGCCCCCCGCCTTACAATTAAAGTGTCTCGACAAGTAGCCGAGTGCGAGCAATGGCCTGGCTGCCTCGCCCAGCATGTCAGTGCAGCTGGAGCACATGCCTGCTGCGCAAGCAGCGCAAGCAGCGCAAGCAGCTGCGGACTTCAGAGTCCGGCGCTCGTTCACCTCGAGGGCTGTGCGCGCCAACGTGGCCGCCGCAGCGCGTGGAGTTGTCGACGGGCTGGCATCCACGGGCTGGCAACTGATGCGACAGCCCAACAATCAGGTAGCTGGACTACCCGACTTCGCGAATCACGCCCCGCGCCCTGCAATCTGTTTCGCGGTATCGCGACGCCGATGTGGAAAGACAGCGCAATGGGAAGGGAGCGGTGGGAGGGGGCATGATGACAGGGACACCGCGAGCGCACCCAGTTTGCCTCTTGCCCCCCTCCCTTGCTCTCACTTCTGCCCTCCCCCCTCTCTCGTTCCCTCCCTCCTCCCTCCCCGGCCCACCCCGCGCCTCCCCCGCGCCTCCCCTCCCCCGCGCCTCCCCTCCCCTCCCCCTCCCCTCCCCCGCGCCTCCCCTCCCTGGCCCACCCTCGTTCGCTCCCCCGCGCCTCCCCTCTCCGGCCCACCTCTGCCCGTGGACTCGCGCGCTCCCCGCAGACCAGCGGGGACGGGGCAGGGTCTCCGTGTCCGTCGCCCCGGAGAGGAAACGGTGGGTAGGGACGTCTCAGTTGGGGGCCGTGGGATGAGGAGGACGAGGAACAGGAGGGTGAGGAGGAACAGGACCAGGTCAGGCTGAGGTGGAGGTTGAGGAATAGGAGGTGACTAGGAGGAATATGAGGGTGAGGTGGAGGAAAAGGAGGAATAGCAGGGTGAGGAGGAGGAGGAGGAGGAGGAATAGGATGAAAACGAAGAAAGGGAAGAAGAACGTTACGTTGCATCTTTGGGAGAACTTGTCTGTCCAATCGCGGCCCTATCCGCGTCGAATGCGTGCCGCATCCATGTCGGCCTCGTCGGATCTGTGTCGAATCCGTGTCGAATACGCGCCGAATCCACGCCAAATCCGCGTCGAGTCCGCGTCGGGCACAAGGAAAGACACCAATTTTGGGGACAGGCGAGGTCTCCTGACGATGCAGTGGAAGGAGCGCGAGGAGGAGGATGCGGAGCCTCGATGTCCACTAGGGCAGAGAGGCCCTTCAACCACGCCACGTCCTTCACCGTCACGAGGGCCGGGGGGTTGCGGCCGCCTTTCGGGCATCTGTGTGCAACTCAAATTTGCCCAACCCGTCTCCGCCCGTCCTCTGTCAACATATGCATCCGCCATCCATTCTCCGTCCTCCTACAGCAAGAGAGCTCAGAATCGAATCGATAAATCGGAAGTCGGCAGCCAAGTCGGGAGAAGTCGAATCGTCGAAAATCGGCTGGCTAGTAGACCTCCATGAAGGATGTGGAGTCCAAATCGGAATCCGAAGTCGAATCGATTCGGAATCAGAAGCCATCGAACTCGAATCGAATCACATCGGAGGAATCGAAGCGAACCCTGCCTAGAACACCCTTAAGTCTGGGTTGTGAACACACGGTGGGGAATTTGATCATAGACGGGTGTTCAACTGTCAACTAAATGGTATTTGTACCGTGTAGAAGAATGATCTGCGTGAAGAGAACGATTGCAAGGGAGACTGAATCCGATGAGCGCAGGGGATGCGATGAGCTGATGCGATGAGCGGATGCTCCACTCATGTATTTCCCTGATGGCGGGGTCCAGCTTCTTATGGGCTCGGTGACGGTCTCACATTCACATTCCATCGTATTAGTCACTGATTGCTTTGCGCTTCATCCCCCTCCTCCCCTGCGTGCCTTTGATGTCGAGGCAATTGAACGCGCGTCCTGCTTCGGCGTCGGTGAGTCCTAAGGACTTAGCCATCAAGCGGAACTGCTGTATGTCCATGCGGTCAGGTGCCCTCCGAATGGTGCGGGGGTGAAGATGGATGGAGGGGCCATTGGAGGTCTGAAAGACAGGAGGCAAGGCGAGGGAGGGATGGAGAGGAGGAAAGGAGCGACCGATGAAGGTAATTGAGGGAGGGGAACAAGTGAAGGGGGAGACACGGGGAAAGGGGCAGGACGTGTATAAGCGGTCCAGTTATTTGTAGCTGTTTGAGCGTGTCCCGCCTTTGTAATTCAATGACTTTCGACTGCGCCCCATCGGTAAGCAGGAAAAGTGTGTGTGCGTGTAGGTGTGTGTGTGTGTGTGTGCGCGTGTGTTGCGCGTATCGTCCTGCATCCGCTGGGTTGTTTCTGCTAAGTCGTCGATTCTGCTCGACTCCGCTGGGATTCCAATTGCGGCTTCGCACCCACGTGCCTGGCCCTCTGGCGTTGTGAGCCGCCGGCTGAGAAAATGTGTGTGGCATGCGTGGCCACCGTGCCTGCCTTGCGATGCAGAGCTGCCGCCCTGGCCGAGCCCTCAGCCCCGTCCCTCTTACCTCTCGCTCTTGCCGTACCGCTCCAGCGCGGAACGAGGGCTGCCGGCACAACGAGTGCGCGTGTGCGTGAGGCAACTGGCTCGTGGTAGCGCGTCGGGCTACCGTGCGCCCGTTGCGAATCAGCGACGACGCGTAAGAAAAACCATGTGTGTGTAGGAATGTGTGTGTGTGCGTGTGCGTGTGTGTTTGTGTGTTTGTGTGTTTGTATGTGTGTTTGTGTGTGTGTTTGTGCTTGTGAATGTGTGTGTGTGTGTGTTTGTGTGTGTTTGTGTGTGTGTGTTTGTGTGTGTGCGTGTTTGTGTGTTTGTGTGTTTGTGCTTGTGAGTGTGTGTGTGTGTGTGTGTTTGTGTGTGTGTGTGCCACTGCCGGCCCCGCCGGCGGCGCCCCTGCCGCGGACCCGCAGAGGGGCCCCACTTCTGTCTGTGCGGGCGCTCCGGCCGCGGGCGGAGGGGCCGGGCGCTGGCACACCCCGCAGTGTGCCTCCCCGCGTCTCGCCTTCGTTGCCTCCTTTGCTGCCTTTGTGCCTCCTTTGCCTCCTTCGTTGCCTCGTTCTGTTTCGCCTTCCTTGCCTCCTTTCGCGCCCTCTTTGCCTCCTTCGTTGCCTCGTTTTTGTTCCGCCTTCTTTGCCTCCCTTCGCGCCCTCTTTGCCTCCTTTGTTGCCTCCTTTGCCTCCGCGTCTCGCCTTCATTGCCTCCTCGCCTTCTCCGCGTCTCGTTTGCCTCTCCGCGTCTCGCCTGTTTCCTGTCTTATGTTCCATCTCTTCCTTGCATGCTGGGCGGGCAATCCGCTGAGTCTTCTGCGCCCCTTCAACCATGTCCAGTTGGCTGCGCATCGCTCCAGCGCTATGGCCCCGCGTGGGGCGTCTCGCGACAAGCAGCGCCTCTCTACCCGTCATCCACGCCCGGATGGCTGTGATGCTGCTGCTGCGACGGCACGCGGAGGCGGTCCAAAATGACCCCGCCTGAAGGCCCGACCGCGCGGGACCGCCACCGCCAAAATCATCTGTGGAGGAGGAGCCTGGCCAGGTCCGTAGGGATGGGGGGTACTGCGTCCCCGCTCCTCTGGCGCATGGCCTGCGACCCCGTCGCTGTGGTCTCCTCTGGGGCTGCAGCTGGCCGCTGCCCTGCCTGCGTGGAAGACCTGGCCAACCTCCCCGACCCCCCTGAGCAGACCATACGTGCGTCCATCATGCTGCCGTGGGCCTCCAGGGCCTCCAGGGCCGCCGGTTGCTCCACGCACACCTGCAGAGGCGTGGCCTCCCCACATCCTCCCTCCGGGGCTGCTCCGCACCCTCGCGCCCAACCCCCCTCTCCACCGCACAGGCACGCTGCGGGCTTGCCGTGTTCACTGGTCTGGCCCCCAGCCTGATCCAGGAGGTCATCCTGGTGGACCTCGGGTAGGCTGCGATTCAAGACGTGCAAGAATGGCAGCAACCATGCGCCTGCTCGTTCAAAACCGCCCTGGTCCCAGGCGCTGCCTCGGCCTGGTGGAAAGACATTTTGGACGCCGCCCCCTTTGGAAGCTCCTGCGTCAAAGCGCAATGGCCGTGCCTCAGGGCCACCATCTCCACGAGGACCTCTGGTCTCCTCCCTCCCCCCACGGACAGGTGGACTCCGACTGCTGCCAGAGCCTCACTACTGGCACCTGGGCCAAGGCCCTACGCAAGATACGGGCCAGGGCGCTTCTCCTGCAGCAGGCGCACCCATCCCTGGGAAGACGTGCTGCTGCCTGGAACGCTTACGTCGCATCTGTCAACCCCTACCCAAATCACTATGCCTTGCCTAACCCAGGGGCAGTCTTTGACTTATTTGCTCAGTGCCGCGTGGCCCTTGCTTGGCACCTCCAGGCAAACATGGATACCTGCCTACGTCCTCACAGGTGCTGGGCCCTGCTTTCTGGTACCAGGGTGGCCTACTTGCCCCCTTGCAACTGCCAGAGCGGTCGCAGCCCTGGCGCACGTGCGACAGGACGTATGGAGACCTCCCCCCGCCCAAGCCAAGGCGGCACGCCTCTGGCAAAGCGCAGTCCGGTGGGCCAGAGCTCAACCCGACCGCGATCAGGCCCGCAGACCACGCTCCAGTATTGTCACGTGCGCCAGAGCAGGAAATATCAGCCTAGCGCAAGTGGCCCAGCAGCGTCCCCCCAGGCCAGAGCTCCTCGGCATGGCCATCTACGTCAGCATATGGTCTCAGAACACCAGTCACCACAGGCAGTGGATGCATGCAGCTAGTGCGAGGAGGTCGGCGCCTGGAGAAGGCCGCGAATTGGGCGTTTTGCTGCGCGCTCCCAACTTCACGGCCGCCTACCACATCTTAGAAAACCTTGCCACTGGCCTCCCCGGGAAACAAGGTGGAGGTCATCCGCTGACCAGGCGCAGCCTCGCTGCTATGCGTGCGACGCTCCAGCAGAAGCCGTCTGGCATGCAGGGGGGCATGACGCACCAAGCGTGCTCGGAATGCCTCGGCCCATGGGCGCACGACGACGCCATGAGGGTCGGGTTCAACGCCCGCCGCGTTCCCGAGCGGCTGGTGGACGCCTGGTGGACGCAGCTTCAGCCATGCGCACGCAACGGCGCGTGCATGGGTGCTCAAAAAAGAAGCGGAGAGACCTGAGGTAACGACTCTCCCTTTCCTCCTCCCCCCCTTTTCCTCGTCTATCGTATCGGCTGTGGGCTTTCATGCTTTTCGGTGCAGCGCCTGGCCTTCCTGTCCTGTCCTGTCCGCGCGGTCGCTTCGGGACTCTCGAATCTTCCAAGTTTCTTCATGGGAAGGCTATTTCAATTTCAGAATGACCTCCCATTCGCCATTGTTTTATACCACTGGCTGAACTTTTCAGCTTGGGGGGGGGGGCAAGCCTCCGAAGGGGGGGGGGACTGGGAAGGAAAGGAGCGGAAGGTATCGCAGTGAATGTACGGGAGAGAGGGGTAACAAAAAGGCAATGGAGAGAGGGACGGGAGTGACATTTATTGAAAATGACTCAGGAAGGAGAGTAGGGACGAAGGGCAGAACGAAGAGAATGGAACGTGCGCGGGACGGCGGACTGGGCGACATACTCCCTGCCGGAACTTCCAAATAGGCCAGACAGGCTGGGCAGAAGCTTCCGGAATCAACGAGGCACGCGTCCACCTCCTTGTCCTCCTCGCCATCATTTGCCCGAGGCCTTCGGCCCAAACTCCTGCAAACACCTGCATGCCGAACGGCCTCTCGGCACATTTGTGCGTCTGCCGGCCACTGCACTACTCAACTTGCGCTGACATCGTCTGATGCAATTGGCGCTCGAAAGTCAACGCGGTGCTAGGAGCTCGTTTGCCCCCCCTGCGCTTTCTAAAGAAAACCTCCTTGGTAAAGACCTGAAGGGATCCGTAATAAAGGGCTCCGTAATAAGGAGTAGACTAAGGAATCCTTCCTGAGGAAGCCTTACGGAGGTTTCCTTAATACGGATTCTTCTCTGAGGGATCCTTGATAAAAAGGGTCAACACTACAGGATCATTCATAGAGAAACTTATTAAGGAATCGTGAATACTGAATCTTCACTGAGGAACCCTTCATAGAGAATCTGTGCGAAGGGATCCTTAATGAGGAATAATTGCGGAGGAATGCTTAACGGAGAATATGCACTCAGTAATCCTTCGTGGGGAATGTTTCCTGATGCGTCCTCAATGAAGAATGTGTGCTAAAGAACGTATGGACAAAAAATGTGCAACATAATTCCAAATACGGACATTAAACCTTCACACCAAAAACCCTTAATACAGAACGTCCGCAAATATATGGAATCTGTACTCAGGACACCGTAATACGGAATCAGTGCAACATAATCCTTAACATAGAAGGTTTACGTATGAGTCCTTCATGAAGAATATGTACGAAGGAATCCTTACTAATGGATCTGTACTACGGAGCCCCCAGGAATGAATCTTGACTAAAGAAATCTTCACAAGGAATATTACTAAACATACCCTTAAGCAAGAATATGTACCAAAGAGCCCTTACTAAAGAGAACTGATGGATGAATCCCCAATGACGAATCTTGACTAAAGGTCCCGTAATATGGATTCTGTGCAAAAACATGAATGGAACCTTTCTCAAGGAATCTGTACTAAGGAATCTGTACGAAGGGACTCTACCAAGGAGCCTTGGATGAGGAACATGTGTCACGGACTCCTTCATAACAAACTTGTGCAACATAACCTTTAACAACGAATATGCACTGGTGACTGCGTAATGAGATTTTTACGGGGGAATATCTAAGAAACTGTTCTTTTTACGTAGGATTCCTTAACAAGGTTTCTTTATGAAGGAACCCTTCGAGAGGGATGTGTACTAAGGAATCGTCAATGAACAGCTGTACTAAGGAACCCCGAATCAGGAATCTTGACTGAGGAATCCGACTCAGGGAACCTTAACTCAGGGATCCTTACTAAGGAAGCTTCACGGATGAATCCTCAATCGGGAATCTTTACTAAGGGACCCTGAATTCTGTAAAAAGGAGTCATTCGTGAGGAACCTTGACAAAGGAATCGCTACTAGGGACTCTTTCGAAAGGAATAGTTAAGAAGAAATATGAATTAACGAATCTTTACTAACCGACCAGTACTAACTAATCCATAGTAAGAAACCTTTACTATAGAGTCCCTGGCGCTGCCAGCTTCCTCATGGGGATGGGCCCTGAAGGAAAAACCCGAGGGGGGAAACAAACGGGCCCTTGAATCCAATTGTTTATTTTTTCCGGGCCGTCTCGAAAAAAAAGCTGAACCAGGATTCAGTGCCCCGTTGATTTGGTGCTGGGACTTTTCCCCAAGGGCCAGACCCTCTCAACCTCCGCTACAAAAGGAATCAATGGGCATCACCCCACACAAAGGGGAAAGATGTGTAACCCCTGCACAAAGGGATCGCCCACAAAGGGTACCGATTTGTAGTCCCCAAAGGAACCCATGTGTAACCACCTAGAAAGGGGGAATTTATTCGTAAACATCCAAAACATGATTCCACAAGGCCCCCTTAGTGCCCCGAAACCACGGAGGAGGAAAGAGGTGGAGGGGGAGGAGGTGGAAGACGCCAGACTTTTTTGCCCCAAAACGGGGGGCCCAAACGAGCCTGAACCCCCCAACGCGGATATCAAGACATATGGAACCGTGCGACGGCAAGAACGGGACATCCACCATCGTACAAATCGCGGCGCAGCGTACCTCGGGAGCGTGCGCGAGCGAGGACAGCACACACGAGGTGTATCCCCTCTAGGCACAAGCCTTATCGGCGCAGCTGGGCTGCCTCGGCGGTGCGATTCAGCAGCTGTTAGCGTTGCGAGAACGTGTTGGCCGCCCGAACTGGGGACGAGCACAAAAGGGGGTCGATGCCCAACAACAAATTTTGTCCAGAGCCTTCAGTGGCCGCTAATGGGCAGGCGACGTAATGACGCCCCCAAAGAACAATGTCCTCAACGGCACCTGCAGCGAATCCTCTTCGAAATGGGCGGGGACTGCTGTTGGTGTTCGTTCCGATTCTTTCTGTCTCCATTTCGGCCTTTCCAAACATGGTGCTGTGGTCCTAGTGCGTCCCTCGGTCTGGTGTTGACAAGGATACCCCTTGCCAAGAGAGCCCTGGGGGGCTCCAAAATGGCGCGAAAAACTGGGGACATCTTGGGCCCGGACACGGGTCCTGAAGGAAACGGTCCTGGACCTTGGGGGTTCCCCCACGGTTGCCGTTCTGAGTCGCTCTCTGACAGTCCCGGGGTCCGTGGAGGACCCCAGGAGGCCAAGAAAAGTGACATACCCCTCAGGACCCGCCGGTTTCCCTCGGTGCCCACTTGCTTCATGGGTCACCCCCCCCGCTCTCCCCCCGCCGGCGCGAGCTCCTGAGGTTCGCGACCGTCGTCAGCCGCTGGAAGACCACGTCCGCCGCCACGTCCTCGGGTCGCCGCCGCGCCGAGGACGACGACGAGCGACTCCTGCCCTAGACCTCTGCAGCCGCCGTGCTGCCACGAGGCACGCTGAAGACGGAACGAAGCGGCTTTTCTGGCCACGGCGAGCCTCGGCCACGAATAGCCCCCCCGACCTAGATCCAAGGAGTGGCCCGAAGACCGCAGGCCCTCCTGAGGACCGGGTGGTCCTTAATTCAAAACCTTGACAATGCCGGGGCGTGTTCAGGAGGAAAAGAAACACACAGACACAATTAATCGTCGATTCCCCAGAAAATATGGGAAAATATGGGAAGTGGGGGGGAAGACAGTGGGAAAATATGGGGAATCCTTTTATTTGTGTGTATTCATTTGTGTGTCCCAGGGCCCCTTCACGTGTGCCTGGGCGTGTGCCGCGCAACTTTCCGGGGCGGGCCCGGCCGCGGCGGCGCTGGCGCCGCCAGAGGCCCCACGAGGCCCAACCAGCGTCCAACACCTTCGAGCCTGAACGCCGTCGACGACGGTGACGATGATGAGGGCGACGACGCGGGCGACGAACGCCGCACCGTCGTCGTCCAGCGGAGGGCTTCGTTTCGTTGGTTCTGGGGAGGGGGTTTTAGGAGTCCTCGAGTCCAGAGGCGGCCCCCCTGAGACTCCAGAGCCTGGCGCCGCTGCTGCTGTCGGTGCCGCGGGAGGTACGGAGGGCGGGGAGGAGGAGCAACTCCAACCCAGGGGTGGACCCAAACGTTGCTTCTCGTTTTATGTTCGTTTTCTTTTTCGTTTTGCTCCACCTGTTTTCCTGTACCTCCCTGCCGGAACGAAGCACAAAACATAGCTAAAGTCCAGCAACACAGCGTCTGGGTCCAGCCCTGCTCCAGCCCATCCTCTCTCCTGCCTCAGTAAGACACCCCCCGCCGTGTCGCCGCTCCTCCGCCTCTCTCTCTCGCCCAAGTTCACCGCACCTTGCCAATCCCCCCCCCCCTGGGTGTCGGGCTGGATGGGAGGGAGCAGCGATGGCGTCGATCTCCTGCGGTAGATGGAGGTGGATGGATGGAGGTTTTAGAGCTCAAACAAAGCTCAAACAAAGCTCAAAAAAAGCTCAAACAAAGCTCAAACAAAGCTCAAACACAGCTCAAACAGAGCTCAAACAAAACTCATTCTGCGCAAGAGCAACCTTGTGACACTGTCTGTTCCGTGGCCCGCGGGCTCGAATCCGCTCAGCGCAGCGAGGGTGCAGCGGGGGCCGCGCGAGGTCCCCGCCGAGCTCGCACACGTCACTGCCCAGTACTTTCGGTATAGCACTTGCAGCGAAAACATCATCAACAACATCATCAAGCATCATCATCAAAACATCATCAAACATCATCATCAACATCATCAACGTCATCATCATCAAACATCATCACCAACACCACATTGGATGGATCAGATGGTTCGAGCAAGGTGGTTGGCTCGCTGCTGTGGCGCCGTTGCAGCGAAAACATCATCACCAAACATCATCCCTGGGTGTCGGGCTGGATGGGAGGAGGCAGCGGTGGCGCCGATCTCCCGCGGACGAATCCGACAGCGACAGCGACAGGAGGCGAGGACTTGCGACCTGCGAGGCGCGGAGGCCTGTCAAGAACGAGGCGTGCTGCGGGAAGTCTGCCAGACTCAGTCAGTCCTCAGTCCCAACTTCAAAGACAGGGGGCGATGAGGGGTCTCTCTCTATCTCGCTCTCTCTTCCCATCCAGGTCAAAGCCCACACAATCTCAGCGGCTGGAGCCTGGGTCGGGGAACATGCCAGGACTTGACAAGCCCCCCCTCTCCCTCTCTCCTGTGGGGCAGGCCTGTCGATGCACATGCCCTTCGAGTGGGGCGGGCGAGGAGGAGCAGGATGAGGAGGGGGAGGAGGAGGGATGAGGAGGAGGAGGAGGAGGAGGAGGAGGAGGAGGAGGAGGAGGAGGGATGAGGAGGAGGAGGATGATGGATGAGGATGGATGAGGAGGAGGATGAGGATGGATGAGGAGGAGAAGGAGGAGGAGGAGGACGAGGAGGGAGGCGGAGGAGGAGGAGTTCAGTTCAGTCAGCCCGCGGAGGCCTTGACAGCTGCACGCGGCCGCTCCCTCTCATGCCTCTGGGCATCGCTTTGCGCGGCAACACGGGACACACCATCAGCGAAACGGCCCTCGGCCTTTCGGGTTGGGAGGGAAATTCGGGAACACGGACAAATACAGGATATCGGGCATGAATGATGATGATGATGAGGAGGAGAAGTGTAAACCCAAGAGTCACCGACGATGTTGTAATACACCCTCCCTCCAAGCTCCCTCTTCACAGGCCACTACAAGGGTTCATTCCCATTGCGTGAACTGCCCCGTTGGGAGACAATCGTTTGAAGACCCTGAAGCAAGCCAACACATTGTTCTCGGAATTCCAACGCCACGGATCAACCTGACTGTTGCGTCGTGACGATCCAGAATCATGCCAGAACGCCATTCCTGGGACTTCCACACAACGAATCAACGTAACAATTGCACCTGCATGGTCCTGAATCCGTTCAAAACACCATTTCTCATACGTTGATGATGGGAGTCCGTGAAACTCTTGCACATGTTGTAAACGAATGTGCGCGTCACCCAAGCGAGAACCATATGTTGAACAAACATGCCCTCAATATGTGGAGACCTTGCAATATTTTACAAACGAATGTGCGCCGCGCCAAGGCGAGAACCATATTTTGACAACGGGCCGCCCTCAATGTGTGCAACTCTTGCAAAATTTAAAACGAATGTGCGCCGCGCTAAAGCGATAACCATATTTTGGAAACGGGTCGCCCTCAATCCGTGAAACTCTTGTCAATGTTGTAACCGAAAATGCGCCGCGCTAGAGCGAATACCAAATTTTGAAAACGAACAGCCCTCAATCCGTGAAACTCTTGCACATGTTTAAAACGAATGCGCGCCGCGCTAAGGCGAGAGCCACATTTTGAAAACGACCCGCCCTCCATCAGTGAAACAACTGCCAATTTCTAAGCTTCAGAGTCATAAATGGTGAGAAAGTCTCAGGCGAAACGCCAGGCCCGACCTGAAAACTGGCCTCGGGGTGCGACAGGGGGAAGTTACTGATAAGGAAGAGGAATGGAGGAGGAGAATGAGGAAAAGGAGGAGGAAGAAGAGGGCGGCGAGGGGGCGGAAGAGGATCGGGCATGGAGCTGGTTGGCCCATTTCGGGCCTCAGACAGCCCCTGTGGGGGCTTCCAGGGACCTCCGGGGACCTCCAGAAACCTCGGGAGGATGACCAGCAGAGGGGAAGAGACAGGGGGAGGACGGATAGGCAGAAGGCTAGTGGATGATGGGAAGTGGGACGGGGAGGGGCGGGGGGGTGCATGGAGGAAAGGGTGGAGTGGAGAAGGAGGATGTGGCGGTTTCCGACGAGGAGGAGGAGGAGGAGGAAAAGGCGGAGGAAGAGGAGGAGGAAGAGGAGAAGAAGCGGTGAAATCAGAAGCCGCGTCAGGAGCCACGTGGGCCTATAGCGTTGAGGCGTGGGAGCGTGAGAGGGGGGGACGTGGAGAGGAGTGGGGATTGAAGCAGGTAGTTACGGCGAATGGGGACGGCGAGCGAGGGGCAGGAGGCAGAGGACGAGGGGCGGTGGGGGAGGGGACTTGGCTGGGACTTCGCAGGGGCGCGGACGAGGAGCTGCAGAGGCGAGCGCCACGCTGGGGAGGCCACCCGCGCCCATCAGGGCACGGCACGGCGCAGAGCCCGCAGTCTCAGATCGCATGCGGACTGGGCGGCGGGGGGGGTCTCGCCGCCGCCTCTCGTCCTCGTTCGGAAGCGAGGAGGAGGAGGAGGAGGAGGAGGAGGAGGAGGAGGAGGAGGGCCTCTCGGGAACGGTGCCTTGGAGCGAAGACGAGTGGGCGAAAGCATCCGGCGACGAGGGGCCAGAGAGCGTCCCCTCCCCCCCCCCTTCCAGGAGGGCGCGCTCAGATCCTCGGGGCGCTGCCCGTCCAGCACGGCCGCGATCCGCGCGTGGAGCTTGGCCAGCAGCACGGTGGTGTCGGGGTCCATCTGGCCCGGGACGGACGGCGGTGACGGGTGGGTGGTGGATGGTCGGCACAGTCAGCCCGTATAGTAAGGATGCGCGATACAGTCGGGTCGCTGAAGAAGGAACCCTTTTCGTTGGGGAGGGGCTCCGTGTTCCTTAAGTGTTTCACAGCTTGCCTTGGGTTTTCCTTCTGTTTTCGATGGGAAATCGAAGCTGAACTTATGGAAAAAAGGGGCCTCGTTCTTTATTTAGGATTCCTTCGGTCAACGCCCCGACTGTAAAGATGCAAGGGTCTTGGACGCCCATTCTGAAGCTTTTCGAGCAGGGCGCGGCCAACGAAAGTGGCCAAGGATGGGCCGAGGAGGCAGGGATGCAAGGGTACCCTTGGGAAGGTTGCCCATGCTTACTGTGCGGGTTGACTGTGGGTACTGCTGATGATGCTGATGATGGCCTTTCCTAGCGCCAGGCGGCGCAAATCGTATCGACGGCTACGTATAATGCGAAACTACACTGAACTTTTGTACAGCGAAGGGGACGAAGAAGAATGGAAAGGAGGAACGGGAAAGAATGCGAACACGGGCGGGGAAGGTTGTGCTCAACGTGCGCAATGAGGAACGACAGCTAGCTTATTGTTACGTATGCGTTACCTTGTTAGCTTCTGATAAACATCATACCTACCATTTTGTGAAGAAAAAAAGTGGCGGCTTGCGGCTGCTGGTGGATGGTTTCTTGCCGAATGATGCCTGTTGGCGCCTGCCGCTCGCTATACAGCCAAATCTACGACAGCGGGCTGCCGCCATTCCGGTAAACAAATGGTCGTTCAAACATCATGGCTTGGTTGCTGTCACAGCACTGGTCATCGCCAACAGTCCTGAAACCACCAACGCCCACCACCGAGCCGAACGAACATCAAGCAGGACGCGTGGGCAGAAGAGTGCGCTATTTGTAACTCTTCGGGAAATACAACAAGGACGACGGCAACGGCCCTGAAACGCAGAACGAACATCCGTAGTCCTTTATTTCAATTACTTGTGCGGAATCGCACACGCCCCATCAAGGCCGCGCAAATGCAGCCGACTTCGGCCACGAACGCCCAATCATCCTTGATCCTTTCGTCAAGTCCGGGGCTCGGATTCCTGGCCTTCTCCGAGGAAGCGACTAGGGAAGCGACCTTCTCGAGAGGGCCTCTCTGGTCAGCCTCTCGACCGCCGCTGCCGCGGTGGCGAAGCACCTCGGCGCGTCGCAGCGTGCCCGGCATTGACGATGAAGCGCTGGTCGTCGCGGTCAGGCTCGAGGGCGCCGCAGTGCCTCTCGGCGCGCCCGCGCCTTCGGAGGAATGCTGTCGGGCTGCTGGATGCCGAGCCGGACGTCGCGGAAGCCGCCTGTCGCCCCGAATATGCAGAAACCACCTCCTCCTCCTCCTCCTCCTCCTCCTCCTCCATCCTCCTCCTCCTCCTCCTCCTCCTCCTCCTCCTCCTCCTCCCTCCTCCTCCTCCTCCTCCGACCTCCTCCCCCTCATCCGTCCCCTGGACCTCGTAATGCCAGGCTCGTCGCCGCGGAGTCAGAACGCGGCTGGCGGCCTCGGCCTCTTCTCGCACGCTGCTCCGGGTTGTCCTCTGATGCCGCGGCGGTCCGCGACGTCGTGGGCGCCGCCCACCATCCGCGGTCGCGCCGCAATGCCTGCAGTACCAATACGCGTCCAAACTCTTATCGAAGACGCCTACGGCGAATCACCGCCGCCCCCTGCCTTTGTGGAAGCGCCTATGTGGCCGAACGTTGAGACCAGACCTGCTAAGCTATCGGACTATGTGTTCCCCGAAAGCCTTCGGGGAACACGTGGGCATCTTGAAGGTCATCTTGGCCGTCTGGAGGCCATCTTAACCCTTTCGGGCCTTCTTGCAGGACGTCTTGGAGGCCTCTTGGGCCGTCTTGGAGGCCATCTTGGGCCGCCTTGGGGGCCTCTTGGGGCCGTGTCTTGGGCCTCTTGGGCGATCTTTGGTGGCACTTGGGCCGTCTCAGGCCGTCGGAAGGCAGAAAAAACGCAAATGCCAGAATCCTTCAAAAACCCATGGGAAATCCATGATTTTGGCCTTTTCGGGCCTTCCTGGGGGCCCTCTTGGAGGCCTCTTGGGCAGTCTTGGGCCATCTTAGGGCCATGTTCGGCCGTGTTGGTGGGCTCCTGGTCCGTCTGGCGCCGTCGGAAGCCGTTTGGGGGGCCTCTCTGAGCCGACTTGTGGCCCTCTTGGAATGCTCCAGGGCCGTCTTGGAGGCCATCTTGGGCGTCTTAAAGGCCTCCTGTGCCATCTTGGGGGCCTCTTGGGGCCATCTTGGGGCCCCCTGGGGCCATCTTGGAGGCCTCTTGGGCGATCGTTCGGCGATCTTTGGGGGCTCTTGAACCGTCTCGGGCCGTCGGAAGGCCGAAAAGAAGGAAATGTCACACTCCGTCAAAAACCTTAGGACTATTACTGTTTTTGGCATCTTCTGGCCTTCCTGGAGGCCCTCTCGGGGGCCTCTTCGGCCCTTTTGGGCCAGCTTCGAGCCAACTTCGGCCATCTTGGTGGGTTCCTGGCACGTCTGACGCCGTCGGGAGCCGTCTTGGGGGCGTTTCTGGGCCAACGGGTGACCCTCTTGGAGCGCTTCGGGGCCGTCTTGGAGGCCATCTTGGGCGTCTTGGAGGCCCTCTTGGGCGTGTTGGAGGCCTCTTGGGCCGTCTTGGGGCCCTCTTGGGGCCGTCTTGGAGGCCACTTGGGCCGTCATGGGGCCCTCTTGGGGGCCTCTTGGGCGATCTTGGGGGCCTCTTGGGCCGTCTTGAGCCGTCGGAATGCAGAGAAGAAGCAACTTCCAAAATCCTTCGAAAAGCTAAGGCAAATCAATGATTTCGGCCTCTGCGGACCCTCCTGGAGGACTTCTTGGAGGCCTCTTGGGCCGTCTGGGAGGCCTCTGGGGGGCCTCTTGGGCCGTCTTGGACTCTCTTGGACTCTCTTGGTCCGTCTTGAAGGTCGTCTTAGATCATCTTGGGCGGACTTGGAGGCCATCTTGGATCATCTTTGTCGGACTGGCAGGCCATGTTGGACCATCTTGGAGACCATCTTGTGCCGTCTTGGAAGGAAACAATTTGAATTCTGCGCCTTCCGGGTGGCCGGCGGGACGGGCCGAAGCCCCAGGGAGAGTTCTTTTGGACAAAAAAACCCAAACCAAAACCGATAGGATCCAGCACGCCAGGCACCCCTGCGATGAATCGACAGGGGGCGGCGGATTGCATGTGCAACTGCAGCGTTGCCGTGTGCCGTACTGACTTTTGCTGCCACAACCTGCAGACTGTCCCGGCCACCAGTTCTTGGTCGAACCCGTCCCCGTGTTCTCTTGGCTGCCGAAGTCGCGGTAACTCCAGGCGGCATGTTGCTTCTCCGTATCAGGCGAACGGGCAATCTGAGGTGGGATGGCCCTCTTGTGCCGCGTACTATTCTGAAGCGTGCAAACAATCTGAGTGACTGGGAAGGAGGAAGGTAGGAGGGTAGGGGGAGGAGGAGGAGGAGGAGGAGGAGGAGGAAAAAGAGGAGGAAAATGAAGAGGAGGAAGAGGATGAGGCGGAGGAGGCGGAGGAGAAGGTGAACGGGGAAAAGGACGAGGAAAGAGACGATACCGATCACAACGAAACGGGCGGGGTCGAAACGAACGGGGGGGCGGCCAGCCGGCCTCGAAGAGGGAGATGCAGCCGCCCAAGCCGATGTCGAGCTCCGACCTGTCTCTGCCTCTCTCATTCTCTCTCTCGCTATCACTCTCGCTCTCTCTCTCTCTCTGTCTCTCTTTTCTCTTCCTCTCTTTCTCGCTCTCTCTCTCTCTCTCTCTCTTTCCTCGTGTGTTAAGCAAACGCCTCTCTGCTCACGGGCATGCAGACGGGGTGCGTCTCGCCCTTGTCACCACATCCCGTCATTGTTTTCCAGTCGTGGTCCTCTCAGACCGCGCAGGGGGGATGTGCAACCACTCTCCCCTGCTTCCTATACGTGGCACCTCCCGCCACAAGAAACGGGCGCGGCGAGCGCCACTAACCCGCGCGCCCGGAAGGACACTCCGCCCGAACTGTTGCGCGCGCGCTCTCTCGCTATCTCTTTTTTTGTTGGTTTCTCTCTCTCTCTCTCTATCTCTCCCTCTTTCTCTCTCTCTCTCTATCCCTCTTGTTCTCTCTTTCTCTCTCCCCCTCTTCCTTGCCTCCAGACCGGTCTTTCTCTTTCCATATTTTTAGTCCTCTCTCTCTCTCTCCCTCTCTGCGTTCTATCCCATGTGGTGTCACGCCGAGACTAGAGCCTGGTCTCCTGGCCTCTGCACGGTCGCGCCTGGACGGACCCACCCTGGCACCCGCCGACAAGGTTCCCCTTTCACTCCCCACGGCCGCCGCGCAGTGGCGAGCCGCCACTTCGATTCCACCGACAAGACGAAGAAGGTGAAGGCCTCTGGCTCCAAGCTGGCTCGCCGAAGGACCTGCGTTGCAGTCCTCCAGAAAACAAGAAGCAGATCGTGATTCTCACGCCTACGACCAGCGGCGGCTGGGACTGGTGAATCCCGCCTTTCCGTGTAGCATGTGATGTTTCGCTTGGTTCAGAAGACAAATCCGTCTTCTCACCCCCTTCATCCTCCTCGTCCTCCTTGTCATCGTCGTCGTCGTCGTCGTCGTCGTCGTCGTCGTCGTCGTCCTATCGAGAAGGGGGGGAGGGGGGAGGGCGGGCAGGGAAAAGGGGAAGGGCGAGGAGGAGGGCAGCGAAGGAACGAAGGAATGAGTAAGGAGGAGCGGGGCTGGGCTGGGCTGGGCTAGGCTGGACTGGGCTAGGTTGGATTGGACTGGGCTGGGCTAGAATAGGCTAGGCTGGGCTAGACTGGGCTGAACTGGGCTAACATGGGCTAGATTCGGCTAGGCTCGGCTAGGCAAGGCTGTGCTAGAATACTGTGCTTCATTCGGGTAGACCGGGCTGGACTGGTCTGGACTGGAGCAGGCGAAACCTCTCTGGAGTGGACTGGGCTGGACAGCTAGCTGGACAAGGGCTGGAGCATGCTACTTTTGGCTGGAGCGGACGACTGGACTAGGCTGGACTGGTCTGGGCTAGACGGCTCGACTAGGCGGGACTGGGCTCGATTCGGCAAGCTCTCCCTCTCCACCTCGAGGCCGCGAGACTCTAGGGCTCGAGGGCGCTCTACATCGCCTGAAGGTGGCCCGTGAGGCTTCTAAGATGGCCCGATGCAGGCCCAAGATGCCCTGCAATGCGGCCAACGACCACGATGCTTGCCACATGGCAAGTCGGCCCCAAGACGGCCCAAGAGGACCCGAAGCTGGAATAAGACATTCCGATGACTTTGTTTTCGATCTTTCACTGAACCCAGAGCTGGTCCCAAAGGCGATCGACGTCTTCACTCGTGGATCCGTACGTAGCCGATTTTGGCTTGGTCGCTCAGCCGCGCGCGCGCGAGCTCGCAAGAACGACGGTGTCCCTGCCTGAAGAGCTCCTGATCCACTCGCCAACAAGCTGTGGCGCGTGGATTCGTCGCCAGAGCCCAGGGGTCGGTTGGGCTGTGGCGAGCTCGTGGGCTCCGACGGAGATCCTGCATCGCGGCCGTGGCTGAGAGCGACGAGGGCAAGGCTGTCGACGACTTCGCCTTCCACCTGCTCGCCGTCGACCTGCTCGACGGCTTCGCCATCAACCTGCTCGCCTTGGACCCGCTTGGTGAGGAGGTGGAGGTGGAGGTGGAGGAGGAGGAGGAGGAGGAGGAGGAGGAGGAGGAGGAGGAGGTGGAGGTGGAGGAGGAGGTGGAGGAGGAAGAAGAGGAGGAGGAGTCCTTGCAAGCGGCGTCGCCTCAGCTGCCGCCGCAGCTGCCACTGCCTCCGCAGCTGCCGCCGCCGCCCGTGCCGCCGCTGCCGCAGCCGCTCCTGACCGACCTGCGGCCGCGCGGCGGCCCCGGCGCTCGCGCCCGCCGCGAGGGCGCCGGCACCGGCGCCGCCCTCCGCTCCCCGGCCGGCGCGGCGGCCACGCGCGTCTGCCCGGCGGCCCCTCGCCTGAGCGATCGCACAACATGCGACGGAGATACAGCTGGGGCGGTGACCCGAGGAACCCTGAAGAAGGAACGAGGCCCCTTTTCCCCAGAAGTTCAACTCCGACTTTCCGTGGAGAACCTCGGGAAAACCCACGGAGCGCTGTAAAACAACTAAGGGACACGGAGCCCCTCCCAAACGAAAAGGGTTCCTTCTTCAGCGCCCCGACTGTAGCGCAGGTGCAGGCCCCCCTCTCTCCGCGTGGACTGCCGGGCTGACGACCGTCGGGCTCGTCGGGAGTGCCTCTGGCAGCAGGCGCGCCAGGATTCCGAGCGGGTGCTGCGCAGCGCGCTCGACGTGAGCGGCGCGGAAGCGTGGAGTGGGCAGGTGGTCGACGTCCCGGACGGCGACTCTGCGAGAGGATCGGGTGCGGCATGGCGGGCGGTGGGGCAGGAGGGAGGAGGAGGAGGAGGAGGAGGAGGAGGAGGAGGAGGAGGAGGCGGAGGAGGAGGAGGAGGAGGAGGAGGAGGAGGGGGAGGAGGAGGAGCCCCCCGATGCAGCCTGGCGCTGGAGGGGCGGATGGTGCTGGCGCAGCGAGGCGAAGGCCGTCGAGCCCGCCGCGCGCCCGCCGTGGGGTGGTCACGGTAATGGCAACGATGATGCTGCTGCTGATGATGCTGATGATGATGACAAGGAGGATGAGGATGGTGGTGATGGTGACGGTGATGGTGTTGGTGCTGGTGATGGTGATGATGCTGATGATGATGACGATGACGATAACGATGACGATGCCGACGATGATGATGATGATGATGATGATGATGATGATGATGATGATGATGATGATGATGATGATGATGATGATGATGATGATGATGATGACGAGGAGGATTATGATTATGATGCTGATGGTGGTGATGATGATGGGGGGAGGAGGAGGAAGAGGAGGAGGAGGAGTAGGAGGGGGATGAGGAAGAGGAGGCGGATGAGGATAAGGATGACGCGGAGGAGGAGGAGGAGGAATAAGAGGTGGAGGAGGGAGGAGGATGACAGGGAAGAGGGGGCTAGGAGGGAGGGGGGGTGGAGGAAGACAAGCTAGGTGTGCTCGCGTCATATCTGACGTCTTACCCCTCCCGCCCATCCCTTACCATGGCGTAGATCTCCTCACTATTCACAGAATCGGATGTCGTAGCATGGCATAGCGTTACGTGGCATAGCATGGTGTCGAATACCAATACGTAGCATGACATAGCATGGCGTGGGGACGCCCCAAAGTTGGGAGTGTCTTCTGCGGCCCAAGAATCAACAAATCGACACCGAATGTGTAATCACTTCCTATGGTGTCTTCGGGAAGCCATTTTCTAGATTTTAGGGCCTATCTGGAAGGACCGAACACCATGCCGGGGCATGGGGCATGGCGCTGGAAATAATGGCACCCGCGCTGCAGCGGGAGCACGATTCGGAACGAGCGGAAGCGCGGAAATGAGGCCAGCGCTGCAGCGGGAGCACGATTCGGAAAGAGCGGTAGCCCGAAAATGAGGCCAGCGCTTCAGCGAGAGCAGCATCTTGAAAACGAAAAAACTCGGCGCGGAAGCGCGGCAGTGAGGACGCGTAGCCTGACATAGCATGGCGTGGCGACGCCCCAAAGTGGGTTCAGGCTGAGCTGCCAGCCTGGTCGAAGTCTGACGTGGGCCTCCCTGGCACCCTGTCCCTTGCTCACGCAAGCTCCCCCGATCCCCCGTCAAGCCCTGACACTGGCTTCGGCCGCGCCCCGTCCACCATGGACGAAGGCGCCGCCGACCTCTCGCCCCGATTTCGCCCAGCTTCCTTATTGCACGTCCTTCGTGCTACCACGGCGCAACCCTACCTGGGGGCCTGCCAGCCTACTTTCCGGGGCACGTTGACCGGGGGGGTGACATCGGCGAGGGGGCCGAACGCGAAAGTGGCCCTAGACTGCTACCCCTGACTCCAAGAGGCCCAGGACCGGTGAACCTCCCCCTGGTCCTTGTCTGGTCGAGACTCCAGCCTGCCCCCCCCCTCGGCTCCGACTTTTCATCCCCGAGCTGTTCTTTGACGGTGCTGGCGCTCTGGGAGGAGACCTCGGGACCCCTTTCCCGCAGGACCCACTTTGCCTCCTGGTGGCTACTGCTGCTCCTTTGGGAGGACACGGTGCAGGCGTCAACTGTCTGAGGTCCGCGCGGACTTCTCGGGTCGGCGCTGGGCACCCCCCCGGCGCACCCGCCGAGGGCGGCGCCGGAGGCCTCGCCAGGGGGGGGTCCAGCGCCGAGCCAAGAAGTCACAGAACCCAGCGCGGACCTCCGAAGGCGTCTTGCGTGATCGTGTGCTGTTCTCCTCTCCTCGATCGATCCTTCTCCCCCGCCCCCTCCTGTGGACTCCCAGGAACGGCTAGGTGGCAAACCAGCGGTGACCTCGGAACCACAACAGACCTCACCGCTTTGTCTGTCGCCGCACCGTTTTTTGGGGGGCGCCGCGCACAGGGGGGTATGGGGGAGGGGGGGAGGGCTTCCTAGGAGGCTGCTTCTTAGAAGGCGCTGGCCTTACATCTACAGACAAGGCCCGCGCCTTCTAAGAAGCAAGGGTGCTTCTGGGACGCCCCCCCCTCCCCATACCCCCCTCTGCACGTGGCCGAGCTTGTGGACCCTGGAGGCCCGCATCGCCCGAGACGTCCACGGAAAACCGCACGAGCTCCGAAACCGTGCGGCCACCGACTCGCCAGACGGTGTGGTCACCGCACCGTTCTGGGATTTCCGGTCCCACTCCCTGGCGGCGCGCACGCCAGGGGTGGCGCGAGAAGGGCGGGAGGCTTCCCGGGGGCTCTCTACGAGCCTCCCTGGAAGCATCTGTGAAGGGGCACCAGGACCCACAAATAAATACACACAAATAAAAGGATTCCCCATATCTTCTCATATTTTCTGGGTTTTTGTCTTCCCCCCCACTTCCCGTATTTTCCTATATTTTCGGGAGGAATCGACGACTCATTGTGTCTGTGTGTTTCTTTCCCTCCTGAATCTGGGCGAGTCTGAGAAGGCCCCGCGCCTTCTTAGACTGCCGCCCCCTCTGGCGCCTCCCCGCTGTGCGCGCCGCCTCGGGTCCAACGCCAAGGGGGTCAGGACAGGAAGGAGGAGGCGTCCGTGAATCAGCTCACGCAGCTGGTCTCCCTGGCGTTGGGAGGCGCCAGAGTCGAGGACACACGCCCAGCGGCGAGGACGAAACCGGCTGCGTTCAGCAGCCTTCTCGAATAGGGGATCGACTACAACATTGAGTTGCCCCCGAATTGGTGTTCGCCGAACAGAAGCATCATATTCGCATATGTCTACGAACATGCTACTGTTTGATGTAGGTTCGACGGACATCCCACTCGTGGCGTAACTCAGTTCTGTCATCGGTCCCCTGCTCGAGCTCCGTACCCCACCCCCTCTGGCCATCGCTCGGACGTCCATTCCCTGTGTTTCTTTCGGCTTCGTGCGTGGTTTTTTCGCCAAATGATCAAGGATGCTCCTCGATGGTCCTCGCCGAGAAAAAATACACGCGTCCGAGCGATGCCGGGCCCTCTCTCTGCCACCCCCTGTCGTCCGGCCCGACTACCTCCCCCGGGCCGCCCGACCAGTACTCCGCCGCGCGGTCCGCAAACTGGAGGACGCAGCAGGCCTGCGCGCGTCCGCCGGCCCACGCGCGCGGGGGGGGGGGCCCTCTGAGATCCTGGCGTCGCAGCTGTCCTCCTCCTCCTCCTCCTCCTCCTCCTCCTCCTCCTCCTCCTCCTCTCCCTCCTCTCCCTCCTCCTCGTCCTCGTCCTCGTCCTCCTCGTTGGGGGGGGGGTCTGCTGTGGGCCGCGCGCCACCGGCACGGCGCCGGGGCCCGACGCGGTGGTGGCGATCCGGCGAGAGCAGGGGGGCTCATCGGCACGAGGGGAAGGAGAGGTGGGTCCCAGGCTCGCTCCCTCGCCGCGTTCGGGCTCGGGGCCTCCCTTCCGGGGCCCCGGGGCCGACTCCGAACCACTCGGGACGAGTGGCTGGTCCACGGGGGAGCCCTGGGGCCCCGTCTCCAAGACCCAGCTCCTCGATGACAGAGGGAGGAGGATCTTCTCGTCATCGCTCGGACGTCCACTCCCCGTGCATCATGCGATTTCGTGCGTGCATTTTTGTTCGATGGTCCAATCTGCTCCTGGATGGGCCTCGCCGAGAAAACACGCACACGTCTGAACGGTGCCAAGCCTACGGGATTCTGGCATTCTGGGGTTGGACCCGCGCGCGCCCGCGCAGGGGCGCGATGCCCCGGCAGAGCAAATAGGGCCGCGGACGACGCCGGCGGCGAAGACGAACGAAGACGGCGACACTTGGCACGACGACGAACGAAAAATAGAGGATCATCGGTGTTAGACCTACGGCAGGTTCGTGCCGTGCCGACTTCGGCGCTGGTTTCGGACACCGCGGGGGTAGTTCCACCTTGAACGATCGGCCGTTTCCGAAACGTCGGATCGTTCGACATCGACCGATTCTGAGTCGCCGTCGGCGTTCAACGATGAACGCTGGCGGCGGGGTCGCCGCCGGTCGACACGACGCGAACCTACCGTATCTCCGTCCCCACTGGGAAAGCCTCAGTCCCGCTGTCCTACAGACACCCCTCGATGGGGATAGATAACGTCTCCGTCGGGCCTCTCGACGTCTATCCCGACCTCCACTAGACGATTCCGTGAATGCAAAACAGTTCTAAGTCCGTCGTCACCACGACGTGTTCGTCAATCAAATTCTTCAGGGTCCTGGTGACCATGGTCGAACCCAGATACGGCAAGTTCGTGTCGTGACGACCTGTGGATTGGATTCTGAAACCATTCTGGATCGTTCAACCTTGAAAGCGATCGCGGTTTTCCGATAGCGCAGATCGCTCGATATCGGCCGATTCTGGGTCGCGGGTGGTGTTCGGCCTTGAACGCCCGCGTTGGGGTCGCTGCAACGTGAAGGCGGCGAGAACCTGTCGTATCTTGCGGCGCGTTCTCCACGAAGAGCCAACAACGTCGCTCGGGGTCCCTCGCCGAAGAACTCTTTGGTCGGGGAATCTTCTGACCCGCGTCAATCCAGACCCGGGTCAGCCAAGCCTTGCAAAATCCTGCAAGATCCTGCAAAATCCTGCGCCCAAACCCGGGTCAATGCGCAGGATCCTGCAAGATCCTGCACCCAAACCCGGGCAAGTGCGACCCTGGCCCTGCAGGATCCTGCAAGATTCTGGCGCTCTGGCTGACTCCTGTTTGCACTGACCCCCGTCTCAAGGCTCCCGACTTGGCCCCGTCACCAAGCGCGCCGGGCCCACATGAGGCTCGGACTGATAAAGACGTCGTTCTTTTTTTGATCGGGGATCGTTTTTGTGAAACTGTTGAAGGAATTATGTTAGCGCCTCTTTCGCTTGGCAACATATGCATTTCTGTTCCTCCTCAGGGGGCGCACTCCCGAATACCTTTCAATGCGCGTGACCTTTTTCAAATCCAACTCGGGGGTGAGGGGAGTTCTCCTTGCATTTGTCTTTGCGCCCAATTCGTGCAAGCATTTGTCCTTCAACGGATGGTCAGCCATGCTACTGAAGCGCGGCGTCTTGTGTGTCCAACCGCCCCGACCCCGATCGTCACGCAGATACGGCAGTCAAGCGACCCTCGGAAGGGGCGCCGCCGCGGCAGCCGATGCGATTTGTGGATGGAATATGCTCTAGCCGCAGATACTGCCGAGCCGTTCCTCAAGTCGCGAACTTCGTGCTCGACGTCGTTGGGGAGATACTCGTGACGAGCACGCCCTTCTTCACGCTATGTACCCAGGGCGGTAATGACCTTGGCAATGGCCATTGCTGGGCCTCGCCTGTGCTGGGGGATTCCGAAAGGGGATTAAGGCCGACTCCCCTCCTAAGGTTTCGTTGCGAAAGCTGGTAAGTGGGATAAGGGTATGGGGCGGCCAGCCCCTCTTGCGTCACCCTTGTATTGAAACCCTTCCGTCCAAACTGGTGAAAGCGCAAGCCCAGTCCGACCAGAGCTTCACCTACACGGCCGAGCAACCATCACGAGAGCTCGGGCGCCGTCCCGACCAGAAAGGGGGGCCAATCCACAGCTGCCTGTGCAACGCGCACATCGCACCTTGCCGTCGCTCGGACGCCCCTTCCTCGTCGGCTTCGTGCGCTTGTTCCTTGCCCGATGATCCAGGATGCTTCCCGATGGTCCCCGCCGAGAAACAAAAGTGCACACGTCCGAGCGATGCCAAAGTATCGGCGGCGGACAAACCACCTTGTAGTAAACCACCCTCTAATGACGACGGCCTGGGACCGAAACCGACGGACCTGGACCCGCAAAAGACGACGGCCGCCACGCCCTCTCGCGAACCGAGAACGGCCCGTTCGCTAATCGACGTGTCAGGGGAGGAGGTCTGTCCACCCCCGACCGATGGCCCCCGCCGAGAAAAAAATGCACACATCCGAGCGATACCAAAGTATTGAGAAGGGGCCGACCGTCCCGGCATTCCTATAGTCCTACCACGACATGTTCTCAGAACCCAGAATGCTCTGAGAACAAAAACAATATTCTTAGAACATAAACCCGATGTGTTCAAACAGGACAGACCCCACCAGAAATGCTCCAAAAACATCTCCTGGAAGCCACAAAAGGTCCTTAGAACATCGTCTGGTAGGGCTGCAGGCGAGCCAGGATGCCTCGCCACTGCCCGAGAGCACCCGGACACCTCCCTGGGCGGCTTCGCCCGGCCGCGAGAAGGCTCCCGCGCGCGCCGGGAGGCCCGCCCTCGACCCCCCCTCCACGCCCCGGCGTGCGAAGCTGCTCGACGCCCGGCGCGGCGGTGACGACCCTCGGCCCGACGGGTGCCCTCCCGCGGGCCGTCGTCGTCGTCGTCGTCGCCGCCGCCGTCGCCGCCGCCGCCGCCGTCGTCGTCGCCGCCGTCGTCGTCGTCGTCGTCGTCGTCGTCGTCGTCGTCGTCGTCGTCGTCGAGGGCCCGGCGGCCGCCGCCCGTCCCCCGCGCCGCGCGCCCCCTCGTGGACCCCCCCCGAGGTGCGGGCGCGGCCCCGCGGCCCCGCCCTCCTCCTCTTCTCGGGCGTTGGCACAGCCGGGTTTGCAGCTGGACTTGATCGGAGAGGACACGCGAGAGGACACAAGACCCTTCCGAAGGCCACACCGCCATAGGAGTGCAAGAGGGCACGCGCCGCGAGGCACAGGACACAAGGGTACCCTTGAGCTGGCAGGGTCGACCTACTAATCAGGGCCGACTGTAGGGCAGCGACCACATAATCGAGGAACCCTAAATCTGATCTGCTCGTCGATATCTACGAGAAGTACCCAGCATGTCCGCAGATCTACGAACATTCCAGGGTGGGGAGGCTTCGGTGTGCTTGCGCACTCTGTTCTCCTCCTCCTCCTTCTCCTCTCCCTCCCTCCTTCTCCTCTCCCTCCTGCTGCTGCTGTTCCTCCTCCTTCTCCTCTCCCTTCCCCCCACGGCCTCGCTCTCTTCGCGCGGGAGCGCGTGCGCAGTGAGGATCTAAGCGCGCATGCTTTCCTGCTCCATCCTCCTTTCCTTCCTCCTCCTCTTCCCTGCCTTCTCCTCCTCCTCCTCCGCTTCCCTGCCTTCTCCTCTATTACACTGCATTACTCCTTCCCGAAGCTACCCGCCTCTCCGACCATGGACAGACCGCCGCCCTCGCTACACTGGCGCGGGCCCATGCTCTAGCATGCTAGGCGGTGCCTTCTTGAACTTCTCGAAACTGACTAACCGGCAGTTGCCGAACAATGTCCGCCAACCGCAGACCTGCCGACAAGGCGCGGAGGAAACGGAGACGACTGACCGAAACAGAAGAGTAGGAAGAGACTGGATGGGTATGGGGGGATCAGCAGAAGCATGATGAGGAGAAGGAAAGCATGAAGAGTCGACGGCACGATGACGAGAATGCCGCGCAGCATGGTATCCACCACCTTGCCCTCGGACACGAGTTGGAGTGTCCCAGGGTCCCTTGCTCGATCCCCTGAGCCTCAGTCCTCAATCCCGAGTCGTTAAGGGGCTCGGGCTCCAAACTCTCAAATGGCCTGGACCTTGGTGCGGTTCTCCTTGGCTCCCCGGAGTGGCGGCGCATAACTTGCTCGGCGCCGACAGGGCCCCAAGACGGGCCAAGAGACCTCCAAGAGCCAACCCAGACGGTCCATGGCTCCGAATCGCTACTTACACAATCGGTCTAAGACGCTCAAAGACCCTTCCCAAGAAGGCCCCGAGAAGCCAAAATCACTAAATTCCCTGAGGTGTTTCCGTGTTTTTAGGTTCTCGACTTTTCGAGCTTCCGACGCTCCAAAACATCCCAGGAGCCCCCCAAGGCTCTCCAAGACGGCCCCAGAGGCCTCAAGACGGCCCCCAAGAGGCCCCCACTATACCCACACGACGCCCCCAAAGGCCCAAAGAGGCATCAAACCTCACTCCACAAGGCCCCCGCGAGGCATCCCGCAACATCCCGACAGACGTCCTATAGAGGCCTACGACCCGTAGCCTGGGCACGGTGGCGGGGTGGGCCGAAGGCCACAAGACAGTAGGATGAGTGACGAGGACGCGGGCGGACGAGGTGGTGCGATGATGAGGACCAGAAGGAGAACATCGTGATGATGATCCTGAAGGGGCCCCAGGACACACAAATAAATACACACAAATAAAACTATTCCCCATAGTTTCCCACATTGTCTCGGTTTTTGTCTTCCCCCCACTTCCCATATTTTCCTATATTTTCCTGGGACTCGACGATTAATTGTGTCTGTGTGTTTTGTTCCTTCCTGAGATCCGCCGACCCCAAATCCCAAATCCCAGGCGGGGAGCCGGGAGAAGGGAGCCAGGGAGCGCCCACCCTGGGCCATGGGGCTCTGAGACCCGACGCCTTCAAAATTTGAGACGCCGTGAAGATCGCGCCCAGAGCCCTATTGCCCCATCTTCCTGCGCCATCCTTCAAGCCGGATCGATCTGCGAGGGCCCAATGGGGCCCGAACACTTCTGCGACAACGCCCGGCTCGAAAAAATCGAGCCCCACGGATCTCAGGGGTCGGGAGCGGCCAAGAGGGGGGTGTCCAAAAGGGGGCGGTGCAAATCACGACCGGCGGCATGTGCGCGGCCCAGCGGGGGGGCCTGGGACGTAATGAAATAAGAAGAGGCGCCATGAAATCTGAGGGAAAATCATGGCCCGCGCCATGAAATCCACCCCCCCCTAGTCATCACCCCCCTCTTTTCCGCTCCCGAAGGGGGGGAGCTGGGGAAGGGGAGCCGGGGAAGGGGAGCCAGGAGCCGGGAGGAGGGAGCTCCCCTTCCTCCCCCCCCCCGCGGCACGCCCTCCGGACGGGGGGAGAGCGTGGGATCGGCGGCAATGCCCGGAGGCCGAGCGCTGGGGCACCCCCCGCGCCTCCTTGCTCCCGGAGGGCTCCAACTCGCCAGGCAGGCTTGGAGGCCACCTATCGAGTAGGGGGTCGACTACAGCAGTGATTTGCCCCAACCTTGACTTCCTCTTCGAATGAACAAAGGAAACGTGGTGTTATTGATTATTTCGGCGAGCGAATCAAGTTTGGAGTAAATCAAGTCTGTAGTCGATCCCCTACTCGAAGCTAAGATGGCCTCAAGACGGCCTAAGGCATTCCCGATGTGCGCCAAGAGGGCCCCAAGGTGACCCCCAATGAGGGCCTCGAGGGGCAAAACATTCGATTCTCCAGATGTTGTTTGAACGTGTGCTTTCGCTTTCAAGAAATCCACAGCGGACCGAGATGCCCCCCAGACCAGCCCAAGACGGCCCAAGAGGCCCCCAAGAGGGCCCATGGATGCCCAAAGAAGGCCCTAAGGCTGCCCAAAGGCACCCGAGCCTGCCAACAAGCCTCTCAAGAGGGCACCGAGGGGGCCTAAGACTTGCCTAAGAGAGGGAACTCGCATGGACCGAGGGGTTCTCCCCCACAACAGGGCCCCTAAGACCCCTAATCTGTCCCCCCCAAGAGGCCATCAGATGGCCCCCCAAGCCCCAGGAGCCTTGAAAAGGCTCCAAGAGGCCGCCCCACCTAGGCCGCCAAGAGGCCGCGCAAGCGTGCGCGGAGGAAGCGGAGGATAAGTGAGCAGCAGCCACACGCGAGCACCCCGACGGGCGGCGGAGGGCAGCGCATGTACGAAAATGGAAACCGCAATGATCGCCGCTTCTGGGGGCTGGCGGAATGGCGTACGTAAGCTTCTTGAATCTGCGCGCCCGCCGGGCCGAGGGTACAGTCAACCAGTATAGTAAGGATGTGCGATAAGGATGCAAGGGCCTCGGACGCCCATTTCGAAGCTTTTTGAGCGGGGCGGGGCTAGCGAAAGCGGCGAAGGATGGACCGAGGAGGCGAGGATGCAAGGGTACCTTGGGAAGGTTGCGCATCCTTGCAATGCAGTTTGACTGTAGATGGCAGACAATACACCCCCATAACAATCACCCCGACACGCGGAGCCGTTTCGCAAGCGCGCCCCAAGAAAGAATCGAGCAGGGCAGGGCAGGGCTGTTCAGTAAACGCCCGGGGCCGTTCAGTAAACGCCAATTGTCGGATCTGGGCGGTTTCTCCTTCCTTGAGAGGGGAGTGTGAGGTTTCATTGCGGGAGCTCCTTGCAAGGCGGTCGCAAGTCGCCCTCTGCTTTAACCCCTCCAGAAGCCTCCCCCCTTTGCCCCGCCCGGCTGCATCATCGACTCATTGTCTGGCCCCGAGACGGTTTATGGACGACGAAGAAGACGAGCTCGAATTTCAGACTGTTCCCGCTACACTCTTTCGGTGCGCATTCTTGCGCCATTTTGGTCCCGTCGTGAGCTCCCAAATGAATTCATTGGTCAATCAAGAGTGCCTCTTGGGCAACTTCGCCCACTGGGAACTTCATACATACAGCGACACCAATGGTTTCGCGGTTTCACATCGCAGGGGGTCGCCAGGGCGCCTCTCACAGCTGACCCTCTTGCTTGTCTGGAGCGTTTTCAAAATGTCGGAGCCGTTTGTGGACGCGCCCCAGGATCGATTTCGGAAGATTCTGAACCCAACTTGGGCCCCAAAGCGACATTCAAACTGGCCCAGATCCCGGCCGATTTCAATGGAAGGTCGGATGTGGCCTGGACCCACGCGGGGGTGCTCGCGCTTGTGGCGTCCAGCGGCCCGCCTGGGCGACATTGGGGCTATCTTGGCCCCTTTTTTGGGGGGCCTTTCTCGTCATGACCGCATGAAGGAAGCATCGGCGTTAACATCACCTTTTGGAGGTCCGCGCGATATTTCTTGGATCATCGCTGGAACCGGCGTCGGACTCCCTGCCCGGCACGCGGGGCGCGCGAGGGGCGGCACCAGAGGCGCCGCCAGGGGGGGTCTGGCGCCGATCCACAGGAATCCGCCCGGCGAACATTCGAAAAGTATATGCTTACGCCGACGTCATTTTCTTTGCGGAACGTGCGAGCGTGCCGAGCCCCGTCCCTGGGCGGGAATCCAGCTGCGATCGGTACGTTGATCTGCCCCTCTGGCCGACCTTGTCTTGCCGCAAGACGCCGCGAACGAAACGTGCGAGCGTGCCGAGAAGGAGAAGGGAGGGAGAGAAGGAGGAGGACGGAGGAGGATGAAGGAGTGCCCCCATCCTTGAAGGGGATTGCTGCTGCGACGGCGGCGGCTTGGCACGGCGCGGATGACTCGCGCTCCCGCTGCTCGCCCTGCTTCTCTCGTTGTCGCCCTCCGTCCCAGCTGCTCTGTTGGCTGAATCGCTCGCCCTCCCTCACCTTCGTCCACCCTCCCCCTCGTCATCGGCCTCCTCCTCCTCCTCCTCCTCCTCCTCCTCCTCCTCTTCCTCTTCCTCCTCCTCCTCTTCCTCGTCCTCCCCCTCCTCCACCTCCTCCACCTCCTCCTCCTCCTCCACCTCCTCCTCCTCTTCCTCTCCTCCTCCTCCTCCTCCCCCTCCCCTCCTCCTCCCCCCCCCCTCCAATTCCCCCTCCCCCTCCCCCTCCCCCTCCCCCTCCCCCCCCCTGCTGCTCCCCTTCCCCCCCCCCTCCTCCTCCTCCTCCTCCTCCTCCTCCTCCTCCTCCTCCTCCTCCTCCTCCTCCTCTCCTCCTCCTCCTCCTCCTCCTCCTCCTCCTCCTCCTCCTCCTCCTCCTCGCCTCCTCCTCCTCCTCCTCCTCCTCCTCCTCCTCCTCCTCCTCCTCCTCCTCCTCCTCCTCCTCCTCCTCCTCCTCCTCCTCCTCCTCCTCCTCCTCCTCCTCCTCCTCCTCTCCTCCTCCTCCTCCTCCTCCTCCTCCTCCTCTCCTCCTCCTCCTCCTCCTCCTCCTCTCCTCCTCTTCCTCCTCCTCCTCCTCCTCCTCCTCCTCCTCCTCCGCCTCCGCCCTCCCTCCGCCTCCGCCTCCTCCTCCTCCTCCTCCTCCTCCTCCTCTCCTCCTCCTCCTCCTCCTCCTCCTCCTCCTCTCCCCTCCTCCCCCTCCTCCTCCTCCTCCTCCTCCTCCTCCTCCTCCTCCTCCTCCTCCTCCTCCTCCTCCCTCCTCCTCCTCCGCCTCCGCCTCCGCCTCTCCGTTCCCTCCCCTCCCCCCCCCCCCGTTCCCTCCTGCTTCCCCTCCCCCTCCTCCTCCTCCTCCTCCTCCTCCACCTCCTGCTCCCCCTGCTCCTCCTCCTCCTCCTCCTGCTCCTCCTTCTCCTCCTCTCCTCCCCATCCTCCTCCCCCTTCTCCTCCTCCTCATCCTCCTCCTCCGCCGCCGCCTCCACCTCCGCCTTCGCCTCCGCCTCCGCCTCCCCCTCCTCCTCCTCCTCCTCCTCCTCCTCCTCTTCCTCCTCCTCTTCCTCCTTCTCCTCCTCTTCATCCTCCTCTTCCTCGTTTTCGTTCTCGCTTCCGAATCCCCCACCGATCTTTTTTCCTAATAGGTCACTCCACCGTGTCGCACCCCAAGACGTGTCGGTACGGCGGGCCAGGCGCTTCGCCAGAGACATCCCAACCACTGATGCTCATGAAGCTTCGACGTTGCCACACTTTCAAGGATGGGAGGCGGGTCGTTCTCAATTGTGGCTCTCGCCTCAACGCCGCGCTCACTCGTGGTGAACAACTTGCCGTCGCTTGGACGTCCATTTCCCGTGCATTTTTCGGTGTCGTGCGTGTGTTTGTTGCTCGATGGTCCAGCATGGTCCTCGCAGCTTCTCGCCGAAAAAAATGCACACGTCCGAGCGATGCCAAGACAATTGCAGCAAATTCCAAGATGGGGGGCGGACCGTTTTCAAAATGTGGTTCCCGCCTTAGCGTCGCGCGCATTCGTTGTAAGCAACCCCAGCAATTTCCCAGATGCAAACCGCTGTTCTCTCCCATAATGTGGCTCCCGCTTTAGCGCCGTGCGCGTTCGGTTTACTTGCAACGATTTTCCAATATTCGTATGGTTCAAATCCCAGGAATGGCGTTTTGGTGTGCTTTAGGATTGTCAGGGCCCGGCAGTCACACCAATTCGCGGTGTTGAAGTCTTAGGGATGACGTTTTGGCCCGATTGACGACTGCCAGACGTTCGTTTTCGAACGGGGCGCCTCCAACAATGAACAGAAATTCTCGTCGGGACCTCTGAATGAGAGAACTTGGATGAAGGGCCCACTTCCTGCAACATCGCTGATGCGTGTCGGGCTTGTACTGGCCACTCGTCCTCCTCATCCTCCTCCCCATTCCCTCCTCCTCTTCCCTCCTTCCCTTTTCTCCTCCTCCGCCTCCTCCTCCTCCTCCTCCTCCTCCTCCCCTTTCCTCCTCCTCCTCCTCCTCCTCCTCCTCCTCCTCCTCCTCCCTCCTCCCCTCCTCCTCCTCCTCCTCCTCCTCCTCCTCCTCCTCCTCCTCCTCCTCCTCCTCCTCCCTTCCGTCCTCCGCCTGCTCCTCCTCCTCTCCCTCGCCCGTCGGGGCGGGCCACGGAGCCGAAGTGCAGGGCGAAGCGGCGCTTGAACACGCGCAGCGCCTGCTTCTCCGGGGGAGCCTCCAGGCGCCGGCGCCAGCTCGGGAGGAGGGAGCTGACGTGCCTCTCCCGTGCTGTGGTTTCTTTTGTGGGCGGCAGGAGGAGGTTCTCCACGTGAGTGAGTTTTTGTTGCGCATGCTGCCGCGTGCTCGAATGACGCTGCGCACGCGACATGTCATCACCGCGAGATTCGGCGCACCCAGCGACCCACCGCCGAAACAATAAACCGATCAACCCCCATGACAGAAAACCAGCCCGCGGGGTGGGTCCCGAAGAGGGCGGGTGGGAAGGGATGGGGGACTGGAGGGAGGCAGGGAGAGGAACAGCTGGAACTCTTTTGGGACTCTATGGATCGTCAGCCAGTAGTACGCTAGAGCAAATCTGGCCACGATTGCACTGCGGCATGGCGCCTCGCGGACACGCGTGCCACTCGTGCGGCACGGCCTCGCGCCCAACCGACCCTGCTAGGCCTCGCCTGTTCCTACTTTACGGGCCTCTCGCCCCACCGAAAGCTTGCTCAGGCCACGGGGCAGCGCTGCTCTGCGAGCCGACTGCATCAGACCACCGAGAGCGAGCCGACCGACTTCCCCTAGGCGCCCGAAACCAACGACTGGCGACTGGGGTGCGTGACGCGCGTGCCGACCGAGTGCTCAAAGACGCGCGCGCGCGCTCGCACGAACAAATCGCCGTGACGGCACGCTGCCGCTGGTTTGGAAAGAAAAATCAAATACAACGCTGCAGCCCCGCCCCTGAGATAATATTCCCATGGGGATAATAACATTCGGGGCCCTGGGAAGATAACGAACTTTTTTCAAGAGATATCGGCGTTGGGATGCCGGGATCGGCGTTGAATGACCTCCAAGGTGATCTGGCGAAGCCTCCCCAAAAGGGCCTGTTTGGAGGAGTTGGCTGGACACGGGTCCTGTGACATACTATGGTGTAGTGATGCCCTGGCCCCTCTTGGGGGGCCTCCCTGGAGGTATGAAAGAGGAGCGAAACCTCTGAAATGCAATAGAGTCGTGGCACATTGGTCTCTCTTTGGGGGAGTCCCATTCACGGAATACAGGTCAGAGCTATGATTGGATCGGCTGGGGGGGAATAAAATTCGGCCTCCCCGCCCCCCCGCCTCTTGTGCCATATACAGGCCGCAGATAAAACACATAGACGTCCCAAGGGGGAGGACATTCTTATCACGTGGGCGCGGTTAACGGTGAGTCCGCCTCAGGAAAGCCCGCGTGCCTTCCGCTCATCGCTGCTGAGCGCTACCTCACGGGCGCGGCCTCTCAGTCGAACTTGCACGGGTGCTCGAGGATGCGGGGGGCACCGACGTCAGCCTGGGGCGCGGCGGCTGCGGCTGCGGTGCCTTGTCCTGCTTTGGCTGCGGCTCCTCCTTCACGAGGCTGGGCGCGAGGCGCTTGAAGCGCGTTTTGAATTCGTCCAGCTTGTGCCCGACCTTCCTCGGCCCAGTAAGGCACGGTTCCTGCTCCTCGCCCGTGTGGCCGACGGAGTTGGAGTTCCCGCATTTCTTCACCCGGTCCCACTTCCCAGGCTGGCGGTCTGGCGGTGCCAAGGCTGGGCGCTGGTACGCGTAGGACTTGATGTCGCCGTGCTCCTGCGCCTCACGCCTGGCCCCTCGGGGCCCCGCCCTGGTTCGTGCAGGAGGGATGACTGCCCTACTCCTTCGCCTCGTCCCAATGCCCATGCTGGCCCCTCGGGGCCCCGCCCTGGTTCGCGTAGGACTGCGCGACGATGTGCATGCTGTTCACCTTAATCCGGGCAGACTGCGCCGGAGGGAGGGAGGGAGGGAGGGAGGGCTGCATCCCTGGCACTGCGCTGCTCTGCAACGGAGGGGTCCACACCCCCGCCGGCTTCGACGGTGACCTCCTGGATTTGCGCCCTGCGCCGCAGTGGAGACGCCGAGGCCCCCCTCTCCTCCTGTGGAGCCCCTCACGCTCCAATGCACCCATCACCCCCTTCAAACCCAAGGGCAAGCCGAAGTACGTCACGTTAAGCTCCGAAGAGGGAAATGGCCAGTTCCAGGAGTGCATGCAAGTTGCCGACTTCGAGCAGTTCGACAGCAGGCCGTCGGGCATCCTCAGGAACGCGCAGCTCGTCTCCAGGAGGACGCAAGACGGGCAAGGGCGGCGGTGGCGGCGTCGGGAACAAAGGCATTATGGGCCGGCTGCTCCAAGCGATTGAGGCCACCTGGACCGGACCTTCGTGCGATCGGGCGCTACGTCCGCTCGCCGCGAGCTTGCGTTGGCGCAGCGCGTCTCGCTTACACTAGAGGCCTCCTAGATGAGGTCCGAGTGTATGGGGTCGACGGATCGCGCCGCATCGCTAATGCATCGGCAATGCATCGGCAGTGCATCGCCGATGTATCGGCGATGCGTCGGCGACGTCGGCGATGTATCAGCGACATTGGAGTAAGAAAACACGGGCTCCACATCGACCCGTATCGTCGATGCATCGGCGATGCGGCGCGATCCTCCGACCCCGTCTCGAAGGCCTAGATACACCGCTGCCACAGTTTGCCCGCAACGGTCGTGTGGAGGAAATGGAATAGTGGCGATAGTTTGGGCCAAGCAGCAGTTTGGATTCCACCCTCGGCCCTCCACCCATAGAAAATGATTCGGCTCACTATGCGTCGATCCAGCTGCCAAAGTACATGCCCGACTGCCTGCTCGCTAGCCTACCTCCCTCTCCACTTCTCTGCCGCCGCCTGTTCATATCGCATCGGGAACACCCAGCTGCCACTCTAGGCCTCTGTCCTCAAGAACCCAGGGGCCCTGGAAACCCAACACTTTCAGAACCGTCCAAAAACGCATCGTCCCGTGAACCTGCAGGACCTGCATCGTCACCGTCATCGTCGTCCTCGCCCTCTTCATTGCCATCCTCCCCCCTCCACAAGGACTGCCCAACACCTGCCGCACAACGCTACCCCTGCCCTTCCATACTTCGCCTGCTCACAACAATATGTTTATCCCACTGCGCCTCGAGAGCCCACCTCGCAAGGTATGCCATGTTCTCTATGTCCACGCCTCGACGCTTGAACACCTCCGGAGGCGGAGCGACTCCCATCATGATCCCAAATCGTGTTTTTACCATGTACATCGTTTATCGCAACATCCCTACATGGTTCTTCCCCTCCATCACATGTTTTGCGAGTTATGCAGCTCATTCGTTACACATGGCCCATGTGACACTTAGCTTATTAATTACACTCTTCCATGCAGTCTCGATCGTTCGTTCACTCCTGCAGACCTGGTCCAGCTACCGAGGATGAAGTGGCACTGCCTGACCTTTTCATTGCGCCATTATGGCGCCCCCCTCCCCAGTTTGAGCCCGACCTGATCTTCCGAGCTCTTCCCTGCAATATGCCCCTCATGACCACCAGCAGGCCTCCAAGAGGCTCCATGGCCAAGGGACCTCTGAGAGACCCGCAAAACGACCCCAATATGCTTCCACGAGGCCCCACATGTGCTTTGCGAAACGCAAGGTTGGAAGGGGGAAGGAGGGGGTCAGACCCTCCGAATAGCAGTCACGGTGAGGCCAGCGTGTAAGAACAACGGTATCAGCAAGAGGCGAAGCACAAGAGGCGCATACCAGTCTTCTGCCAACAAAGCTAAACTTATGCACCATCATCGGGTGAAGGAGGAGAGAACAGATGAAAGCAGGAAGCGGAAATCATTGCTTCACAGTGCATCATCAGCGGGCCGATGACAATACGATTCAACACTCGGTGACAATGCTGTGTTGCGAAACGCGCGTGCCATACGCGAATTCAAAGCTGATGCCCGAATGTGGCCGAAATTCCGCTCGGAGCACCAACGAAGAACTCAACATATGTATGTAAAACCATACCGTGTGTATGCCCCAAAGGAGGACGTCGCTAGGTCCACGCCGCGATGGTCTGAACAATCAACAATTACCAATCGAAGAAACACCAATTCAATCCAAACGGCTACTCTGGGGCCGCCACGGAAATAAGGAGGCACAAACGCGGGGGAGGGAGCAGGAGTAGGAGGAGGTGGAGGAAGAGGAGGAGGAACAGGGGAGACAAGGGTGCGGGAAACTCAGAAAACTCACGCAGTAGACGACTCGTTAATGAGCCCCCAAGTCGTGGCGTTACAGGGCCGGCCCAGCGGCGTGGAACTGGCGAATCAAATAACTGCAAGTCCCTGGCAGCGGAAAAAACATGGCCTTCGGCTACTTAGGTCGGGCATGTCCTCCTGCAGGCGGATTCTGGAAGACAAATAACAAATAACCGAACAACAATCAAACATAATCTAAAGAGCACGAAACAGGCCCCCGCCCCGCCGGCCCTGGCCCCGGACCCAGTCCCGGCCTCGGCCCCGCCCTGGCCCCGGCCCTGGCCCTGGCCTGCCCTCGGCCCCGGCCCTGGCCCTGGCTCCCGGCCCGCTCCGGCCCCCGCCCTGGCCCCAGCGCTCTCTAAATCTAACTATACCTCCGTGGCCTCCCAGATGCCCAAGATGCCAAACTTAGCTTCAAAACGGCGAACGAAGCCTGGATGTCGCCCTGGGGGGCTCCAAGACGCCCCGAATGGTCCTGATAGGCAACCGGCGTCGTCGTCAACATCGTCAACATCCTCGCCATTATCTCCTTCCTTCTCCTCCTCATGATCGCCACGCTCTACTCGCCCCTGCCCTTCCTTCGTGCCCCCCCCCCCCGCGACCCTGCTCGCCTCGCTCTCCTCCTATTCATTCCCCCCTGTGCTCCTACTCCTCCTCATCCGCCTCTTCCTCCTGTCCCCTCTTCATTTTCCTCCCCATGCTCCGCGCCCTCCTCCCCAACCTCAGGGTCGGCGGCACCGGCCGGAAGGCCCTCGCAATAACCGAGCAATAATCAAACATAGTCTAAAGAGCACGAAGCATCGTCACCATACTATGTGTTACTATATTCTTGAACAGTCCTCCTGTAGAGGGGCATGCCCGACTTGAGCGAATGGCAAGCCGCAGCAAAACCTGAGGTCGAGCAACCGCGGCCCTCAAGCACGCCACGCAGCGCGGGCATCCAGGTGGCCACCAAGCGCCTACCAAAGTCAAGGGAAACGGGCGAGGGGCAGAGGACAAGCTAGGTGCGCTCGCGTCATATCTGACATCCTACCCCTCCCTCCCATCCCTTACCATGGCATAGATCCCCTCTCTACTCGCAGAGTCGGATGTCGAGCAGGCCCCGAACATAACATTGCATAGCATGGCATCGCACAGCGGCCCCGAACGTAACATTGCATAGCATGGCGTTGAAGATCAAAGCGTAGCATGGCATAGCACAAGAAGAGGGATGGAAAGCCAGGAGAACTACGCAAGGAGTGGGAAGCAACACGACGGCCAGAACGGCCGCGCCATTGGCCCTGGCGATCTGCACCTGGCTTCCGGAGGGACGCCGCCGACGAGCTTCACGGCGGTCCACCACCGAGAATCATGACGCACATGGGGATGAGGACGAGCACGCAAGGGGTCGGGGTGGGGGGGGTGGGGGAAAGAGAGGCGGCAACACTTCGCCGAGCGGCGAGGCTCGACCACACTCCGTCCCTCTGGCACCGACGACGTGCCCAGGATCGCAAACGAGGAGCGATGGCAGGGAAAGGGCAGAACGGAGACCGGCTGTGCGAGTCGGGGGATTTATCCATGTCCACCGCCTGGGAACCCACGTCCTGGTGCCCCAGCGGGCGGTGGATGTGGATATATATATATATATATATATGTATATGTGTATACATATGTATATATTTACATATATGTGTGCATATATGTATATATATATCTATATATATATATATATATATATATATATATATTCGGCCCCCCGGGGGCCCGAATAATGTCCATGTCCACCGCCTGCCGAGGCTCCGAACAAAAATCGATCCTGCAGGCGGTGGTCGTGTCTACGTCCCTGCCTCGGAGGCCGCGCCGTGCCGAGCGGCGGGGCCCGACCGCGGGCGGTCCTGCCAGCACCGACGACACGCCGAGCGCCCGGGCCTCCACGTGCCCACCGCCAGGCTGACCGGGGGCAGCGCGGGAGGGGGCGTGCACAAGCTAGGTGCGCTCGCGTCGTATCTGACATCCTACCCCTCCCATCCCATCCCTTACCATGGCGTAGATCCCCTCTCTACTCGCACAGTGGGGGCGTGCAAGAGGAGGCGAAATGCCGGCCAACACCACAGGGGCCAGCCACATCTCCGCCTCTGGGAGACGATCGCGGCAGGAAGAAAGAGAGGGGGGGGGGGAGGTTGCGGCACCCGTAGTTTCGGCCTGGCGCAGGGCCCCCTGCGCGCGCGTACGGCGAGCAACGGAACGATAAGGCGAAGGGGGGCGAAGAAAGAGACACACTCTACGATCCCCCAGCTAGCTCTCGAAAACTGAGCCAGAGGGCGCCACGGCACGCGAGTGTTCCACTGGAGGCTGCGTGACGCGCCCAGCACTGTGGGAGATACTTCCCGCACGCAGCCAAGGATCGGCGGCGTAGCTCTGGCGCGGTTGCTTCGAGGCACGGAGGGGCAACTAACATTAAGAACCTGGCCAGTCGCGCCTCTGGCTGATCTGGGCGCACAAGCCCCAGTTCGCGGTACACGACTGCAAATACGTGCAACATTCTGCGTTATGTTCGATCGACTTCTCGCCCGCCTCGAATCAAACATCACTCAGGAACATACCCAACCCTTCCTAAACATGTGACGACTATACTCAGGACCGCTCAATACAAACGAACATGTTGAATGACCCGCAGTGCGCAATCTGCAGCCTCTAAGCACCGCAAGGTCTCGACAGTGTCCGAGTGACACCCCACTCCAGTGGACCTCCCAGTGGTGACACTTGCGCAGTTCGCAGCGCCCCAAGGAGGCGCGAGGTCTCGACGGGGTCCGCATGACTATCCACTCCGCTGGGCCTCCCAAGAACCCGCGAAACTGGCGACAATTGCGCAGATCGCAACCCCGCAGGGACCCGCGAAGTCTCGACGGGGTCCGCGTGGCAATCCACTCCGTCGGACCTCCCCAAAGCCCACACAAACGGCGACAACTGCGCAATTCGCAGCCCGCCCAGGGACCCGCAACGTCTCAACGCGATCTGTTTACAACTCCACTCCGCTAGACCTGCCCGGAGCTCACGAAAATGGAGACAATTGCGCAGTTCGCAACTCCCCAGGGACCCGCGAAGTCTCAACGCAATCAATTTACCACTCCACTCCGCTGGACTGGACCTCCCACGAGCTCACGAACGTTGCGACAATTGCGCAGATCGCAACCCCCAAGGACCCACGAGATCTCAACTCAATCTGTTTACAACTCCACTCCGCTAGACCTCTCAGGGGCCCACGAACGTGGCGACAATTGCGCAATTCGCAACTCCGCACAGACCCACGAGATCTCAACGCAATCTGTTTACAACTCCACTCCCATGGACCTCCCAGGAGCCCACGAAAATGGCGATAGTTCTAAGGAGGAAGGAGACCAGGGAGGGGACAGGAAGACGTCGTCGTTGTCTTCGTCGCCGACGCCACTCACATCCTTTTCCTGGGCCCAGCTCCTCAAGCGATCCAGCCGAGCGGAGATCGAACAGCGTCGCAATCGAGCCGACAGGAAGACCTTCCCGTTAGATACCTTTCCCGCTTGGGGGGATCACGGGGGAGGTTCCCGGGGGGACCCTGGGCGGGGGTCCCGGGGGGGAGGGGGGTCCCAGGGGTCGTGCACCCCCCCCTTCCGACCAACACGTCGACACAGAAGAACCCCACACAGCCGCAAGAGGGGGAACGTCACTTCCCCGCGGGGGGGGGCTGTCGCAGGGCTCACAAAGGGACCGTCGTCGTCGTCGTCGCCCGGCCGCAAGGCCTTCGCAATATGACAAGAGAAGCCAACATGGCACACAAGGGCCTCCACGAGGGCTCGCGAGCGTCGTCGTCGCCGTCGTCGTCTTCGTCGTCCCCCTTCAGGGTCAGCGGCGCCCGGAGGTAATGCCTTCGCAGCATACCAAGAGGCCCCAAAGATGCCTCCGAGAGGCCCCGGGAGGCACCCGAAGAGACTCCAAGAGCCAGGCACGAGGCTCCTTGTCCACGACCCAGGGAAGATTGCGGGATCAGACGGGACCACTACATGATTTGGCTTGTTGTACGATAGTAGACACGGTGTCGGTTTTGCGTTATTGAACGCTTGGCAAGCCTGTTTTCGGTGTCCGTTTTTGGTGCACGTCATTCGGATCATAGGCTCTTCCGTCATGCGTCGAGAACGCGAGGCGGGATCCCAAGAACCATCAAAGACTCTTGAGGTCAAGCGGCCGCGGCATGCGGGATCATGTTTGTCGTCATTTATCGAAGACGCAAGGCGGGATTTCAGTGTCTGGGGACCATCCAAGACTCTTGGGCATGGCGGCCGCGGAGTGCGGGGTGGTCGAGCGGGTCGGGAACAATTGTTTTAGAATCCGCCGCCTGTCGGCGAGTGACAGTGGGAATCCTGGAGTGGTCGGCCAAGGGCGGTCCTGTGAGACTCTTTTTCATTCGCAACTTTCCTCCCCCTTCCCTGCGGCCCCCTGGGGCTCTCCAAACTCGCCAGCCCGAGGTGAACCGACCCAAGTCGTGATCGAGTCGAAGAGAAGCTCCTTCCCTCTGATCCCTCCCCGCTGGAGGGGGAGGGCGAAGGCTGGCGAGCGGTGGCGGGGGGATGGGCGAGGGAAAGGAGGAGGGGGGGCAGGAGGGGAAGGAGGAGGGCGAGGGAAGAGGAGGAGGAGGGGGAAGAGGGGGAGGATAAGGAGGAGGTGCGAACGAAAATTGACAACCAATCAGTCGGACCTACCGTATGATCCGTAGGTACAGGACGATAGGGAGAACAGAGGAGTCTCTTTTGCGCATGCGCCCGCGTGAACAGGGGCGCGCAAGACGTCCAATACCTTGAACCAAGAGGATAGCAGGATGGACAGGAATGGGAAGCGAGCGGTTTTCACACACACGCGCGCCTCCCCGAATCCCGCCCGCTCCACGTGGGCCAGGGGCCCGCGGGAGACAGAGGCAGGACTCGGGAACAGTTGTGTGAGGATCACTCTGAAGTCCCTTCCATCCCCTGTGACCTCCAAACGTAGAAAGAGAACTATGCACATACACCGATTCTGGCCAGGCCCATCCTGAGCCCAGGATCGGTGCATACGCCCTCTACCTTGGCCAGGAAGGTATATGCACCGATCCTGGGTCAAGGATGGGCCTTGCCAAGATCGGTGCATGTGTATAGTTCTCTTCGCCCGAAAACGAGGGTCACCTCGGCTAGAAGAGTAAAATAGAACCAGCCACGCCGCACAAGGTACTGAGGGGAATATACCCGCCTTTAACGGGCCGAGGGTGCGCCTCTATACAAACAAACCAGCATACATGCATGCATGCACCCAAACCTGCCTACCGACCTGCCTACCTACATACACACACACACATCTCGTATATGCAGACATATGTATGTTAATTCATGTGCATATGCGTCGGCAATGTACTGGCTCATGGCCCGGCCCAGGAGGCATATGCACTGATCCTGGGCCCCCAGATGGCACCGGCCAGGATCGGCACATGTGCCTAATGTTCTTGGCCTCGAAGTCTGGCTAGCGCGGGAAGGGTTCATTCCACGTAGTATGGGGTGGTGGCCAAAACTCAACTGGTGCTGATCTGTATGACGAGGGAATGCGCACGCGCTGCAACACATACCTGGAAGCGGCCTGGAGGTAGGCTCCTCGAGGAACTATCCAATCCAATACTCCTCGGAATCTGAATGGGGCAGAGGGGGCCCGGATGGGGCCTAGAAGCCATTGGAGGCCATCGGAAACCTCTGGGGGCCCCAAAAGGTCCCCGAAGGTCCTCAAAGGCTCCGCGGAAGTCCCCCCAAGCCCCGGGAAACTTGTATAGGCACAGAGGAGGGGGGGCAAACACCTTTAAACCATCCAACCCCGCCCCCCGTCCTGGTTTTGCAGCCTCCGGGGCGCCGTGCGGAGCTTCTTCACGAAGGCGTCCAGCGAGGCGGAGGCCTGCTCGCGGGCACCGTGGAACGCCGCGTCCTCGTGAAACGGGGGGGGGGGCCGGGCTCCATGCAGTCGCAGAAACGCGCACAGTTGGGAATATTGGCAAACAGGAGAGCTAAGGCCGCCGGGCGAATGGGGGCCCTGATGTCTCCTCACCATGCTGTTTGGTCGGGCGTAGCCCGAACTTGTTTCCCGCGAGGTAAACTGACAGAACTGAACTGAAGTGAACAGATTGCCGCCGCACCCCTTACACGACGGCTCCATTCTCGGCCGCCAAAGGCGCCACCCATGGCGCAACCGATAGGAGACGGACTTCTCGGCCGCCGAGGGCGCAAATTATGGCGCAACCGACAGGGGACGGTTTTATTCTCGGCCGCCGGGGGCGCATTCTATGACGCAGCCGAGAGGAGACGGTTTTATGCTCGGCCGCCGAGGGCGCGATTTATGGTGCAACCGATAGGAGCCGGTTTTATTCTCGGCCGCCGAGGGCGCAACTTATGACGCAACTGATAAGACACGGTTTTATTCTCGGCCACTGGGATCGTAACCTATGGCGCAACCGATAGGAAACGGTTTATCCTCGGCCGCCGAAGGCACAACCTATGGCGCAACCGATGGGAGATGATTGAAACGGATTTATCCTCGGCCGCTGAGGGTACAACCTATGGCGCAACCGATAGGACACGGTTTTATGTTCGGCCGCCGGGGGCGCAATCTAGGGCGCAACCGATAGGAGGCGGTTGTATTCTCGACCAGCGAGAGCGCAATCTATGGCGCAACCTAGGTGCCAGGAGAAGGAGGATGAACAGGAGGAGGAAGAGGAGAAACGAGGAAGAGGTCTTAGACGAGGACAGGGGAGAGGATGGGGAGGACGAGGACCAAGAGGACGGCGACGATCAGGACGGGGAGGAGGACAGGGAGGAATACGAGTAGAACGAGGACGAAGTGTGGGCATTTGGGTGCGCGCGGGGCTACGCTCGATTAGTGCTCGCCGTTTGGGCTGGCGGTGGGGCCCAAGCGGCGAGCTGTCGTGTGATCCTTGGCGTCGGTCGCTACTGCCTTGAGCTGAGAACGGACGAACGCGCCAAGCGCTTGCTCTGCACTTTCCGTCGCTGTCCATCTCTAAGTGGGGGGGGGGGCAAAGAGGAGGAAGGAGGGGCGACACTCCTCGCTCCTATAGGGGCCCCGTGAACGTTATCGCATACCACGATGTCGGCGCACGCAAGATGACTCTCTTTGGCCCTGGTCCCGCTAGGCCCTACGACGTCGCGCCACCAGCGGGCAAGGCAGAACGGCGTCCCGGTTCGGGCGGGCGGAGCCACTGCAGCAGCTCGCCCCTCGATCAGGCGACGCCCGGGGCCGGGGGGCCGGAGCTTCCCGGTGCAAGAGGGCCCCGAGACGCCCATTGGGGCCCTGCTGGCCCGACGGGGTTTCTCGCGCGGCCGGCACTTGCACCCCGTCCGGACGCGGGCGCCGCACGGCGGACGGCACCGCGCACGGCAGAGCGCCGAGGTAGAAGGCGTCGGCGACCACGCAGGCGCAGTCGCGCCGCTCCTCGGGAGAGGGGGGCGCTCCTCGGGCGCGGAGGGAGACCCCCCCGCGACCCCCGCGCGGCCGACGAATCTGGCGCGGCAGCGATGGGCGACCGAAATCGACCCGGTCCAGCCGCGCGCGACGAGGGCGCCCTGAGTTCTCGCCGCTGAGCGAGGACGGACGGCGCACGAGGACTCTCCTTGGCCCTCGCGCCCCGGGGCCCTGCGCCGTCGCGCCGCTCGCGGGCGACACGGGGCGGCGCCCCGGCTCGGGCGGGGGGGCCCACTGCGGCCGCTCGCCCCAATGTTGAGGCTCACGTCTGCCCGGCCTGGCCCGCCCAGCGTGCGAGGCAGGGGCCTCGTCCCGCGGTCGCCCCCATGCCCGAATCTGTCCGCGCCCGTGACTGATGGAAGCTCGACGGCGCGGCGACGGCGCGCTCATTCCTCAATCGTTGCAACCTGCCTTGTGCCTTTGGCTGTGGCCGAAGCGCGCCCGAAGGCGGCGGCCCCCCTCCAGCCGCCGCTCAAAATCAACGCGGGCACGCCGCCATGCACCAGTGCTTCGTCGGCACATCTCCGCCCAAACGCGCGGGCTCTCAAGGATTCCCCCCGCAGCGGCCCCGGGGCGAGGGCTGCTATCGTAAGGAAGCCGGTGCAGTGCCGTGGCTGACGCCAGGGAAAATGTCACTGGGAAAACAAACGTCTTGATAATGCAAACTCCACAAAGCGCGGGCGTTTGCCGGGCGCGGATCAATTTCCGCGCGACGACAGCCGTCTCACGACAGCCCTTCCGGCCATGGACACGCAGCGCCGCCTCAGCGAAAACGCCCCGCTCAGAAATGCCGGCTGCCGGATGCTCCGGGCTCTGCGACGACGGCGCGACCTCAAGCGCATGTCGGGGGCGGAGCGGCTGCCAGGCGATGACGACAGCATCGGCGATCATCGGATCGTTCAGGGTGCCCCGGACACGCCTCGCAAGGTTCAGCGTCTGTCTTGCGGGGGCTCGAACTTTATTTGAGCAGGGACCGACCGTCCCGGCATTCCTATAGTCATACCACGAGATGTTCTTAGAACCCCAAAATGTTCTAATAACAAACCCGATGTGTTAAAACACGACAGGCCTAGCCAGAAATGTTCTGAGAACAGTTCGTGGGAACCACAAAAAATTCTTAGAACATTGTTTGGTGGGGCTATAGGCGAGCCGGGACGCTTGGCCACTGCTTGATTTATGCGTTTGCGCTCCGCGTCTTTCGCCGCCCCGCGGGCAGGGGCGGCGGCGCCTGCCAGTGGCGCACCCGCCGGGGGGGGCTCAGGGCCGACCCGAGCTGCGACGCGTGCTTACTCGGCGCGTTGCCGACCCGCGCCGAAAGGTGGAGGCCCTTGGATGACTCTCCGTTGGCGGGCAAGGCGGCTCGTCAACGTTCGCTGCCGCCAAGCCCCGCCGCCGCGCGGCCGAGGCGCATTCGCTGCCGCCGCGGCGCCGACTCTGGGGCCGGCGCAGGACGAGCTCCCAGAGAGTCAGCGCGCGATGGTCGTCGCTGCCAAGCTGGATTTAGTCCTTGGCATGGTCGAGACCGGTGCTCAGGTGCTGTTCTCCTACCTCCCCAATGCGGACTCAGGCAAGTTGAGGGTAAAGATTCTCATCCGCGAGACCGGGCAGCCCCCATGCGTGTTGTTCACGACCCACGGTGTTGGCGCAAGTTTGGAGCCGGGTTGCACGGCCCCCGGGCCGCTCGGGCACGCCCCGCGCATTGCCCCGGCGGAGCACTTGCATGGCCGGGGGCGGGCAGCCTGGCCAGCGCCACAAGCGCATCAGTCAAAACGTCTGGAGCGAGAGCGCGAATGTCCCGGCGCGCAACTGCCGGCGCCTGCAGGGCGGCCCGGACTCCTGCCGCCCCGTGCTCGTTTGCCGCGACAACAACCGCTTGAATGGCAAGTCGACGGTTGAGCGGTCGCTCGCAGCCGCCCAAGCGACGCGCTCACTCGCTGTACACTCGAGACTAATTCACGCCCCAGCCAAACACGGAAATGCCGCGGTTATTTCGTCGTCCGCGCCCTGCCAGGCCCCGCGGGCCAGCGGCGCCCGCGGCCGTCAGTTCCCAGGCAACCGCCCCCGCGTTCACTTGCGGTCGCAGGCGCGGCAGGGCCTGTGGCGCCGCTTTCCGCGCCCGCGCCGGCAAGGACTGGTCGGGAGCGACAGTGGGGCTCGCCGCCCGGGCGTTCGACCGCGGCGCAACGTAGCGGATTGCTGTCACCCCGCGGCCGCGCCGGCATCTGCGGCTGGCGCGTCGGCCAGTATCTGCGCTGGATTCTCTGTTGGGAAATCGGCGCCAGTCGACGGGGCAGGCGGACCGCGCGCGCCGCCGCGCCTTCCTCGCTGCGACGGGGGAGAGGGGTCGCAGGGGCGCGCGCCAACTCAGGAAACGCCGCGCCGCGCATGGCCTCGCGGAACTTTGAACCGAAGTGCCACGGACCTGCGCGCGCGGCTGTCGCGCGTAATGACGCGACGGTCCTATGCCAATTTCTATGGGCCCTGTTCTCCAGGGGGCGTTTGTGGCGCGGTTGCCGCCTCTGGCGGTGCTCCGGCAACCCCCGGGGTCTGGGCGCCCCCGGAATGGGCTGCGAATGGGCCGAAAGCAAGGATGCGAAAACGCTTTTGGGAAACGCCCTGAGACTTCCTCGCAATTCTCTCACAGCCAAGGCTCCCGCCTGAGACTTCCGCCATACTCAAGCTTGAAGAAGCCAAAAGCGACGACAAATACACGATTCCGATGACCCGCCTGGATTACTGACATGAGCTGCGGGCCCCATGGGGAAGGGGCTCCCGCCTGAGACTGCCTTACAATCCCACCAGCCCTCTGGGGGTGGTGGTTTAGAGCGTTTCCTCCACCCCTCCTTCATCCCCTTCGGGGAGGGGTTCACCACTGTTCCCTATTAATTAACACCCCTTTCCCCAGGCGACTGGGACCAGGGTCCATGACGACCCCCCCACACCATTCCTTGTAAAAAACAATGCAAACCACACTCTGCCTCCAAATTCGGAACATGCGCAGCCAACCCGATGCGGCGCCCCCCCCACCATCCCTGTCAAAAAACAATACATAGTACACTTGGCGGCGGCGGCGACGGCTGCGGCGGCTGCGGCGGCGGCGGCGGCGGCGGCGGCGGCGGTGGCGGTGGCGGCAGCGGCTGCGGCGACGGTTTGGCAGCGGGGGGCGGCGGCGGCGGCAGCGGCGGCGGCGGCGGTGGCGGCAGCGGCTGCGGCGGCGGCGGCGGCGGCGGCGGCAGGCGGCAGGCGGCGGCGGCGGGCAGCGGCGGCGGCGGCGGCGGCGGCGGCGGCGGCGGCGGCGGCGGCGGATTGGCCCCCAGTAGCTGCCCATCCAAAGACGACTGCTGAATATGCTGAGGCTCGGGCCAGACTCGGGTGCTACGTATGTGTTGGGAGGGCGGGTGGGAGTGAGCGAGACGGCTTGCGGGCGGGGAGGGGGTCTTGACCCCTTCCCGTACCCCCTCCCCTGGACCTGGAGGGGGGGGGGGTGGCGAGTCGTCGGAGCGTCCAAAACGGCCTCGGCGAGGAAGCCAACATCATTGGTTTTACTATGGTTTTGGCTCCATTTTGGCCCCTGACTGTGATCGATCTCCTCCAAGATGGCCCCACGATGCAAGGGTGCCCCAAGAGGGCCCCAAGAGGTGGCCAGGAAGCCCCAAGAGGCCCCCAGGATGCCCCCAGGAGACCCCCAGGATGCCCCCAAGAGGCTCCCAAGAGGCCCCCAAGAGACCTCCAAGAGGCCCTCAGAGGCCCCCCAGAGGCACCCAAGACGCTCCAAGATGCCTCGGCGACAATGCCAACATCGCTGATTTTACTAAGGTTTTGGCCACATGTTGGCCTCCTGGGGGGGGGCACTGCTTCAGATGACTCTAAGAGCGCCTGGGAGAGCCCAAGATGATCTCCAAGATGGCTCAAGATCTCCCAAGATGCCTCAAGATGGCGCCCACGATGCTCCAAGAGGCCCCCAAACCGCTCCAAGACGGCTCCAAGCAGCCAAAGAGCTCCCCCAGGAGGCCCCGAAGAGGCCAAATTCTTACAAAACCTTGGGACAATCAGCGTTTTTGGCTTTCTCGCCGAGGCCTCCAGATGGCTCCAAGATGGCCCCAGAGGGTTCCAAGAGCGCTCACAAGGCTCCCAAGAGCGCTTCAAGAGGGCCCCAAGAGGCGTCCAGGAGGCCCCAGGAGGCCCCAACAGGCGCCCAAGAGGCAAGAGGCTCCCAAGAGGCCCCCAAGAGGCTCCAAGAAGCTCTCCGAGGCACCCAAGACGCTCTAAGATGCGCCCGGGACCGCCAAGAGGCCCCCAAGACGCTCCAAGAAACCTCCACTGGGGGATCCTTCCTCTGTGTGCTGCCCGCTTCCCTGATCGAGGCAATTCCTCTGGGCATCGTTTCTGGATGGGCTGGTGGGGATTCACGAAGCGTCAACAACTTACTCACAAACGAAGCTCCCGCATCATACTTCCGCAGACTCAAGCTTAAAGAGGCAAAAAGTGACGACGGTTACAGGATTCCGATGACCCGCAAGGATTAATTACATGAGCTGCGGGCCCCATGGGGAAGGGGCTCTCGCCTGAGACTTTCTCGCAATTCACTCACAGACGAAAATCCCGCCTGAGACTTCCGCCATACTCCGGCATCAAGAACCCAAAAGGGACGACTGTTACAAGATTCCGATGACCCGCCCGGATTAATGACATGAGCTGCGGGCCATCAAACGACGACCGCTGAACATGCTGAGGCTCGGATGCTACTTATGTGTTGGGAGGGCGGGTGGGAGTGAGTTAGACGGCTTGCTATCTAGGGGGTGTCTGGACCCCTCCTCCTACCCCCTCCCCTGGACCTGGAGGGGGGGGTTCGCGAGCGGTCAGCGCGTCCAAGGTGGCCCAAGACGACTCCGAGAGGTCCTCAGAGAGCCAAAGATGACGTCCCAGATCGCACAAGATAACCCAAGATGGCTCAATACTGTTCCCAAGATGCTCCAAGAGGGCCCAAGACCGCTGCAAGACGGCTCCGAGTGGCCACGGGGCTTCCCCAGGAGGCCGCCAAGAGGCCAACATCCTTCAAACGCATAGGGGAACTACATGATTGTTGCCTTCTCGCCTTTTCTCGCATCCGATGGCCTTCCGAAGCCTCAAACCAACTCCAAGAGGGCACCTGAGGGCCCCAAGGGAGACCCAATAGAGCCTCAAGACGGCCCCAAGAGTGCCCAAGCGCGCCCCAAGAGGGGTCCAAGAGACGATTCTAGGCACTCTAGAGGGGCGAGGCTAATTGAAGCTCCTCCCTTCTTTAATCGATGTCCTCCAAGATGGCTCCAATAGCGCCCCCAAGCCTCCCAAGAGCGCCTCAAGAGGGCCCGAAGAGGCGCCAAGGAGGCCCCAAGAGGCGCCTCAGAGGCCTCCAAGAGTCTCCCAAGAGGCCCCCCGATGTATACAAGAGGCCCCCGCGACCGCCACGAGGCCCCCCAAGACACCCGAAGAAACCCCCAAGCTCGCCATTGTCCTCCTCCTCCTCCTCATCCTCCTCCTCTTCCTCCTCCACTTCATCTGCCTATTTCTCCCCCTCCCTCCTCCCTCCTCCCCATCATCCCCCACCTCCTCCTCCTCCTCCTCCTCCATTTTGTCCACCTCCTGCTCCTCCTCCTCCTCCTGCTCCTCCTCCTCCTCCTCCTTCTCCTCTCCCTCATCCCCCTCGTCCTTCTTCCAAACCGTTCCTCATTCAGCAAGTCCGCAACGGCGCATACGGTTCGCTTCTGGGTCAGCGCAGGCTGGTCCAAAACTTCAGTTTGACAACGTTCCCAACTCTTGATCCACTGCGTGCCCCTCCGCTTCCGTGATCAAGGCAACTCGCCTGGGCATCGTTTGTGGATGGGCTGGTGAGAATACTTTTTGATCGCGACCGCGGCGAGGCACAGGTCGCGTGGCGTCCAGGGCACTGCAGACTAGGAACGGCCTAAATTAGCGCAGCGGAAGAGGAAGGGCGAACAGAGGACAAGAACATGCAGGGGACGAGACAGGCAGGGCTGGGTGGGATACGCGAAGCGTCAAACGTTTGTCATGGATTGCTCCACATTGATTGCACCATACCGACTGAACCAGATTTTGTACCACAAAGGTTGCACCAAACGTCTTACACCATACAGATTTCACGACATAGACTTCACCACATCGATTGCACAGCATACATGTTACCACATGCATTGCACACAATGTATACTGCACCACATAGGTTACTCCACATTGAGTGCACATTATGTGTTGCACCAAATGAAATTGCACCACACGTATTGAACCACCCAGACTGCACCACATCGATTGTACAACACCTAATGCACCACATGTATTGCACTCCAATACTGCGCTACATAGATTGCCCCACATGGGTTGCTCAACATATATTGCATCACATACTTGGATTGTACGACATATGTTGCACCATACAGGTTACACAACGTGGGTTGCACAACATACATGCCACCACATGTATTGCACCACATTTGCGCAACACATATGGCACCACGTCGATTCAACACCACATCTTACAGCAACAGATATTGTACCACGTAGATGGCACAACAACCACTGCAACACGTATATCACACCACATGTATATTGCACAACATAGATAGCACTACATCGATTGCACAACATATAGTACATCACATACATTGCACCACAGAGTTGGCTCCACATACATTGCGCCACACATGTTGCTAGAAACGAAATGTTGGGACCCGATGTGGCTAACGCACACGCACACATCGGCACACACATTATATTATATATGTACATACATATATGTATATACCAATAGGTGAATACGTAGGGCTCATGCATACAGATGTGTGTATGTATGAGTCTCATGCAGTCCTGAGAGGTAGATGGTTTACATGTTCGCAAGGGCCCGGAGTACGAATTCCATGGAATGTGGAAAGCGTTGCCAGGGATCGTCGCGTGGGCATCTGAGACGGCGACCTCGCTCAAAACGACCCTAATAATCCCAAAGTTTCCGAAGAAACGCTCCAGAGCCTCCAAGAGAGCCCCGAGACGGCCCCAGAATGCGCCAAGACTTCCCTCGACGCCCTCCAGGCAATCAATACACGAGACCCCCCAAACAACCCAAGAGGGCTCCAAGAGAACCCCCGGGAGCGCACCACTATGCTAAGCTCCTCGATTGCTGTCATAAGTTTGACAGGTGTCAGTGTTCTCGCCTCTTCGGGCTTCCGAAGCTTCAAGACGGCCCAAGAAACCCCCAAACTCGTTCCGCGAACTCCCGAGAAAGCCCAGCGACGTCCCAAGAGGCCCTCGAAACGGCCCAAGAGGCCCTCACAACAGCACCATGTGGCCCCAAGAGAAGGAACTCGAACTTGCATGTCGAGCACTCCGCCCCAATGTGCGAGACCGCCAGCACCCACCCACCCCCCAGAAGGCTCAAATCAGGCCGCAGGAGGCCCACATGCGGCCGCGACAGGCCCCAAGAATAGGATCCCTCGAGGCCCAGAATGGGTGCACTTTGAACAGATTCGCTCGTGAGCCTTCACAGCGCCCAACACGGCACCAGAGGCTTCCAGTGTTGCCCCACGATGGCCTGATAGGGCTCCACGATCTGCCCCAGACAACCCAAGGGAGTCCCAAGACCGTCCACGACGACCACAAGACAGCCCAAGATACCCACACGACTTCAGGGGCTCCCCAAACACCATCCACAATGCTTTACAAAAGTGCCACAACTACCTTCATAGAAGCATCCTTGAGGCCCCTGACAGACTTTCCAGGCACGGCGGGCGCGACAGGTCAGTGCAAGGCGCGCAGTGATACACGCCAGCGGGAAGACGATTCGCTACCGCCGCCTTCTGCCTTGCTCCGCCACTCCTCGGCTTGGCACTCAGGCGGCATCGCGCGCACAAGAACTCCTGCACGTCGGCGTGCGCGCGATATCGACCACGCGTTGAGCGGACAGACGTTCGCCATGCACTTCCACCCCATAGAAGGACAGACTATGAAACAGGAGGGAAACGAGAGCCCTCCCCAAGAAGCCCCGAGGACCACAAATCATGTTATGTTACTTGGGCCTTCTAATCTAGAGTTCCCGACGTTCCCGAAGCCCCCAACATCGCCCCAAGAGGCCCCTCAGAGAGCATCCAATCAGCCCAAGAAACCCCCAAGACGACCCGAGAAGCCGCACAAGAGTGCCCCAGAGAGCCACACGAGGGGCTCAGAAGAAACCGCACAGGGGGAACACGAACCGACATCGAGCGACTCTGCGCCCGCTGACTGGAGCCCCAACGGGCCACCAACAAGCAACTGCAGCCGAACCCAACCGCGGCGAGGAGGATCCGGGAGGACGACGGTAGACATAGACGTCCTCGAGCCTGATCTCGCACACGTGCGGAACGGTCTCCGCGGCGTCGCCGTCGCCTGCTACCCCAGTGCGCAAGGCCAGGGGAGGGGGGCGGGAGCAATGGAGGATAGAGAAGGAGGGAGGGTCCGAATTTCCCTCCTCCTCCTCCTCCTCCTCCTCAGCCAGCTCGGCACAGAAAGGATGCTGCCTGGCCGACCCTCTGCACTCACGTTCTATCCATACTTTATGCTACTCTCATGTCGCTGAGGTGTTCCAGCTTCTGGCGACTCGCTTGCGCAGTCATGTCTACGTTTCCTTTGACGATTGGTTCCTACAATCCCATGCAGTCCGCCTCCCTCGATAGGTTGACTGACATTGCGGACTGCACGAAGAACTTCGACGGTATAGCGCTCATCGGCACACGCAGCAAGGCCACCCGAGGAACGACTCTTCGTAAACGGCAGGTGGGAAACAGGGTGGTCATCGAGGCGGGCTGGACTACAGGTGAGCTAACTAACATGCATTGTGGTGTCTCTATTATGTGGGGATCGCGGGTGAAGGTTGAACATTTAATACGCACAGAATGTACTCCCTCCTTGATTGGTGGTCGTGGTCTTTTGTGCCGTGCACGCTCTGGCAGATATGATGTGACGATTATTGCACTTTACTTTCCTCCCAAGCTGAAGTATTCGCATGAGTGGACACGATATCGTCGCACAGTGAACGAGTTGATTGCATGGCTGGCTCCCCGTCTGGCGTCGCTACCTCAGCGTACGACTCCATTTGTATGTGCTGATGTCAATGATGGTATGGGGCTTATCCAGATAAATGGTCAATGGGTTTCTGATGAATTGATGGTGGTCAGGCCTGAGAACGCTACACGGGGTGTCTTTGCAGGGGCTGAGCTGGCAAAACTATTCTCTCTCCACGGACTGCAGGTGGCGAACAGCTACAAAGGCTTCAGCCCCACGTATTATGGTCCCCGCGGGGAATCTAGCTGGATTGATATTGTTGCGGCCCCAGTTGCACTTGTACAACATTGTCGGAGTGCGGGCCCGCTTCACCGTCTGAGCGGAAAATTACAGTATGTACGACGACGTGAGGTGTCTGATCATTTGTTCATCCACATGGGTCTTGATTATGTTCTGGATCCCCAGGCGGTCAGTGTTTCTGTGGAACGCCCAAGATGGGATCTCGACACTCTTATGCTGGCGCTGCGCAAGGGCATTGGCAGGAGAGACTTCTTGGAGGCGGTCGAGAGGCGTATCCATAATGATTCTGAGTTGTGCGATCGCTTGCTTTCGTTACCCACGGCGGACCAGGCTTTTGGTTACCTGAATGATATGCTGATCCAGACTGGCCAGCAGTTCTTTGGTGCTGAGGCGCGCCCGAGACACCCGATGGCTCAGGAACGACGGGCTCTTCTGGACCGACGACGCGATCTTCGCATGGGACTTGCATGTGCTGTGAGTGATGATGAGGAGCAGCAGATAGCGCAGCAGCTTTCCGAGTTGTCTCGACAGAATGGCAAACGTCTCCGACGCGAGGCGCGTGCTCGGCAGCAGCAGCTAACTGAGGAGATACACGAGCTCTGGAGGGATCGACGACTCGCCGAAGCATCTCGACTCTGTCGACGCGTAGGAGGTACTCGATTCGGACCGAAACGACGCGATTATCTTTCGATACGTGGAGTAGTGGCTAGTGCTTCTGAGCTTGTTGCCGACTTTTCGCGTCCTGGAGCCGAGGGGGGAGTGGGAGCTACGCAGATACCACAATGGGAGGGATGGAGAGATTGGCTTCTGTCTCGTGCGCTACCTCATGCTGAACCCACATATGCGGAGCGCAAAGCTGCCAGCCTTGACCTCAAGGGAATCCGTCGGGCCCTCCTGAAGGCTGGGAAGCGTCGTGCTGGGCCTTCATGGGCCCCTCCTCTGGAGCTATGGTGGCTGGTTTTGCACCCGCTCAAGAACTGCAAGGTAAAAATGGCTGGTCTTGGTGCTTCGACAGAGGGGCTGCGTCTTCCTGAGTTCCAGAAGTTTGTCTTCGGGAGTCTAGCGAGGATTCGGAGTTCGGGATGGGCACCTATCAGGTGGCACTGTAGTGAAGGGGCTCCTCTTCCCAAGCCTGATGGGAAAACTCGCTGGGTCCACCTCTTACATCCCATGGGCAAGCTCTTCATGACTAACTTGATGCACCAACGTGGGCCGGGGCTTTTTGGAGATTGTGATCACGGGTTTGTGCCGTATCATAGGCGTGAGGAGGCGCAGCTTGTACAGAATATTAGTGGATATCATCTGTGGGTCGAAGGTCTCTCGCATGTGACGAACGCGCATGACCTCGCCAACGCGTTCAGCTCGAGTAGCTGGGAATCTATGCGAACGGCAATTTCATGCACGTTCTGGGCAGATTCCTTGGGCTTTGGGGAGCAACGATATAGGTGGGCAGTGATTCAGCTTCGGGTTTCTGATGAGCAGGTGACGTTGCGACCCAGCAGCGGGGGCCTCATGGGAGACGGATTTGCCGTTCGCTCGTTCGTGCACACGTTCTCGCCTGCTGTTGAGCGCTGGCGTGAGGCCCAGCACCAGTGGGATCGTTACTCTCGCTATTTGCATGCCCGCTGCCCCGTGTCTGGCACGATGCAGGACCTGTCCTTAACTAAGTACGCGGATGATTTGACTAAGAAGCTGGTGGGAGGGAGGTTTACTAGTCTACGGGAGCTTATCGAGCTTAGCCGACGTAGCAATGATGATCTAGACGAATCTCTCCTACTGGATGGGTACAAGCAGAATCTTAGCAAGCAGGATACGCTGGTATGTCTAGTGGGGAGGGGTTCCTCTGAGGCACTTCGACTTCTGCGCGAAGGTGCATTGTCTTTCCCTGGGCGTGCTGCGCAGATTATAAAATCGCTAGGCTTCCAAATGTCTGCTCAGCCTCATCGGTATGCTGTCGAACTAAAAGCAAGATGTAACGCAACGCAGTCTGGTTTTTACTCCATGGGGATTTTCTGGCAACTTCCTGGGATACCGCATCGATTGCGACGCTGTCTTTTCATGAGCAAGGTTTATGATGCAGGACTTTCTGGGATTGAAGCGTATGTGCCTACTGGTACAGAATATCGGAGGCTGACGAATCAGATTGCATCCTTTGCTCGGCGTGCTATGCGTGGTGATGCGTTTGATCCACGCGCTGAGCGCCATCCTCGTTCTCTTTCTAATGCAGATGTGCTGGCCTACTGGCGGCTGGTGTCTCCCGAGCTGGAAGCTCGGATTCGGCGACTACGGTTCTTGCAGGAACTGGTACGTCGGCCACAGTTTCACAAACAAGTCATTGCTGCGCTCTTCGCTACTGTTGGAAAATGGCACTCGTTTCGGGGAGATGGTTGTCTAGGTCCTGAGGCTCATCCATGGGTAAAGATGTATTGGGACGACGTGGAGGCCCTAGGAGTCCTTGGAGAGGGTCCTGACCTGTTCGCTCTTCTTGATGGGCGTTTCTTGGAGCTGTTTCGGTCGGAGGAGGCGGGGGAGAAGTTTATGAGTATTGATGTTCGTGAGCTTCGGAGTAGATCCTTAGCTGTAGCCGTACCCCCTCCTGAACATGTTCCTGGTCCTGGACCCGAGCCTGACTTTATCCCTAGCGCGATCGAGATTGAGAAACAGTATAAGTGCATGATGTGTGACAGCAGTGGCAGTATTTGTGGAGCTATCTTATCAGACCGACGTGCAACACACACCCATATTATAGCTAGACACGGGTATCAAGCCCTATCGAGTATACTGAGTGTCTCAAACCAATGCTGTGTGTGTCTTACCACGTTCGCCTCACGGACAATATGTCGACGACATCTGCGTGATTCGTTAGACCGAGGTCTCTGTAGTGATGTACAAGTCCGACACCTTCAGCCTCCGAGTATCCCTTCATCGTACCAGTGTCCACTATGTGTTTTCTATGGTCGCAGCTTTGAGGTTCTTCAGAGTCATTTGAGAACACACCTTGATCCTTGTCCTGAGCCCCACCCTCCTTGGCTTCGAAGTCGCGGCGCACATGAGCATGGACAAGCGTCCCGCCTGGATGCTCGAGGCCCCGACGCAGGTAGAGGACGGCAGCGGCGAGCCAGCAGCCAAGAGAGCAGCTTCCGCATCGAAGGTCGTCGAGGCCGCCAAGAAGCAGGCTGGAGGAGGAGGGGACATTTTGAAGCAGCTCGTGATCATTCTCACGAAGCTGTCTCTCACCAATGCTGCAGAGCTGAGGGATATTTGCGGCGTCGTTTTTTTCACCTTCCTTGTCCCGATGGAGAATGTCGCGGCCAAGGCCGCCAAGGCAGCAGGCGTCAAGTATCACGCCACCGTGCAGTCTTTGAAGGAGAGCGGCAGCGACGGATCGTCTCTCGGTCCCCCGTTTCTGCAGGTGTGGGCAGCACTGATCCAAGCCGCAGGGCAAGATCCGCAGTGCCCCGAGGATTGCAAAAAGTGCTTCTTGGCGTACTGGAACGATGTCGTGCTGCAGCGAGATCTCATGGCGCTCGCGGACGAGGTTCGGGCCTGCCGTATCAGGGTCACACGCAAGCAGGAACAGAAGTCGGAAAAGTTCAGGTTGACGTTTGCGGTGGATTCGCGGATGCCCGATCTCGAGCGCCACCTTGTCCAGTATCTGAAGACGGTGGGCGGGGAGCGCAAGGTGGGAGCAGCTCCACGTGGGGCCCTGGAGAGAGACGCGTCGAAGCTGCTGGATCGTATCACACGTTGAGCGGAGTGAGTAGGAGGATCGCAAGCGGAGATGAGCAAAAGTATGGAGTGGGGGACGTGGGAGCTGGGACGGTGGGTGGCGGGGAGGAGAATGCAGAGGAGCGGCGCTTGGCTGCCGCTGCGAGTGCCCGAGCTGTGTCCCAGTTTGCACGCGAGGTATCGCGACGACCGATGCTGGCGAATTCGGCTCGTCTCAGAGAGTTGGCGGCTAGGGGGGCCCTCAATCTTCGACCTCCTCCTCCTCCTCCGAGTGCTGCTGCTGCTACTGCTTCCTCCTCGTCCTCGGGGGCCCCACAGCCTTTTAGACTTGCCGAAAATCATATCCTGGAGGGTGTCTCTGGAGACTCGCGCCAGTTTATGGCCCAGGGACGCCGAGTTTCAAGACCAAAACCTAAGCCGCGGGCGAAGTCTCGGGGGTAACTTTTTACTTTTTTGTAGGGCCTTGAGGGCCGTCTGATCGGTGAGTTTGAGTCGTGCCGCCGCCCCCCTTGAGCGCGTACGCCCGCGCCGCAGGGCGGGTTGGGGCCCGAGCACTCGGCCGTGCCTGCAGAGGCTGGATGCCGTGTGAAGCTGCCTGCGAAGGCCACTCAGGGGCCAACTTTTTGCTGCCATGAGGTGACTCGTGGACACGGCCCCCCAGAGTCGATCTGATCTGATCTGATCTCCTCCTCCTCCTCCACACTTCTCCCACCTCACTACTCCTCCTCCTTCTCCTCCCTCCTCCTCCTCCTCCTCCTTCTCCTCCTCCCCCGGCCATCATCCTTCCTCCTCTCCCTCCATCCTCCTCCTCGTCACCCTCCCCTTCCCCTTCCTTCTGCGCTCCCTCCCACAGCAAGCTGAGAAGCAGTAGGAATAGCAGGAGGAAGAGGAGGAAGACAGAGTGTGACTAGAGTGGCAAGGGCTGGAGGTGGAGATGGGAGAGAAGCGGCACAGGCGATGATGATGGGGGGTAGCAGCAAGACGGGGAGGCATGGGGGAAGACGGCAGCTGGCAAGACAGCCAAAGAGAGAACACACACACAAAACTTCGAGAGACCAGCACAGATACCTGGGGGGCATGGCACTTCGATTCTGGAACGAGAGGGAGAGAGAGAGAGAGAGAGAGAAAACAAAAAAAGAGCAAGCATCTCCGTCTGCGCCAGCCTTTACCCCCTCCCTGTCTCTATCCCCCCCTCCCTCTACCTCTCATCCCCCCTCCCTCTACCTGCTCCCTCTTCTCTGTCCGGCCATGCACCGACCTGCACAATCGCTCCCAAGGGTGCGAGGTCTCCATCGCCTGCCCCTGGGCCGGGCTGGAATTGTTCCGTGTCGCCCAGCTCGGGCAACTCAATACATCTCCTACAACGCGATATCTTGCCATCGACTAGTTGCCAACACCTTCACCCGCGCCTCCGTCACCCTCTCATTCATTCAGCCTCGCTTTTTCTCTCTTCCCTCCTGTGCCTCTCGCCTGCCAATATCCTCCTGCCTCCACTCAGCGGACGCCTCTCACTGTCATGCTAGCTCGGAAGAGCACCAGGCTGTGCTGATCGTTTCAGGCAGCCGTTGTTTCGTTGGCTGGGTGTTGCGCTGGAAGTCGCTGCCCTTCTCTCTCCTCCCTGCTCCCCCATCACTTCCTCCTCCTCCTCCTCAGCCTCCCTCTCTCTCCTTGCCCCCTCCGCCCTCCTCCCCCCCTGCCTGCTCCCAGGGCCGAGGTCCGCGGGCCGGCGCGGCACCCGCCACCCTGGGAGAACTGGCGCCTGCGCAAGAAGCCACCCTCTGGGGGGGCGCGCCGGCCCCCCCCCGCTGCGCTGCGGCCCGGCGGCCTGCCCGCCCGCCTCGGGGCCGCGGGACCGAGAGGCCGCCCCCGCCCTGCCGTGGCACGCGGGAGGCGGGCTCCCCCGGGAGGCGCGCCGCCCGGCCCGAAGGCCCACGGGGGTGGCTCCCCCGCTCCCGCACGCGCCGCGGGCTCCGCGCGGAAGCCCTGGGGAACGCCAGGGCCCAGGACTGAACCTGAACGGTGTGTTCCGTCTTCGTCTGGTCTTCGCTTTCCCTCGTTCTGCCTCTGCCTTCGATTCGCCTCTGCCGCACAGCGGGATCGAAACGGAAACGGCCCACGACATCGCCCCCAAAACCCGTTTCGGTCCGGCCCTGCCGGGGCCCCCGAGCTGGCAGGAGCAGGCGGGAGGCCCGGGGCCGCGCGGCCCGCGCCGTCCTCCGAGGGCCCGCGGGGTGCTGCTGCTCCAGCCTCCCCGCCCCTCCCACTCGCGGAGGGCACGTGCCCCTGCCTCGACCAGGCTCCCGGGTGCCGCTGCCGCGCTGTCGGGCCTCGCAGGGGCGCCAGGCCCGCGCGGGGGGGCCTCGCGCGCCGCGCCGGCGGAGGGGAGGGCCAATGTCGGCCTCCGGGCACAGAGCGGCTCGTAGGGAGGCGTGGCCGTATGTTCCACTCGCGCGGCGGCCCCGGACGGAAAAGGCCGAAGTTCCCCATCCGACTCCTGTTCCTCGTCATGCCCCTGCGCCTGCCCCTGCTCCTCTTCTCCCTCCTCCTCCTCCTCCTCCTCCTCCTCCTCCTCCTCCTCCTCCTCCTCCTCTCCCTCCTCCTCCTCCTTTCCTCGAGTCCCTCCCCGGGGGGGATGCCAATGTAGCGGATGAGCCCGTCAACACCAAACGGACGGACCGTCCTCTGACGTGAAGCAAACGGGTCATGAGGGAAACAGGTCCTGGACCTCGGGGTCTTCCAACTAAACAAGTTTTGGTCCCGTGCAATCGTCTTCGAACACTCCTAGGGCGTGTGGAGGGCCTAGGGAGGCCAACAACAGAGAATAACATCATGGCCCGTTTCCCTCAGGACGCTTTCCCTTCATGGCAAATCCTGAAAAGAAGCAGGCGACGCACCGAGCCTTCCAGCACAGAGACCACCTTAGAAAGACGCTGCCCCAACGGGAACGATCAAATAATCCAATCCGTGACTGGCACAGCCAATCACACACTGCGCCACCCTACTACATGATTTCTCAATCTGCGGACACAAACCGTGTCCTTTTCCTCCCCTTCCTCTTCTCTTTCACTTAATCATTCCTTGTGTTGCTGCCTTATAGCAGCTCGCTTGGTGAATTACCACATCGGGAATATGATAATTGTATGCATTGGTTTATGATAACCTTGTTGTTCATGTAGTTCCTTTGGGCCCCATATTGAACCTCGGGGCAACAAACCTTGTGGCCGACATGGCTTGCACGTACGGTCAGCGAATCTACGACAAGTGCATGTGTCTGGGCGAGCGCCCGACCCGGGGTGAGGAGAGCGTGCGCTGTCAACGCCTCGCAGAAATAAGCGCCGCGACGCCAGCCATCTGATGGAGGGAATAGGCGGCGCAACAAAAACGGGTGAGGGCAGCGTTTGTAGTGACTCCCCCCGCGGCCGTCCGAGTTCGCCTGGGGCTCTTACGTCGAAGCGGAGATGCATGAGTGGACTCGCAAGGAATTGGTCGTCTGGGGGGAAGTGTCTCAACTCTCTCTCTCTCTCTCTCCCTCCTCCTCCAATCATATGTTTGTATAGATATGTGCACATACACATACATCTACTTGAACTATATCATGTGCTGTTCCCTACCCCTATCCCCTCCCCGCCCTTCCTCCCACCACTCTGCCCTTCCCCTCCCCTTCTCGTTCCACTACTCGCCTCCTCCCGTCCCCTCCTCCCTCCATTTCCATGGCCCCATCCACTTCCGCATCTGCCTCCTGCTTGCGCTGCTGCTTCCATCTTAGCGCTGCTGCCGCTGCTCCTTGTCCTTCCCCCTCATCCTTCCTTCTCCCCCTCCTTCTGCCTCCCCCTCATTCCTCCTCCTCCTCCTCCCCCGTTGCTCCTCCTCCCATACCCCTCTTCATGCTCCTGGTCTACTGCCTCCTCCTCCTTCCCCTCCCTCTACTTCTCGCTCGATCGCTTGCTCGAGTTATGCCCACGAGCGGAAAAGGAAGGAGAGAGGGGGAGAGGATCATAATGGCCCGCGCTTCTCCCCCTCCACCCTCCCCCTTCCCCCCCTCCCCCCCCCCTCCCCTTCCTCGCCCCCTTTCGTGTCGCGCTGGCGTGGCGCCATCCCCACTCCCCCATACAGTCGGGGCGTTGACCTAAGGAACCCTAAGTAAGGAACAGGGCCCCTTTCTCCCATACGTTGAACTTCGATTTCCCATGAAAAACCTCGGGAACACCTGATGGCAAACTGCAGAACCATCAAGGACCGCCGAGCCCCTCCCCAACGAAAAGGTTCCTTCTTCAGGGCCCCGACTGTACCCCTTCCTCGCCATCGCTCGGACGTCCATTCCCTGAGCTTTTTTCGATTTCGCGCGTGGTTTTTTCGCCAAATGATCAAGGATGCTCCTCGATGGCCCTCGCCGACGGAAAAATGCACACGTCCGAGCGATGCCAAGCTTCTGCGGTCAGCCTCCAGGCTCCGGTGCGGCGATCCTCCCTGGCGGGGCGTGCCGAGCGCCCGGCCACGAGCACGTCCACGTGCCTGCGCCCCAGGCGCCCCGCGGGCGCGGCGAAGCGGTTGCGCACGCCCACGACGTCCAGCCTCCGCACGATGTCTTCCAGGCCGAACCTCCCGGCACCCCACTGGCCATCGCTCGGACGTCCATTCCCTGTGTTTTTGTTCGGTTTCGTGCGTGGCTTGTTCGCCAAATCATCAAGGATGCTCCTCGATGGTCCTCGCCGAGAAAAAATACACACGTCCGAGCGATGCCAGGCCCAGGGAAGGATCAGCCAGCATCGAATCTGATCGGTTCGGAGCTTGCGCAAGAGCGGGCTGCATCGGCACTCGGATCGGCCGCGCCAGGATGCACAGCCGAGCCGTGCGAGCAGCGGGCTTGCGGCGGATCGTCGGAGCACCGAACGCACAACGGCCACGGCAGACAGGGGCCGCTCTCCGAACTCGACGTGCTCCTTCTTTCAGCGTGCTTTCGTTGACAGGAGGCGGACTTCTCCCTCACCGCCTTAGTGCTCTTCATCCCCTGCAGTCGGGGATCTTCTGACCCGGGTCAATCCAGACCCGGGTCAGCAGGGAACCAAAACACTGCAATGCAGGAAACAAAAACTGCAACGCAGGTCTTCGCAACCCGGGTCAGCCAATATGCGCGGCCGCCTCGCGGCCACGAGCGGCTCGCTAACCCAGGTCAGCCAGAGGGGGTCTTCGCAGGATCCTGCGGGATCCTGCAGAATCCGGCGCCCTGGCTGACCCCCGTTTGCATTGACCCCCGTCTCGAGGCTCCCGATGCAGGGCCCACTCCGGCGACCAGAGGTTCGACGGGGGCTTCGAGGCTGCGGCAGCCGATGCCCCCTGGTCGGCCGCCCGTGAGCCAGGGACCGAGGCCCGAGCGCCGATGCGGCAGCGCGGTGACGAGCGTGCATCGTCACAGAGGCCCTCCTTTGAGGGATGAAGAAACGACCCTACCCTGGATTACAAGTGCGTGGTCTGTAAACCTCCTGGGACCCCCCAAAGCCTAGAGCCGCCAAGGCGCGGCACATCACGCAGGGTTCACCCTGTCAGCCCACAGGAGTTTCAGAGCACAGCGCCTCGTAAACCAGGGTAGGGGCGTTTTTTCTGCCCTTGACTCCTCACCCAGGGAGGAGGGTTCGACGGGTTCGAACTCCGAGGTCCGAGTTTTTTAGGGGGCGTGTATTTCGCCCCTGTTGGGCCTCCGAATGGATGGTGTCGAAATTCGAATCGAAAACCGCTACCCAGAGAGGTCTGGGAGTAGACCTCTGAAGGAAGAAGGCGCAGGAGGAGGAAGAGGTCAACCCGTTCCTCCTGACCCCCATCCCTCCTCCGTGCGCTCCTCCTCCCCCCGCCCCTCCCCCCTCCTACTCTGCGCGGCGCGCTCACGGGGGACGGGGCCGACGCACGGGGGAGGAGGAGGAGGGAGCGAGGCAGCCGTGCGATCGAAAAGCAGACTCGGGTGAGCTGGCCCGAAGGCGCTTCCAGGTGTGTGCCCCGCAGCCGAAGCCAAGACTGAAGTGCAGGGCAAAGGGAAAGAGAGCCCACTCTGCAGGCTCAGATGGCATCACATCATTTGAAGGGGCCCTGGGACACACAAATAAATACACACAAATAACAAGATTCCGTATATTTTCCTGTATTTTCTGGGGGATCGAGAGTTAATTGTGTCTGTGTGTTTTTTCCTCTCCTGATCATTGAGCGGCGCGGCAGCCTCTCCTCGACACGGGCCCCTCCCCGCAGCAGCAGCCCGACAGGTCGGGCCTGCACCCTCTCAGCAGGACTTGGGGGGAGGGAGGGACGCGCCTCCTCACGCCGCCGAAGATATCGTCGCCGCCGCCGTCGTTGATCGCGGTCGATCGAAGATCGAGGTTCACGGGTAGAGATATTGCTGTTTGGAGTCCCGAAACGGTGCGGTGACGCAAAGTGCGGTGACCTCGAAATCCCCCAAGACCTCACCGCACGGTCCGTCACCGCACGGTCTTGGGACCTCGGAAGCCCCTGTCGCCCGTGACGTCCTCGGAGAACGACCCGAGTCCCAAAACCGTGCGGTGACCCCGAATCCCCACTGGCTCACCGCACGGTGTGGTCACTGCACCGTTTGGGGGCCCCCGATGTTTGTTTGCTTCTTGCTAGTCCCAGCCGGGACAGCCCGGAAAGCACTCGCCCCCGGACCAGCGCGCGGTCTCAGGATGCCCAGGGCGGGCCCTCTCGTGGCCCTCTCGCGGGGCCCCACGGCCGGGCGCGTGCCGCGCACAACGGGGCGCAGCCCTGCCTGCGCCCTACGCTGAGCACTGACCTGGCCCCTGCTTCCCTGGGCGCCTGCCCCCCAAGGTGGGCACCCTCAACGTCGCGCTACTATACGGCAGGTTCGTGTCGTGCCGACCCCAGCGTTGGTTTTTGACACCGCAGGGATCGTTCAACCTTGAGCGATCGGCCGCTGCCGCAACGTCCGATCGTTCAACATCGATCGATTCTGGGTCGCCGGCGGCGTTCAACCTTGAACGCCCGCGCTGGGGTCGCCGCTGGTCGACACGACACTAACCTACCGTACTAGTACCTGGCGGTGCCGTGCTGGGCGTTTGCCCCCCAAGGTGGACGCCCGTGTCGACTGGACAGTGCACCGATCAGGTGCTCCTGGTGTGCGCGCCGTCCTCCCGCTCAGGAGGACCTATCCCCCAAGGGAGGCCCCCCCGGTGTTCCTCATGTGACTGTGCACCGATCGTCCGCCCGAACAAATCGTATACCATACCCTCAATTCCCGGGGGCTGGCGAGGGCCGCGAGTGTCCTGGACGTGGATCTGGCATGCAGGATTCCCTGTTTGGGGCATGGTCTGTGTAGACTGAAGTGGCCCCGGGCGGTGGAATCTGACTTTGGCGGAAGTGGCGTGGTGTACAAACAAATCTTGAGGAGATCAGGCGCCTCCTCCCGCGCACTGCTTCCCAAGGTGGCACGTCCTCCCTCATCTCCCTGCGTGGCACGTCCTCCCTCCTCTCCCTGCGTTGTGACCTGGCTGGAGCGTCCACCCCCCAAATAGGATTCTTTTGTTTCTCGTTCCCTGGATGGAGCGTCCACCCCCCAAGGTGGATGCTCCCCGCAGAGATATGTGCACCCCTCGCGTGCGGCTGTGCAGGTGACGTGCTGGAAGTGTCCGGGTGGCGCTCCCGGGCAGCTGCCGGGGGCGACGTGCTGTTCGCGCAAGTGCCAGTCAACCAACCGTGCTGCGCGCCTGGTGCTGTCCCTTCGCGCTGCCCCCCCCCGCTGCGCCACCGGCAGCCCTGCACCGGCTCTTGCCGGGCCGCCTGCCCCGCTGCTTTTGCAGCTGGGCGCCCCTGCCCCGCCTGGCTGTGATGCGTGCGCCCGCCTGGCCAGTGGCTCCTCCCCTTACCTTGCTCCTGCCGCCCACCGCCGCCTTGGCAATCCCTGGCGTTGGCGGGTGGTTTCTTGCTTCGCTGCACCGCTCCGGCAGTGCAGTTGCTCAGATCAGCAGCCCGCGGGCTCGATATGGCAGCATTTTGCTGCATCGCGCTGTTCGCAGCCCCAGCCCCCCCCCCGCGGACGCCCAGGCCGTCTGCATGCTGCTGGCGCCGTACCTTCGCAGCAAAGCTTACGGCTTCGTGACGGACACCTGGATGCTCCCACTCTCGCCGCTGTGGACTCGCGTGCCGCTCCTCCCCCTGACGAGCTGGTTCGACTTGCTCCACGCTTTCAGCGCCTGCAGCCTTCGCTTCAGCCCCTGGTGTGGTCGCGATGCCGCTCCGCACCCACTGCCAGGTCGGCCCAGCGCAGGCTGGCCGCTCCGGCCACTGCTGCTGAAGCTCCTCCCGCGGTGAATGCCCTCCTTCCCCCGCCTGCCTTCTGCGGCCGCCCTCTGCCTCCTTCCCTCTCTGGCTGCCAGTCCATTCGTGCGCCACGCGCCCCGGGCTACCAGAGCGCGCATGCGGACCGCCTCGATCCGCCGCGCTGCGACGTAACAAAATTGTTTCACGTCGATGTTGCAGGGGCCCTTCTCGGACCGGCCACCAGAGACCCCTGGCGTGCGGCGACAGGAGGGACGAGGACGGTTTGATTGAACGCTATCGTGTTGCAGGTGCGTGCGCTGAATGGCCCACGTTGGGCCAGAACTGATCCGCCACCGTGCCGCTGGGCACAGAGTGGGCGTGTCCTCAGGTCCTTCCACTACCCATCTGAGCCTCAGTCGTCACTCCTGAGGTGTTCTTAGTGGGTTCGGAGCCTCTCGGTCTAAATATTCCGGGGCGGCCCGCGGTTCCCCCGGGTCTTGTCGCGTGACCGTTTCGGGCCGAAGAGGGCCTCAAGACGGGCCAAGAGGGCTCCCAAGAGGCCCCAAAGACGGTCCAAGAGGGCCGGAGTCGCCGAACGATCGCTCCAGCCCAAGATGGCCCCCAGACGGCCCAAGAGGCCCCCAAGACGCCCAAAGAGGCCTCCAAGAGGCCAAACTCATAAATTGTCCTTAGGTTTTTGAAGGATTTTGGTGTTCACGACTTCTCGGCTTCCCGACGCTCCCAGACGGCCCTACAGGCCCCCAAGACCACCCCAAGACGGCCCAAGAGGCATCCAAGAGGGCCCGAAGACGGCCCTAAAAGAGGCCACAGAGAGGGAACACAAACCGAAAATCCGATCCTTCCGCCCAAAGAGGCCTCCAGGAGGCACCAAGAGGCCCCCTCCCAAGAGGCCCACAAGAGGTCCCCCAAGAGGCCCCAAGAGGCTCCCAAGAGGCCCCCACAAAGTCCCAAGAGGACCCCAAACAGCACCCAAGAGACGTCCAAACTGCCTCCAAGAGGCCCACGAGAAGCCTCCCACGAACATCCAATAGGCTTCATGCCCACAACCCAAACACGGTGGCGGGATGGGCCGAAGGCCGTTAAATCCGCCGCCCCCTGCCTGCAGGGGTGCACGGCGTGCTGGATGTTTCAGGTTTTGGTTTTGGTACTTTTTCTAAAAAAGAACTCCCCAGTGGGCTTCGGCCCGTCCCGCCGGCCACCCTTCCAGGACCTCAATTCCCCAATGTCCTGCCCAAAAACGGCCGTTTCGCTCGGGACATCCTCAACAAATCGCGACGATGGCCCAAGATGGCCTCCAAGTCCGCCCGAGATGGTCCAAGACGGCCTCCAAAACGGCCCAAGAGAGTGCAAGACGGCCCAAGACGGCCCAAGAGGCCCCCCAGAGGCCTCCCAGACGGCCCAAGAGGCCTCCAAGAGGTCCTCCAGGAGAGTCCGAAGAGGCCAAAATCATTGATTTTCCATTGGTTTTTGAAGGATTTTGGCATTTGCGCCTTTTCGGCTCTCCGACGGCTCAAGACGGCCCAAGAAGCCCCCAAGATCGCCCAAGAGGCCCCCAAGAGAGCCCCATGATGGCCCAAGTGGCCTCCAAGATGGCCCCTAGAGGGCCCCAAGAGGGCCCAAGAGGCCTCCAACACGCCCAAGATGGCCTCCCAGACGCCCAAGATGGCCTCCAAGACGGCCTGGAGCATTCCAAGCGGGCCCCAAGTCGGCCCATAGAGGCCCCCCAAATGGCTTCCGACGGCTTCAGACGTGCCAGGAACCCACCAAGATGGCCGAAGTTGGCTCGAAGCTGGCCCGAGACGGCCCAAAAAGCCCCAAAGATCGCCCAAAGCTTGCCCAAGAGGCCTCCAAGACGGCCAAGATGACCTTCCGCCTGCCCACGTGTTCCCCGAAGGCTTTCCAAACCGATTCGGGGAACACGTGGTCCGATAGCTTGGCAGGTCTGGCCTCAACGTTCGGCCACATAGGCGCTTCCAAAAAGGCAGGGGGCGGCGGTGATTCGCCGTAGGCGTCTTCGATCCGCCGCCCCCTGTCGATTCATCGCAGGGGTGCCTGGCGTGCTAGACCCTTTCGGTTTTGGTCTTGGTTCTTTCAAAAGATCTCCCCCTGAGGCTTCGGCCCGTCCCGCCGGCCACCCGAAAGGATTGCCCAGAGGTGATGGCCCAAGACGACCGAAGATGCCCCCTGATAGGCCTCCAAGACAGCCCAAGAGGCATTCAAGAGGTCCTCCAGAAGGGGCCGAAGAGGCCTAAATCATTGATTTCCTTCAGTTTTTGAAAAAAATGACATCTGCTTCTCTTCGGCATTCCGACGGCTCAAGACGGCCCCAGAGGCCCCCACGATCGCCCCAATATCGCCCAGAGAGGCCTCCAAGATGGCCTCTCCGACGGCCCAAGTGGCCCCCAAGACGGCCCCAAGAGGGCCCCAAGACGGCCCAAGAGGCCTCCAAGACGCCCAAGATGGCCTCCAAGACGGCTAAGATGGCCCCAAAATGCCTCCAACACGGCCCAAGATGCACCCAAGACGGCCTGAGATGGCCTCCAGATGGCCTCCGACGGCCCAAGAGGCCCCCAATAGGCCTCCAAGACGGCCCAAGAGGCCTCCAAGAGGTCCTCCAGGAGTGCCCGAAGAGGCACAACTGATTGGTGTTCCATAAGTTTTTGAAGGATTTTCGGTGTTCCGACGGCTCATGACGGCCCCCAATGTCGCCCACGAGGCCTCCAAGATGGCCCCATGACGGCCCAAGGGGCCCCCAAGACGGCCCCAAGAGGGCCCAAGAGGGCCTCCAAGACAGCTAAAATGGTCTCCGAGACGGCTAAGATGGCCCCAGGATGCCTCCAAGACGGCCTGATATGCACCCAAGACGGCCTAAGATGGCCTCAAGATGGCCCAAGACGGCCCAAGAGGCCCCCAATAGGCCTCCAAGACGGCCCAAAAGACGTCCAGGAGGTCTTCCAGGAGGGCACGACGAGGCCAAAATCATTGGCCCAAGAGGCCTCCAAGACGTCCAAGATGGCCTCTAAGAACCCCAGATATGGCCCGATAAGGCCCCAAGACGACCCAGACAGGCCACCAAGACGGCTTCCGACGGCGTCAGACAAACTAGGAACGCCCTAAGACAGCCAAAGAGGCCCCCAAGAAGCCCCCAAAGGCCTCCCCAAACCCTCCAAGAGGCCCCCAGGAAGCTCCCAGGAGGCCCCAAGAGGCGCCCAAGAGGCCTCCTCCTCCTCCTCCTCCTCCTCTTTTTTCCTCATCCTCCCCCTCCTCCTCTTCTTGCTCCCCCACCCGTTCCCCGAAGTCTTTCCAAACCGACTCGGGGAACAGCTGGCCCGATAGATTGGCCAAGCTCTGGCTCAGCTGTCGGCCACAGAGGCGCTTCCTCAGGGGCAGGGGGCGGCGGTGATTCGCCGCAGGCGTCTTCGATCCGCCGCCCCCTTTCGATTCATCGCAAGGGTGCCTGGCGTGCCAGAAGGTTTTGGTTTTGGTTTTGGCTCTTTTTCCAAAAGAACTCCCCCTGGGGCTCCGGCGCGTCCCGCCGGGGTCCTGGAAGGAGGTGGTTGCCAATGGTTTTCCTGCCCCAGACGGCCCCAAGATGACCCAAGATGGCTTCCAAGACGGCTAAGATGGCCCCAATATGCCTTCAAGACAGCCCAAGATGCACCGAAGACGGCCTAAGATAGCCTCAAGATGGCCCAAGACGGCCCAAGAGCCCCCTAAGAGGTCTCCAAGACAGCCCAAGAGGCATGAAAGAGATCCTCCAGGAAGGCCCGAAGATGTTAAAATCATTGATTTTCCTTTGGTTTTGAAGGATTTTGGCCTCTGCTTCTTTCTGGCCTGGCCTTCTGACGGTTTAAGACGGCCCAAGAGGCCCCGAAGATCGCCCACGACGCCTCCAAGATGGCCCCATGACGGCCCAAGAGGCCCCCAAGACGGCCCCAAGACGGCCCAAGAGGCCTCCAAGACAGCCCGAAATGGCCTCAAAGACGGCTAAGATGGCCCCAAGATATCTCCAAGACGGCCTGATATGTACCCAAGACGGCCTAAGCTGGCCTCTAGATGGCCTCAAGATGGTCCAAGACGACCCAAGAGGCCCCCAAGAGGACTCCAAGACGGCCCAAAAGACGTCCAGGAGGTCTTCCAAGAGGGCACGAAGAGGCCAAACTCGTTGATTTTCATACGGTTGTTGACAGATTTGGGAATTTGCTTCTTCTCGGCATTCCGACGGCTCAAGACGGCGCAAGAGGCCCCCAAGATCGCCCAAGAGGCCTCCAAGATGGCCCCATGACGGCCCCAACGGCCCCCAAGACGGCCCCAAGAGGGCCCAAAAACTGCCCAAGAGGCCTCCAAGACGCCCAAGATGGCCTCTAAGAATCCCTGATATGCCCCAAGAGGGCCCCAAGACGACCCAGGCAGGCCACCAAGACGGCTTCCGACGGCGTCAGACAAGCCAGGAACGCCTTAAGACGGCCAAAGAAGCCCCCAAGAAGCTTACAAAGGCCCCCGCAAACCCTCCAAGAGGCCCCCAGGAAGCTCCCAGGAGGCCCCAAGAGTGCCCCAAGAGGCGCCCAAGAGGCCTCCTCCTCCTCCTCTTTTTTCCTCATCCTCCCCCTCCTCCTCTTCTTGCTCCCCCATGCGTTCCCCGAAGTCTTTCCAAACCGACTCGGGGAACAACTGGCCCGATAGCTTGGCTAGGCTCTGGCCCAGCTGTCGGCCACAGAGGCGCGTCCAAAGGGGCAAGGAGCGGCGGTGATTCGCCGCAGGCGTCTTCGATAAGAATGCCAGGGACGGCGGACGGGAACCTCAGTCGGGAGGGCGGCACATTGGATCCAACTTGCACTCGCTGATGCAGCGAAAATGGAGAACATGAGATCAACAAACCGACGACGGGCGGCATGGCATGTTCCGTCGTGCGTGCGGGGCGGGCATTGACTATACCCTGCATTCGTTGATGAGAAACACGTCGGGGAAATAGTCAAACACCATCGGCAACAACGACGACGACGTAAAGAGGAGGAGGAGGATGACGACGATGACGTCGATGACGATCGTCGTCGACGTCGTCGTCCTCCGCCTCCTCCTCCTCCTCCTCCTCATCCTGCTCCTCCACCTCCTACTCGCATATGTGCGGCGCTGGGGGGGGGGAACCCCTCTCCTCCCACTTTTGAAGGGCGGAGGGGGGAGGGGTTCAAACCCCCTCCGTCCTTCGCGGCTTTGGGGGGCAGGGGTGGGGTTGGGACCGTGGATATTTGGGGTTGGGGGGGGCTGAAACCCCCACCCCCACCCCCAAGCGTCCGCACAAATCACTATTTCCAATCCTTCGTGGGTTGTTGTCTGTAAGTCCTGGCGGGCCGCAACGGGTTCCCAGAAGGTGTTCAATCTAGAACGCCCGCGCTCGCATCTCCGCCGCGTCGAGGCGGCGCGAACATGCCGTACCTGTGCGCTGCGCTACGCCGCCGAATTGCGACCCCCCTCCCCCCCAGCACAGCAGCGTCTCGCACGTGGGGAAGACAATCGCCACTTGGGCGAAGTCCAGCACGTGCCTGAAGCTCAGTTCTCCCTGTGGGAGGATGGGGGGGCAGGATCAAACATGAGGGAAGGAACAGGGCGGGAGGGAGGAGCAGAGAGGAAGGATGAAGGCCCCCCCCCGCAGCTGCCTCGCCGCTCCGCCTGCCGGTGCACTGGAAGTGTGGCAGACGCGGGCACGTGGCTCAAACCTCTGTGACGCTCCACCGGGGCCCTTCCGGCGCCCCTCCACCAGAGCGTCTGGGCTCTCCTCCGAAGTTCCTGGCGCTCTCCAGTGAGGCCCCTGGCCGACCCACGCTCCAGCGGGGCCCCTGGGGGCAACACCAGGACCCGTGGGATACCCGACCAACTCTTCTGGGAAGTTCACTGGGGTCCATGGACCCCCCCCGCCCTGGCCCTGGACGCTGCACCAGGGCCTATGGGCGGCCCACCGAGGCCTCTTGGCGCACCTCCAAAGCCCCTGGGCGATCCGCAAATTCCGTTGGGCGTTACGCCAAAGCTTCCAGGGCGTTCCATTGAGGTCCCAGGGCGCTCCATCAGATCCCTCGGTACCAGTTTCGCACCAGGGCGCTCACAAGCTAGCGACCGCGGTGAGCTTCACCAGGCCCATGTGCGCTCCACCGAGGCCCCCAGGCAATCCACACCAAAGCTGCCCGGGCCCTCCGCTGAGGACTAATGGAAGTTTCTGAGCCCCCCAATGAAGCGCTTGGCCGCTCGCCTGAGGCCCCTCATCAAGGGCCCAGGACACTCCACCGAAGCCACGGAGGCCTCCACCGGATCATTCGGGCAGTCCACCAAAAAACGGGTGCTCCACCAAAGAGGCCCCTGCACGACCCATTAGAGCCGTCATTGCTCCACCGAAGCCCATCCTGTGCCTGGGCCACCAGGTCACCGAAACGCGCGGATGCTATGCCAACGCCCCAAACGCTCAACTATGGCCCTTGAGTGCTCCATCGATGCCATTGGACGAGCCACAAAGGCGCCGGGTGACCTACCAAAGCATCTTGGACGGTCCACCAAAGCCCTTGAATGTCAAAATTCCTTGAGTGGCCCACCGAAGGGCCCCGGTGCTGTGCTGCGGCCCGTTGCGAGTTCACCACAGCGCTCGGAAGAAGGGCGCCCGTCACAAGGAAGCCAATGGCAATTCGGAGGGCAATCGGCATTCCATACTGGGAATAACTGTAAGAGGGCGATGGGATACGAGAGAAGCCATTTCTCCATTCCAGCGTCGTAAATAAACCGCAGCAGGCAGAAACAGTCGCGCAGGCAAGTAGGGCGGCGCCGCCTTGAACCGCAGCGGCGGCGGCCGAACGATTTAGAGTATGCCCCCGGAGCATTCCCTCGAAGTTAAGGGGGGACAGATCGGCTGTCGCCATTCGATATAGCTCCAAGGCAACGCTGCAACTTCAAGCTCGACAAATATAGGTAGCCGAATGTTTCGGCCACCGATGCAGCACATAAAAAGGACGGAGCGCGCGGCGCTAGGTCATGTTTCCACGAGCCCGGCAGACGGGAACCAGAGCATGGTGGGCAGGGAGAAGCTGCACAATGCAGCTTGGGCAAGACAGGTCAGGGGTTGACCCGGAAACCTGGGGCCCGAGAAGATTCGGTGGGGCGCGATAGCAAAATGGAGCAAGAGCACAGAGAACTGCTCGCTGCTGAGCAGTCGCGGCCCGCGAAAGCTCGGCGCGGCGCCAGCAAGAGGGCCCGCTGTCTTCGTGCGCAGAGCGGCTGCAGCTGAAAGATAAACCAGACCTCCGGGGGTTATGGGAAGCGTTAGCGACAGCAGCGGTCATCTGACGGCGGCGGGAGGTCCGTTGGCTCGATGCGGCGCGCGCCATGTGACTTCGCGCGCGCAGCTCCGGTAGCCGCCCAGGATTTCCGAAAGCAGGTGGCGGTAGATAGTGCCCTTAGTGCGCCCATCCGCCGTCGCGTCGCGGATGTCGCGCCACTGCGCGTCGTCGACGATGCCGGGGCCTACAATTCCCATCCAGCTGATATGTCTGAACGATGCATCCACCGGAAATGTTTTGACATCTTTGCTGGGGGCAGGCTTGCGCGCCGACTCGGCATCGATCGCGAGGGATGCTCGGCCGCGGGGCCCGTTGTTCTCACTGCAGGTAAACTCGAGTGAGTCAGGGCCCCCTGGGGCGCTCGTGAACGCTACCAGGATAGGAAAGCAGATGACATTCATCCAACCCGCGAGCGGCGGAAAGTGCTTCGGCGGCGAAGCTGGGCCTGACTTGATGACGATGGGACCTCTGGAGGCTGTCGACAATGTACAACCAACCATTTTACGGTTCGTGTTTCCACGACTCCGCAGCAAACTGCATCCACGACTGCCGGGCCCTCGGTCTCGTCGCCCTCCTCGCCGGTGAGCCTTCGAAGTCCGAAGTCACTGCGCAGGCCTACTGTGCCATCAGTGGCCATGGCTCAGTGGGGTGCTCTTGAGCTCGCGGGCAAAGGTATTTAATCGCATCGCTGGTACATTGCTCGCTTCCTGGTACTCTGCTCGAAAATATTATTCATAATGATCCAGCGTTGGGCGAGTGCGCATTGCGCTGGGGCTTCCCGTCGGTTAACGAAAAGGCCACTGACTACTGTGCTAGCTCTTGTTTCTGCGGAGCACCTGCAACACTGGGGTGCGCAATCGGCCGAAGATGTTTGCGTGCCCGCCCTGATCAGTGATGCAGTCGCAATGTTTCGTCTGGGCGCATCTCGCTGCGAAATTTGCGTAGGTGCGTTTGTTCACCTTGAGTTTGCCAATTACCTGGTCGACTTGTTAGAGGCAAGCGTCTGCGCGGGGCCCCCTGTCAAACGCGCCGGCGTCGTCCGCGCGCGCGGCCGCGAAGAACTCCATGGCGGCGTCGGGCGCCCTGTCGTAAGACGCGGACTTGAGGCCGATACTTTTCCGTGGTCTTGACACGCTTGAGAGGGGCGGCTTGATGGGGCACCCCTCGCGCCGGCGCCGGCGCCGGGCCCGAGGCGCTGCGGCGACTCGTCGCAGATCCTCGAAGCTGGGCAGGGCGCGAAGAACAACAGCACTTTCAACAGGCGAAATGAAATGTGCAATGCGCTCTGGATCACCCGCGGCGTCGGCCAGTTCTGCCCATGTAAAGCCGTTTTAGAAAAGCCTCGTCTGCGTCAGCATTGGCTAGGGCCCAATCATGGTGACATAGCGTCTCGCTGGCCGACGTGCGCCGCGAAGCGCGTCATGCCGTCCCAGAAAATGTTTACACAGAGAACGTTTCCTGCTTGGCCCATGGTTCCATGCCGCGCCAGGCGAAGTCGCGTAACCTGTTCCATTGTTGCGCGCGCAGCATGAGGTCATGACGTTCTTGGTCGTGGGCAACAGCTCCGCGATGAAGCATCGGTGGTGCAGAAATTCAGTTCACCCGGCAATGCCGATGATACCCGTTTGGGGGTTGTTGAACATATATATATATATATATATATATGTCCTGCTCGATGGGCAAGCCGTCCTCTCTGACGGCCGCCGCTCGCTTGACTCCGGCTGATGCGTGGGCGCGGATGGTCGCCGAGCCATTGGGGAGAATGGTTCCAAGTGGGGTTCGTCTGATATTATCTGTGCCATCTGATCGCTGAGACAGACTTCGGCATGCCTGGCGTGCTCCTCGGGGCCGAGGTCATCGCGGTTGCCGGCGGGATCATGGACCGACAATTTTACTCATTGCAGGGGCGCCAGAACGCTGCTACGAATACAGAATGTTTATGTGTCCACGCTTACAGAAATGTGTGAAGTCACGTTTGAGAACGGGCCCTCATGCTCGCCAGATACTAGCGAACTGCCTCCAGGCAGAACAGGGGCGCATATTGAATAGAGGGCCGGCAGTTATTCAGCGAGGGTGCAGGCGGCCACGCGCTGGCGTTCTGCGCCCAAAGAGTTCCTGGCACCAGTCCAGCGGGATCATGGTGTCATCCTCTTTTTCGTCATCGCCCTCCTCGATTGTAGATTGACGGCCGTCTCGCCGTTCAGAGCCCATTGGGGCCTCAACTTGGGATCTCAAGGGGTTCGCGTTCTCGCGGCCGGGTCCGTCGGCAAGGTCTAAAAGTCGACAATGGTCCTCGTCGAGAGGAACGACGGGACTAGTTGCAGTCGGGCACGGCGAAGTGGCTGCTGCCGAGATGCCCTGGAGCTCGAGAGAGGCGCTGGGGGACTCGTAGAAGCGGGGGCCAGGCTGGACCTCGCTGCCGCAGAGGGTAAATGCAATTCGGTCACGTCCCCTGCATGTCTGTAGAGAGTAGGCGCCCTGGCCAGCCTCGCGGCAAAGGCGGCGTTGACCCTGGGGCGAGTCCTGGCGAAGCCCAGCAATGGCACGTGCACCTTCGGCGCAAATGCACTTGAAATCGTCGACGCGGCTCCTCGCGGTCGGGGGCGCAGCCAAAAACTACAACGGGGCCTTTTCCTGCGGGAGGGGCCGCAATGTTGGGCGCGCGGGCTCTCGCGGCCGTGTTGTCCATGCCAAATCCCTTGACCATGGGCGCGTCGATGAATCTGGTGCGTCTCGCGCCAGGAGGTTGTGCCATTATGCATTTGGTCCAAGATTTGGCGATTAACTGCCTTGTTTTCGTGTCTTCGGTGACGACGCACTCGTCATTCCACCCGCCGCCGTCGTCCTTCGCGGCGGTTGACCGACGGTAGTCCACCAACCCCCTACTCAGAAGATTCCTGCGCAGTTTAATTTGGTCTCCGACTTGAAGGCCCTGTTTATCTTGGCCGCGACGGTGGGCAAAGGAAAAGGCTCCCAAGGCAACCTCGCGACAGCGGCGTTCACCCTCCTGGTCCGCGGTCTTGAATTCTTCAAGATTGGACCCTGTAAATTCAGGCAGCATGGGTGGTGTTCTGCCGATGTAGGCGCTGCATTGAGAAAGTCCTTCGCAAAAGTGAGCGCGATGCAAGCGAACGGCGATTCGGCCAATAATCTGTGGAAAACAGACAACATGGCATGCCTTCGGAGATCTTCACCCATGATCTGCATGTCCCCTGCGCGCAGCGCTTCGGGCCTGAATCGCGTGGGCACGTTGTCCTGAAGCTTGCGCGCGGAATTCGCTTCCCCGTGCTCTCTCCCAGCTGGCTCTGGGCATCGCCATTCGCCATCGCAGTGCGTTGCTTCAGCGGTGGCTATAAGTCGCCCAACAATTTCAATATGCATCCAAGATGGCATCCTTGGACACAGCAGGGATCACACAGCCGCTGGCGTACCTGAGACACTGGTCAATGATGTTGAAGGCGATGTGCTTCTTGGAGAAGAATAGATCGCACGCCGACCCCTCGTTGCATCGGCCAGGTACGCCTCGTGGTGGTTTGGCGGAGGTGCCGCGGCGCTCCCATGCACGAGCTTGTCCAAGTAGAGGTGGGTGAAGGGGAAAGCTTTTGGTGACGCGGCCGAATCTTCTCGCGTGGTGGTAGGTACCGATGAGGTGAAGTCCAAAAAGGAGTCCACAATTCTCTCGTGGTCCTCGAGCTGTCATCCGCTGCACTGGTTTGGGTCGGCGTAGATGCGCGTGTGCGTCACCACGGCGGGAACGGAGGCGAGCATATCTGCCGCGCGTGCGACGGCTCCGTTACCAAGCTTGATTGAAAAGACGATCGCCGTTCCATGCAGGCAATCGCCGTAAGAAGATAGATACGGTGGGATGGTGATGGGACAAGGGAATAGTCGTTTCTTCCGCCCAGCGCCACAAATAGTACGCAGCAGGCGAAGCCTACTATGGCGGCGCCGCCATGAACGGCGGCGGCCGGGCGATACATGAAATGCCCCATGTGGGATTCCTCAAAATGCAATCCCCGGGATACCCGTCGGGGACCCAACGCAAAGTCCCACCAACTTTTTGGGCTAAGGTGGTCGAGCGAGTGCAGTCTTCCCTGTTCCAAAAACCTTCTTCCGTTTGGGGAAAGGGTACCGTCCCCGCAGACCCCGATGCGTTAGAGCGTCCGAAACGTCTTCGTCGAGAAGGCCAACATCATGTACTTTACTGCGGTCAGGGGCCCAATTTGGATCTGGGGAAAAGGGGGTCCAAACCATACGACACCCCTCTTTTGATCGATGGCGTCCAAGATGGCCAACATGATGGCCCCGAGAGGGCCCAAGAGAGCCCCAAGAGGACCCCAAGAAACGCCGAAACTGTCCCACGAGGGCTCCAAGACGCGACTTTGCGGACTCAGTCCTCGTCCTCGCTGCCCTCATGGTCTTCCAATGTTTGTTCCTCCTCTTCCTTGTCGTCGTCGTCGTTGTCGTCGTCGTCATCCTCATCCTCATCCTCCCTTTCCCTCGCCCCAGCGCGGGCCCCAGGGATGGCCCGAAATGGCCTTCCAGGGCCAACCAGGTGTTCCAAAAGATCTCTCAGTTTTCCCTGGTTGCCCGCATTATTTCATACATATATGTTCGTCCCTTTTCCTGTCAATCCGCATTGGTTTTCATATGGGTTGTTGGGATACTTTTTCGTCGCAGCCGCAGGAGAAGGCGCACAGCGGCGTCGCAAGTCAGCTCGGGCTACGAGCAAAACTAAATTAGCTGTTGGGATACTTTTGTTGTCGGCGGCCGCAGGCAAGCGCGCCAACGGCGAGTCCAATCAAAGCGGGGCGCGCAATGACGAACTAACCTAAATCGGTGGGTTGGGGCCTCACGCAGCACCTCGGCGGCGGACTGGCGAGTGGAAAAGGCTGGCGGTAGGCTGGGAACCAATACTGCCAGGGTGCACGCATGCAGCGCGTCGGAGGCAGCAGGCGGCCAGGGTAACCGGCGACCCGGGAAAGCTGCGGACGGGAATTAGTTGCAAGGGCGCAAGCCCCCGGACTACTGCGAAGGTACCAGGGTGGCCGCAGCCAAGTGAACCGACAGTCGGAGGTCGAATTGGGTGCCCAGAATGGGCGTGAGCATCGGCAGGCTGCGAGGTACCAGGGTGGCCGCGGCCAAAAGGACCAACAGCAGCAGCACGCACAAGTGCGGAGAGCAGTCAAGCTGCAGCGCGGCCAAAATGGCGCGGGGCACCACGAAAACGACCGTGGGAAGCTCGGGGAACCAAGCCGTGACCCAGGACCAGACGGGTGCAAGAGGTGGCGCCAGCGAAGTCGCGCACCAGAAGCCCTGAATAGGGAGCACGTACCCGCAGTCAGCACACCGGTGGTGGCGACAGACGTACACGGACACCGCGGGGATAACTCTAGTACTGAAACCAGGGTTGCAACCGCAGCTGTTGGGATACGCGAAGCGTGAAGAATTCCCTGGATGCTCCACCAAGGCCCGTGGATGTTCCACCCATGCACCTGTGCACCATTTGATGCGCACGCGCGCGGATTCCGATGAGATGGGCACAATGATGATGCTAGAGTCCTGTGAAGAGAATTGACAAACGGCGTATGGACATGAACCCTGGGGCCTCCCTTCTCCGTCATCCTGCTCGTTCCTCCGTCGTTGCCCCCATTGATCCCTCCCGTCCGTCCCCCCGTCCTCCCTCTCATCGAGTCTCCCTGCCTCCATGCCACCTTCCCTGTCTCCGTGCTTCCTTCGGCTTGTCCCTACTCGTTCCGATTGGTTCCTCTTCCTCCGGCGCCGATGTCGACGTCACCGACGTCGACGTCACCGACGACGACGACGACGACGATGACGCGCGCCATGGCCTCTGCCGGCGCGTAGCGAATCCTGGCCTCGGGAGGCAGCGGGATGTGAGGGAAGGACGGATGGGGAGGGGAAGGGGGAGGAACGGACACTGGGATACAGGTTCAAACTGGGAGAAGAACGCGGATGCACGAGGCCTACCTCGGGCGAGGCCCCGCGCCGCGGGCTCCCGGCCCGGCAGTCTGTGCTGCACGGTGGTGGAGAGAGAGAGAGAGAACAAACAAGGAGCGAGCATGCTCCCCCGCGCCCAGCGGAAGCTGCACTTGCCACACTGAGCGAACAAACGCCGCCGGACAGCGCGCAACCGGGATCACCACCTCCCCCAGAGAGATCCGGAGGAAGACATGAGCAGAGAGAACGTGGGGAAGCTGGGAAATGGACGCGAAGAATAAGGGAAGGAGGGGCAGAGAGAAGAGGGCGGAGAGGGAGAGCGTGGAACGAAGGAGGCTGGAAGGATGGATGGATGGATGGATGGATGGATGGATGGATTGGAGGGCGGAACTGCAGAGGCGGGAGGTGCAGGGGCGGGAGGGAGGGGCAGCAGGAGCGGTGAGCAGGGGGGCGGAGGGGGTGGGGACAGAAGAGGGAGTACGCTGGAGGGAGGACGATGGCTTTGACTCGACACGCGGCATGTGCATCATGGCGCCTGTGTGTGTGAGGGCCGCTAGAGGCGAACTGCGAAGACTGAACGACTCAACTACCCACCTGGACCCTGTGGTACCCCCAGGCCTGGCTACAAAAACGGTGCTGGCCTGGGTAAAAGGGGGAAGGAGGACAGAATAAGGACAACGATGGGCCGGGGCAGGAGGAAGCGGAAGAGGACGAGGGAAGGTGGGATGAGGACGAGACATAACCTCTCAATATGTCCTTCTCGCCACGCAGGACCCGCTCGCGACACTGACATCCTGGACCTGGTCCGCCCGCTGCCAATGCTCCGAGCAGGTACTGCCGATCGGTGCCGCTGTGGAGAGGAACGGGGTCCTGAGGGAAATGGCTTCTTGAACTCGCGGCTTTCCCCAGCACTTCCTCCCCGCTGTGGGCCTGTTCCTCATGGTCCTGGGGCCCGTGGAGGGCCTGTGGGGGGCCCGAGCGCGGGGAAGAACTTTCAGGACCCCTTTCTGAGGGAAATGGGTCCTGGAACTCGCGGCTCCCCCCTAACTTGTTCTTCGCTCTGGGTCGCTTCCTGAGGGTCCTGGAGCCCCTGGAGGTCCTGTGGAGGGCCCGAGCGCGGGCCAAGCACTTCCAGGACCCCTCTCTTCTGGGGCCCGTCCTCTGATGCCTGCCTAACCTTCGGTCGGGCATGTCCTCCTGCAGGCGAACCTTGGCAGACAAGAGTGTCAAAAGTAGCCATAACAAGACAACGTGTGAAAACACTTGAAACATCGTCACCATACTGTTTTTTACACACCTCCCTTTAGTAAACCTCCCTTTAGCGAAAACGACCTAGGACCGAAACCGGCGGACCTGGACCCGCAAACATAACGGCCGCGACGCCCTCTCGCGAACCGAAAACGGCCAATTCCTTAATCGACGTGTCAGGGTAGGAGGTCTGTCCACCCGCGATTTTTACTGTTCTTGACAAGTCCTCCTGTATTGGTACATGCCCGACTTCCAGCCCACCACTGCCGATGCTGCTCGGGCCGATGAGGCCACTGCTGGGCTGCTGCTCCTCCTCGGCCCCCTCCTCCTCGGCTTTCCGCCGTGCGTCCCCCTCGGCTACACGCAAGAAGAGGCCCTAGACAGGAATCGCCTTCTCGTGCGCGGACTGCTTGCCATCGCTCGGACGTCCACTTCCCGTGTATGCTTCGATTTCGTGCGCTTATTGTTCGAAAGTGGTCCAAGATGCTCCTCAATGGTCCCCGCCGAGGAAAAATGCACGCGTTCCCAGCGATGCCCAGACTGAGGGCGCAGGGTGGCCAAATCCAAGCATATAAGCAGGCACTATCGCACCGCGCCCAGCGATCGGGGAAACCCTGGTGTGCCCGCACCAAAGGTCACTCCGGCGAAGGGCCACTCTTACGTATTCTTACGTGTGGTCGACTCTCGGTCCACTGTCCCGCTCCCTGCGCGAGGTCGGGGGCCGCCTTGGCGAACGCGTCCTCTCTGGACTTGGGCCCGGAGCTGTACGCGAACGCCGCCTGCGGAGCGGGAGCGCCGAGAGCCCTCGGGACGCTGACGCCTCTGCGCCGCGCAGATGCCCGCCGCTGGGTTCTCTGAGTGCTCGGCACGGCCATGCACACTGCCCCGCTGGAGCCCCATTGCACGACCCATACGGAGATCTTGTCGCAAGAAGACAGCAAGGATTGGGGAGGGGCGGCGGAAGGATGCGGTGGAGGATATGGCGGACGAGGAGGAAGTCAGACGTTTTAGCCGCCAAGGCCGAGCACTTCAAACACTACTGCAGCACTGCCAATACCAGCAGGGGGTTCAAACCCAACCGACCAAGCAGTTGCTTCGAAAACGGGTGGCCCCAGCAAGTAGGTGTTGGCGCTCGCAGGAGCCATCGACCAAACTGTTGGCTCGATGCGTTTCGCTAGGCGCCCCGCCGCCACTCCCAGCCAAAAGCGGGACGTCCGCTGGCGGGCAGAACGCCTCCCTCCCCTCCTCTGTTCCCTTTCTTTCTCTTCCCCATCCTTCCCTCTCCCCCCCCCCCCCCTCCTGCTCTGCGCAGGCGGCTCCCCAGCGCGGCCCCCGCCCCCGCGCTGCCGTTTTGCCGCGGGCGGCGCGGGGCCCGTGCCATAAGGGCCCCCCCAGGCCACGGCGGCCCGCCAGGGCCTGAAGAGGCCCCCATTCGCCCGCGTGGCATCGCAAGGCCAGACGCTTGCGAGCAGCCGCGAGGCGGAGGTTGAGGGCCGCGGCCGACGAGACACGTCTCGATCAGCATCACGGCAGCGAAACCCACGGGGGCACCTCATGTCCTCTGAGGCTTGGAGCACCTGCAAGAACTGCGGGCGCCACGAGTGGAACGCGATCCTGGTTCAGGCGCACGAGAAGTGCTCCTCGTGCCATCGTGCGGTGAAGCTCTACCAGCCCAAGAAGGGTCAAGGAGGCGGCGTGGCAGGCCGCAAGGGTGCAGATTCCGAGCAGGCGCTGTGGCCCCCCGTACAGCCAAGCCAGAGACGGCCCCGCTCGCCGTCCTGGAGAACGCCCTGGCGGCCACCGCGGGCGACGTCGCGCTGACCTTCGCCTTGCAGGCGAAGATCGCCAACATCAAGGCCAGCGAGATGAGTTCCCCGCAGTCGGTCGAGGAGGCGCTGCGGCGAGCGGTCGGGGCGGTCAAGGACGCCGAGCTGAAGCGCGACCAGGCCTTCGAGGCCTCGCAGCGCTGCGGGGTGGCCCTCATCAAGGCCCGTGAGCGAGAGAAGGACTGCGCGCTGGTCCTCGCAGCAGCGCAAGAGTCTAAGGCAATGGCAGCCAAGGCCCTAGCGGCCAAGTGCGTTCTGACTGGCGCGGCGGCCCCAGCGGCCAGCGCCGCCAGCGAGGACAACGATCTGTTCGGCATCGAGTGGGACGAGTCCTTCTTCGCGCAGTTAGACGAGCTGGGGGCAGAGCCCAGCGAGGTCGAGTCACTTCGCAAGCTCGAGGCCGACTTGAAGGCGACCAAGCAGGATCTCACGGCCAAGAACACGGCAGCCCAGGCGTGGCTCGCCCGCGCGAAGGAGCTGCAGGCGCAGATCCAGGCGCGCTTGGCCAAGAAACGCAAGGGTGCCGATGGCACCGCAACGGCTCCGCGCGCTGAGTCGGGATCCGACGGCGGCGCGGGGCCCGGCGCGGGGGCCACGGGCTTGGGCGAGCAGGCGGCGGCGGCTGCCCCCCAGGAGACGGCCGACGTGAAGGAGGCCAGGCTCAAGGAGGCGGCGGCCAAGATCACGCCAGCCAAGCAGGCCGCAGCGGACGCCGCCTTGCTGGCAGTCGCTGCCCAGAAGCCCGTCGAGTGACGAGCGCGGCGCGCTGGGGTAGAGAGTGCGCCTACCCCCAACACAGCCGCATCTACGCGCACAGGTGACGACGAGCTTCCGACTTTCTCCAAGAGCGGGGCCGACACTTTGTTTCTCGTTGCCAACATCACCGCGCTGGGCAAGAAGGCGTGGAACTATGGTCGGAGCCCTCTTTGCCAGCCTTTCCATCACTTCGGCCTGGTCGAGACTTCTTTGCCAGACTTTCCAACACTTCGCTCTCCATCACTTCCATCACTTTCCATCACTTCGGCCTTCATCACGTGCATGCAAGTAAGGACGTGCTGCATTGGCGCCACGAAGCCAGGAATCGCCGATTCAAGTTACACGTTAACCCAGCGAGAGCTTCAGGTCGTGGGCGAACTGAGGCCACCAGAGACAGGGCCAACGAGGGAGGCGAGAGGTGGTTCTCTCGCGGAGACCTGGACGTTTCACACATCTCGGCCGACGATGCTGCAGTTCGGGGCCTTCACTTCGAGGGCTCAGCAGCAGTGGGCGGTTTTGCGGCCATGACGGTACATCAACATGGGTGTTCAGTCATCGCACTACTCTTCTACGGATACAGTTCTGATGCTTTCGGAGGGCGCAACCTGCAGCGCTATGCGCGCTTAGGTGCCTTCGTTTCGCAGTTGAGATTACCGTGGTTTATCGCAGGTGACTTCAATGTCACGCCTGAAGTACTACCGCCACGAGGATTTCTTCGACGCATCGAGGGGGTGGTGTACACCCCCGATATCGGCACCACATGCGAGTCAGGTGATAGGTCCATGCTCGATTACGTCATCGCCAGTCACTCTTGCATGCCTTTCATCGTGAAGGTCACGCCCATCTTGGCTGTGCCATGGGGCCCGCGCTGTGCACTGCAGATACGCTTAAGGAGTTCTGGACATCAATTACTTTGTCGTGAACTCGTTATGCCAGCGCGGCTCCCTCAGGCCCCTCGGCCTGGAGCCCGGCCCACTCCTGGGCCCAAGGCAGGGCGACGCAGACAACAGCGACTCGCGCAGAGGGCTGTGGCTCAGGAGAAGGCCACAGAGGCGGTGCAGGCAATGTTCGGCGACCTGGGTGACACTGAGCGGGCAGCAGCGCCGCTCTGGTCTTTAGATTCAGATTGCGAGTCCGACGGTGAGCATGAGGCTGCCCTGTCTTTCTTCGATCAATCATCTATGCCCAGTGCCGGTCCCGTTTGCGCGCCAGCTGCCTCTCCCCCCCAAGAGTCATCGCATGCGTTGTCGCAAGTTTCGATTTCATCAGAGGTCACCGCCCCCAAGGACTAGCCCTCGGCAGACACTAGGTCAGGTCTCACCCCCCCCCCACCTCCCCCCTCCGACCTGTGGAGCGCTTGTCGTGAGGGGGTCAGGTATGTCAAGTCTCACGAGGAGGAGGGGGTTTGGCCCGTGCTTCGTGATTATGTCGCCTACGCTGTTGGCGGACCCCATGTTCGCCGTATTAGTGCCATGTACGCTGCCTGGGTCACCGCCTTGGAGAGCGCGGTTGCGACACATCACGGAGTCAAGTTGGGTGGCGGTCTCTCTTGGGCTCCAGGGCCGTTCTACCGTGCCGCTGGGGTGATAGCCGCCGAGAAGTGTCGGGGCCAGCCCCATCATGATCTCGCGGCCACCTGGTGGGGTCGCCCTTCCACGGTTCTGTCTCGTTTAAGCAAGCATCGGCGAAGGGGCAGCGGTCGCGCACAACAGTTTTTTTTATGCGATGCATTTCGTGCGTTGGCTGACGATCAGCCCGCAGGCGCACGCATTCCCCTGGCGGGTACTCAGGGGCAGGAGGAGGAAGATACCAAAGGGGCAGCATGGAGTGATTGGCAGGCCAGGCTTATGCGAGTTGCTACTTTGTCCGACGACAGTGTGCACAAGATGGCCAAAACGGCCACGCGTGCTGCTGCTCGTGCTCGCCGTCGGGCTGCAGGAGGTTCTCCGAAGGATTTTCGCGAGTGGGTCGCCACCCCTGAAGCCTCAGGTGTCCTTTGCAAATCTTTGAAAAAAGGTTCCCCCTGTCCCCGACGAGCTGCGCGTCGGCGGCCGTGTTTCGGCCCACCCTCGGGACTTCGTCGACCAGAAGGCCCTGAAATGGCAGGCTCTTTGGAGCGCCAGTCAGGTTCAGGTTTCAGAGGTGGCCGACTTCTACGCAGAGATTCGAGCTGCGGCAATTGTGGAGCAACTTGAACCGCTTCAACCTGCTCGCGTGGCGCACGCGCTGCGCGCCATGAAGGCCAGAGCAGGACGCGGGGTAGACGAACTCACACCTTTGGATATGGAGCGTCTCCCCCCCAGGGGCTCCAGGAACTCACCAATATTCTCCAGGCTTGTGAACAGTGTATCGCGTGGCCTTGGCACATCTTGGTGGTTCTTGGGGGGCTTCTTGGGAAAAAATATCGGGGTGGGGTGGGGTGGGGGGTGGTGTGTGTGTGTGTGTGTGTGTGTGTGTGTGTGTGTGTGTGTGTGTGTGTGTGTGTGTGTGTGGGGGGTATAGGTCTCATGTCAATGACCTCTAGGACCTGGTCTTTAGCCCGAGAGGATGTCACGCGAGCATGGACTCGCGACGCCCAGCCCGACTGGGGCGCGGCCGTCGCGGGGAACTCCGCGCTCCGCGAGGCCTTTCTTCGGGCTCTGCGTGATGGAGGTCTTTCACGTATGGGGATATCGTTTGGTGCTACTTTCTCGGATATCAAGGGATTTTATGATGCTATGCAGTGGGGGCCCCTGGTTCGCACGGCCCTCAAGTTGGGCTTCCCACCGGTGGTCTTGGGACTGGAGTTATTGATGTGTCTGGCACCTCGGATCTTGTCTCAGATGGGGTCTAGTTCAATGGGGTTCCAACCGTCTCAGAGCATCGTCCATGGCCTCAGAAGCGGGACACGCTTCGGGCGCTGCTTGGTGCATTTCATCTTGCAGGGTCTCACCACCTCGCGCCCGTGCATGTCCATGCGTATCTGGGTGGGCGATTTACCGGGGCATACCATTGGCACCAGAGCTCACGTGCGGAGCCGTCTGTATCGAGGGATACTAGACACGTGCCAGACTCTGCAAGAGCACGGGCTCCCCGTCGCCGCCCAGAGTGTCGTGCTGACTTCTCATCCTTCCGACGCCAAGTTCGTCGTCCGTCAGCTTCGCAGGAGAGGGTTTTCCGTTCGGCATGCCCTTCAACCCAACTTCCTTGGCGTCGAC